TTGCGTAATCTGTGCGTGCTGCGGAGACAGTATGAGTCCCAGGTCGGATAGTTTTCTTCCAAATCATGAAGTAGCTGCCGATTGGATCATGCCATCAAGTGCTGATCAGCCTGGCAACATGGAAACAAAGGTGAATGTCGGTCTTCCGAAGGAAATGTTGTCCGCTTTGTTGGTGATAATGGGTGAAGTCTCCGAGGACCAAGAAGAGCTCTTCACTTTCGTGAGCTTACAGCGCGTTGCGGGCTCCCGACACTTTTTGCTCTCAAGGAAGTAGCTGATGAAGGATTCGTATTTCGGAATGCCGAATAGAGAGGTCTCCCTTCATAGAGGCTCAAGACAATCAGCTGGTTACGCTCCCAAAAAGATCGCCATTAGAGAAAGGAAATCCCGTTAACTGTTGGATATGGACCAACCCAGATCTGCAATGACCTAGGGCTTCCAACTGACCAGACGAAAGTGCGGAGAGGATTTCAAAGCTGCGGTCACCAGGCTGTGATCCACACACTCTGTTAAGCTTAAAGAACGCTGAGCCAGTGATTGCTTGCCTCTCAATAACAGCGGGCCCATACTGTAGGGGATGGAAGGTTAGAGTAATGCCACCGATAACTATTACCCTCGAGTGGTCTGACTTTTTTGAAAATCAGCGATGTGCAGCATTGAATGCATCGATGCCAAGGCCCTCAAAAAGCACGTCACCAACGCAATCTTGGCAGTCTCGGTTTTGGATACGGTCTTTTCGACCAGGAACCTGTGATCGGGACGCATTTTGAAGCTGTACCTTTTTGATCAGTTCCCGGTTTAACCCCACATGAACCAGCGGGTGACCCGACAGACTGGTAACCAATGATGTCCTTGGAGTCCGCCAAGCCAACGACGGTATTCAACACTGTGTGGACAAGGCATAATACCCCTGAATCTCTGCCATCATGAAGCTCTCCAACCGCTGGGCTGAGACATAAAAGACCAAAATGGGAAAGTTGCCCAGAATATCTTGGATCGGGACCTTACAGCTGGTTCTGGGGGTGCGTATGCTAGTTCTGAGACCCAGGTTGGGAACATTTGCAAGGTTTAAGTTGTGATCTCTTCTCCCACCTGCTTGGGACAGAATAACAGCTAACGAACTTGACGCCGTCACGCCGCGGGCACGTTGTGAACGTGCGCAGAGCCGGCGCTTAACAGTGATGAGGTCCCGACTACCCTAGAATGCAATTAATTTGTGATAAACCAGAGCTCTGGTGCGCTTCGAGCCAACAGTCCCTTCCTTGTATGGCGTAATGGAAATTCTTCGACGCAGCTACAGTAGCGACGTTTTAGGAAGGTTAGTTCGTGCTCAGGTGACCTTCGATAAGCTCAAGGTAGAGTTGGTGGCAGTCACAGCGGCTTGACCATCCTAATCGAATGCCCGTCACAAAGTCCCATCAGATCCACCGCAACTCCTTATCTCTGCGAGATTCCCCCTCATTACACTGTCTATACTAACCCGTCGTATCCTGCAGATCTTATCGGCATCTCTCAATCGGTAACTATCGGCGACCACACTTACTTGCACACGATTGACTCAGCCCACGGAGCCGTTGAACTAAAAAAAAAAGCCCTGGCTTTGTGGCGTCGGAAACTCCGTGACAGCCTTCATAGAAGCCTTCTAGACTCCCCCCACCCTTACTTAGCATCACCGGTCTGATTGGGCGAGCAATGCTGACGAAGAGGTGCTGATCTTGTCTCTGCCGAATTCTGCCCTGCAGGTGGCTTTCGCAAGTTGATGTGGGTATGCTTTTTGTGATAAATTTGATCTTGTTAAAGATTGCTGCCAGGATTGTCAAACAACAAAGAAATGCTCAGAAACTGCTACAGACGGAGCTTACGAGGTCCAAGGGCGCGGCCCGATTTGCAGCTGCAGAGGGCGTTGTACAGCGTCTTTCTGAAGCGCGGAGTAGACACGCAACCACTGGAGTGCGTACAAAAGGAGCCGGGGACTTTATGAGGTGATACGGTAGGCTAGGGTCATCAACGCTAACGAATCAATGTATTCGAGATAGACACAGTTTGTCAGTAGAAAACGCAGGAAATCTCCAACCATCGATATATACACTGCGATCGACCATATTCAATGATGGATGAAGTATGAAGCTCCCGTTATGATGTGATAGTCAACTTTTACAATAAGGTCCATAGCAAATAATTAGTCAATAATTCCACTAAACAACCATCTAGGAAACAAAGAGTGATATGCTATACATAACATCTGTATGAGTGTGATACATTAGGGGCTATGAGGTGCCACCCCAGGCATGCCCCGTGCCCCAGTCTAACCCGGAGACTTCAGTCTTGTATCATTGGCATAGTCCTCCGAAACATCACCATATCTCCCAATGCCCTCCATTACCACTAGCCCGTCGCACAAACCCTACCTCTGACCCGGTATTTGTCAACAGCCTGAGGCCGAAACACATTCGCTTGTTACACAGCGGGGAGCAGCAGACATGTTGACAGAACATGGACGATCTCCATGCATAACATGTCTAGTCCCTTGGCAGCTAGCACAGGTTGTGTCGTGCAACTGTTCAGCAGTGTCGCTGTTCGACTACGCATCCTTGTTTTCATGCGGGCTGCAATTGTACTAGCACTCTGCAGAGGCTGCACCCGAATGCCTAGGCCTTGCTTCATTCATACAGCAAGGAAGTTTCCAAGGTCTTGGGCGCCGAAACCTACTGCTACAGGAATAGGCCAGCTCACCGAGACAACAGTACCAGCACACATTAACACTAGGGTTAAACTACTAACGTTCTGCTCGCCTATGCCCGCATCATTGGTCCTGCGGTAGTCAATCTGCAACTCGACCGCTTTGGGGTACATATGATGTGCTGCGCTCAGCCATGGAGGCTAGCGACACGACGGGTGGGATGCGGGACCTGCATGGAACATTTCCAGTACCCTTCCTCTCTGGGCATGACAGGCCTGTGATGGAGGGAAGGTGAAGGCCTGATTATCTGATAGGTAAGGTCTTTGTTCCTCTCCAAGGCCTGCCGTACGAGAGACACTCTCGACAAAGCAATTTGTAAAGGCTGGGCTGGGTGTTGCGAGTCACAAATGAAGCGAGTATCAGCGTTGATCTCACATCTCCCCTCCATCAACCAGAACATGGAGATTATCGGTTTTACAACTTTACCGCACGTGCACCCAGTGCGTGATCATTTCTCGTGCTAGTACCTACTTACACTACGCAGATCCATCCTTTCCCCCCCAATCCAGTCGAATTCCTCAGTTTTCTGATGTATGCATGTATCGTATTGATTACAACCCACAAGCTCGAGCACTACTAGAAACTGAACAATTTGAATACTACGGGCGTTACAAGCGAAATCGTGATGGGCACAACCTACAGGAAGCCCCTTCGGGACCGGCACCCGACATGTTTCGGCCCGAGCTCTGTCTGACCTTGACCCCGGACGTTGCCGAGCGTTGGTTGCTCTCAGCACCCAGCAGCCGCGTCTCTCACCTTGGCCTGGGAGGCCTGAAGCGCTGCGATTGGCTCAACAAGCGCTTCATGGACACTGTGCCGTCGCATGATAGGGCTTGCGACAAAGGTATTGAGGGGACCTTCACTTGAGATATCTACTCTAGTTTTCAATTCACCTTTATCCTTTAATTGTGGCAGTGTTCCGTCGTGTCTTGCTTGGCGACGGCCTGCCCTTTATTCGCTTCCACCTCAACCAACCTAACTTGTCTTGCGCACCTACCGTGATTTGGCTCACATTCCATTTGATGCCATTACCCCTTAACGTGCTTTAGACTGTAGAGGATTGGGATTTGACAGCCGTGTGGCTGATGCGGAATAGGTGGTGGTAGATGACCTGCATCCAATAAACCTGTCTCGACAAAATCCGGGATCTTGGCTGTCATCACGTAAGTTACCTAGTAATCCTTATCATAAATCGGAACGGAAGGCACAAAAAGACAACAAGGGTGCCCTCCCAAGCCTCTTCATCTCTCCGCAAGAGACCATCTTCCCTATGTAAGCCACTTCAACCTTACTGGCCCAAGACCCTCACCGCTCTCGACCACGTGGAAGCAGAGACGGGCCTTTGTTGGCTACCTGCAGACAATGATACCTCACGAACCGAAACAACTGGTAGCGTACATCTAGGTAAACCAAGGCAGACAATAAGGTAGGGCTTAGGGCTTTCATGCAGAAATGCTACGATTCCAATTTGGCAATTGGAAAGGAGAGCCGCATCAAAAAAAGCTGTGTGGACAGGAGAGAAGGAAGACGTAGCCTTGTTTCAGGCGGTGATGTCAATGTCTCGAACCTTAACTTTCCTACCCTGCCTCGTTGCCTTACAGGTTGACAGCTCCCACTGGGTAGCACCGTCATTGTCATCGGCATTGTGACCGGATCTTTCCATTCCTGAATATCGGGTTAAAGATTGATGAAAAAAAAAAAAACAAGCGCATTAGTGAAATGCAAAATAGCTCGGCAAGGGTATTGAGTTTGACAGAACTGTCGTTGCAGTCACGTGTCAGCACCGACGTCCAACCGTATGTATGGGAGATGTATGGGAGCTAAGGTTGCGCTAAGTGATAGATTGACGAATGACATGTAGGACAGTGCCTACAATACCTACCATCACTGTTGGAGGAACAAGACTAGGGCGCAGAGTAAGATGAGGTAGCAGTAGCAATGCTAAATCACTGGCTGCCGGCCTGAATTGTTTAAGTGGTATCTACCTATCCCCCGCAGTGCAGTAAAGAAGTATGTACCGTACACAGCCGCCCTACCCGAAGAAAAACAAATGGAAAACTCGCTATCCCATCTCGACCATCGTGCCTTCAACACCTGTCTGTAAGTACTAAAGAATGTCCCATACCAGTAAGTAGATAAGTAAGACATTCATGACCAAAACGAAAAGAGAAAGAGAAGATCATCGTACAACCCAAGCAGTACCACCGAAAAATATTATCATGGAAATTGCAGTATGGAGTTGCATGTAAGTTACCGCCCCTCAGTAACCCCCCGTAGTAACTGTCGTCCCGTTCGTTGTATCCGCTTCACAGGTAACCACCGCCGCCAATGCCTGAGTAGATTGTGACGTGACCGCTGCTGTCCACGGCTCCGCCACCCGATGTTCGGAAGCATACCCTTCGTACATCAGTGGATGGTAAGGCGAAGGCGACGGCGTCGCAGGCAGGCCCTGCGTCGTGACAGTGGTGGTAACGATGCCACTGGCATTGATACTTGCGGCCTGAATATCGGCCATAGCAAGCATCCCATCGCCCCCAAACGCTGAGGGCTCGGGGGTCAATGGGCCTGGAGTAGCAGGGAAGAGCTGTGGATCGGTGGGGTATTGTTGATGTTGTTGATGCGCTTGTTGGTGATATGTTTCATGGTGATGTTGATGTTCGTAATCATGGCGTGTAAAATACCCCGCCGCGGCGGCAGCTCTAGTTACATATACCGGGTGGACTGCATTCAATTGATGTTGCTGTTGCAGCAACTGATAATACCGCTGCGTCTGCTGGTGCTGGATTTGCTGTAGCTGGTGATGATAGGCGGTGGCGGCGAGGGAGCCAGCGCTAGTACTGTTACTGCGCAGCGGGGTCGACCGGGGGGAGCTACCGCGGAGCCTTGTACTTGTGCCCAAGCTTCCAGCCGCCAAGAGACCCGCCGTAGCGGCCGTGGCCGCGACGACTTTTCTTGATCCGGGATGGGTGCTAAGATAGGCATGGTGTCTGTAGATACTGCTATGATGGTGATGGGAGCGGGATGCTGTCGAGGATAGTGTTGCATTGCGGCGTGAGGCATTGCTCTTTCTATAGCGGGTCGTGCTTTGCACACCTTGCTCGACGGCCCAGGGTTCGAGGTACCATTCAGTGGATTTTTTGGCACTCGCACTGTCCTTTCCGTCCTTGCTGTCTTCGCTGGTGCTGAGTCGGCGTTCACGTTTTGTGAAGGCCTTGGGTGTCGTCAGTTGTAGTCGTCGCAGAAGGAAAAGAAAAGAAGAGAGAGAGAGAGAGAGGGGGGGGGGTTTGGTTCAACCGTACCATGTTCATGCTAAGGTTATGCCGAATACTATTCTGCCAACCCTTGCTGTCATCCTTACCCTTGTCCGTGTTTTCCCGGAACCACTGGTAGATCTCCTGCAGGGTCATTGCGTGCCGGGGGGTGCTCAGGAAAGCCTTGTAGATGAGCTGGGCATACGGTTCATCTTCCTTCTTTCCACTCCCATCGGTGGACGAGCCGTTCTTGATGTCACCGCTTTGGTTCTTTTTGTGCCCCGACTTGCTGTTGCTAGAGATAATTTTATCCTTCGACGCAGGCCGAGAGTCTGAGTCCTCTGCCGTCTCCGGAGGGCTCGGAATGCTATCTGGGGCAGTGAGATCTAGCGTTGAGCTGCAAGGCGACATGGGCGTTGGAGGAGCGCCATCCATGGGCGAGTTGTGGTAATACCCAGCTGGGTACGTCTCAATGTGGCTCCGTCCAATGTCATGAAATTCTTCTGATGTAACTAAAGGTACCCGACTGGGATAGGACGTGGGTCTATAACTAAACTGGGGATCCAGAGTAGTATACTCCGGCGCAGGCTCCCAGTTTATGGCATTGCACTGCTCCGGTGACGTGGTCCAAGTGCGAGGGGACGACTGGGCTGAGGTCCTGTCTGTAGCTGGGTTGAGGCTGCTCATGACAGGCGAGCTGTGCAGGGCGTAATTGTCACAGTCATCTGTAGAGGAGTTTGCTTGTTGTTGTTCGAAGCAAACGCTCCAGATAGGCTCCGAGGACTGGGCCGCGGAGTGACTGGAGAGATAGGATCGCATCACTTGGCTGTTGTGACTCTGAAGGGACTCCATATCGGCTGTAGCCATGATCTGTTCGCCTGTTGTTGTTGCCACGGTGGTTGTGGGATCCGTGGGAGCGCTGGTTTGAGAGACCTGGCGAGGAGGGGAGGCGTTTGAAGCCTCGATGCTGACCATTGTAGCGATCTCTCCCTTAGAATGGGAAGGATCCGGTAAATACTGAGGCTTTGTCTTTGATCTTGGGGAGTCGACGACACAGGATGCGTCGGGCCGAGCAGGTGAAAGAAGATGTTCGGGTAGTATGTGAGATAGGCCGAGGATTAAGAGACAGACAGTCTAAGACCGGTCGGTTCAAGACAGAGGAAAGAGAGGAGAGGGGGGGATATGAGCCTGATATGGAGCACAGCAGTGAGACTGGAACAGTTGAGAGGTAGATCGGTTGGTGACCATAGGGCCAAGGGCGGCAAGGGTATTATGGACGATCTGAGGTCGGATAGAGCGATGAAGGTGACTGGGGCCGGGGGTGGGAAAAGGGGGGTGGCGGGAGGAGGGCTCTACAGGTACAAGGTACCTCTCGACCTTCGGATAGGAGCTACCCCGTGTTGATGGGGCAGACGCAGGCAGGCTGGCTGGATGTACATACAACGGCGATCCTCACAGGGGCTTTCCGGTATGGGCTACCGGTAGAATCCGCGGGAGAAGGTTGCAAGGTTAAGCTTGTCAGCGCGCTTGTTTGGCACTCCTCCCTCAAGAGCTAACCAACATCATTAGCCAACCTTACCCCAGTTGACAGCCCTGGCAGGTGTTCTCTGCTGGTCTGCATCACCTTGATTGCGGAGAGGACAGTATGGCAAGGTGAACAGGGCACTGCTTAGGCAGATCATTGTGTTCTCTGGTAAAAGTACCAGTACAACAGTAGTCTTGAGGGAGCAGGATTGGGTATGGAGGCCGTTAGGAGAACAGCGTAATCTGTACAAGATTACCTAGGAAGTCCATCCTGTGTAGCAGAGAAAAGACGTTGTTAAGAATGGAGAGTGTAGTGAGGATAGAGAAGCATTAAAGAGTGAACTATGAGGCTGCGTCTTCTAGGAGCGCGTGTGTCAGTCTGGGGAGTGCATGTGTGCCTGTGTCTACCTAGGTCTAGGTGTGTGTCTATTCTGTGAGTTGGGTGTGCTAAAACTGGAAATGCTTGAGTTGGGTTTGGTTTGCACAAAGACCCCTTCGGCGCTGTGGCGGCCGGATCGCCAGGCTGAGCAGAGCTGGGCCTTTCGCAGCGTCACGACCAGGGCGGTGACACACTGTGTACTTTCCGTGACCCTTAGGGGAGCAGCAACATTCCCACATACCATCTCTGATCTCTGGTGCAGATGCAACAGAGTGCACCGCGTCTGAGATGATGAGAATAACTGAGCGAAAATTGACCAGCAGATGTGATCGAAGGGTGACTTCTCGAAAAATTCCGGTAATGACAGCCGACGACCACTGCTGGGCCCGAGCTGGGCACGGTGGCCGTTCAGTCGGCCAGAAGCAAATCCGGGGGCGATGACGGGGTCGTGGTTAGTGGTCGCCTGGCTGAACAACCTTATTATCAAATGCAGATTGCCCATTCCAGGGTTGCTGCTTCTCCTACTCATACTGCTTGGTAATCCAGGCATTGTTGTGAGAGTCGTCGGGAGCGTCAAGACTGCCCATTCGGCCCACGGGAAGCAGGTCGGCCGAGCCGGGCAACAGACACCAGCTAGGGAAATCATATCTGGGTAAAGGAAGCATCGGAAGCGTGCATACTAACGGGAGACACTCAACGGGGTCGAACCAGGGGCCCTGGGAAAAGTGAGCAAAAAGACGGGGCGGCCGGTCGAACATGTCCAATGATGATGTGACGACGGGCCTCATCAGGACATTTCCATGGTGCATAATGGCAGCTTTCTAAAAGGCATAGTTTCTGCAGCGGATTCGGTTTGCAGTAACCCGTGTGTTCCATTCTAGAAGCTCCTGGCGAAAACAATGCAGCTCCTGCTCAATTTCCATGAAGCCGCCCATGCCTGTGTCTGCGCCAATCTCTGCCAATCTGCTTGCCCTCATGGCAAGCACCGGCAACTCCTGCAGCGCGGTGATGATGCATTCAAACGCGTGGAGAGATGGAGAAGCCGGAGGGAAACTACAGGAGGTTGCTGCAAAAGGTTTTGGAAAGGAAGTTGCCATGTTTCAGTCATGTTGAGGTCCAAACCCCCAAGTTCCAGTGAATTGCTCCTCCTCCGTACACAACGCCCCGCTTGGCAGGGCCCATGAGCAGTGATTCAGGGGCACGATATGGTAACCACCAAGGCCATTTCTAAGTGTTGAGTCGAAAGAGACAAAGCGATGGTTTCGCAGACTGCGTTGCTGACTGACCAGATGAGCTGAAATTAGTGGCGCGCGGACGACCTGCGTTCCACGTTCAGGTTCTGGACCGGGAAGCGACATCCCCTGATGTGAGTGAGGGGAAGGATGCGGTCCCACGTTGGCGGAGATAATGGAGGGATGGTGACAAGGTCGGAGAGATAGTATCACGACAAGGGCTAGGGCATGCTTCTGTACGCTCAACTCATTACTGACTTTGGGATCGGCGAAGAGTCGGCGCACACCAATGCAGCATCGGCGTCCCTCATACACGTGCGCAACGGCCAGCTCGACGGCAAGGTCGCCTGGACGGGCCGACCTTGGCAGGAGACCACCCCCACGCATCCCGCATAATCAATGTCGACCACGATCGAGGCGGGGCAAAGGCAGCGAAGAGTCTTGGTTTCACGACAACGGATGCTTTACTTGCGGTAGTAAATCTGTACAAATGTTAGCATCCAGTCTCCAGAGAGACATGCTCAGTCATGCACATACCTTCTTGAACATAAAGTGAAGCTGGAGGATACCCTAAGGACGAAAGCAATTAGCATTTTAGGCTTATTCCCTAGTATCTTCTCAACGCTCAGATCTTCTTAGGCCATCATAATATGGCGACGGACCAGTGGCGGGAGCTGACAGGGAGGGGATGGGGCGGGTCACGGCGCAGGCTGGCGACTGATGCAGCCCCCCGTGCTGCCAGCCGGCTTACCATGATGCCCCGCGGATGAGGAAATGAAGAGCGTCGCGGAACACAAGGCATAAGAGACGAAGAGGGGACATGGAGGGCAAAACACGTGGTTTGGTGGTCCACGTACCTTGTCGAAGCAGCTCTTAAAGCCACGCTCCTTTTTAGCACTGTAATCCCACTCGCGGTCGACGATGCGGAAGGCAATGTCCTCGTAAGGAGGACCAGCGATGAACCGGATGAGGCAAGTGTCTTCTTTACCAGCTGGAGCGTTAGACTCGCCCTTTTTACGGCCATCGTCGCGGATAATCTTGTAGGTTGGAGCCTTGGTTTTGTCAATAAGGTCAGGGTAGAATATATTGAACCGATAGCCCTGAACGACCTTTGGAGGCGGGTTGGAGTGGTCGTAGTGTGTCTGGTTGTACTTGTTCCACTCATAGCCCATGATCACCCGGTTGAAGTAGCGTGGCTTCCGCGGCCGGTACTTATCGGCCCAAATCGGCCTGGGGATGCCGGGCACGGCCTCCTCGGCCGTAAAGATCTCCTCGTTTTCGCTCACGCCGCGGGCTACTTCACGATCAAGCAGTGCCTTAGATGCCTGAGAGAAGTCTTCATTTCCGGTTGACGCAAAGCGAGCTGTGCCGGGAGGTGGAGCTGATGACGAAGAGGCCCCTGTTTTCGAAGCAGGGACAAGAGCCTTGGATGAACTCTTGCCTGCCGTGGGAATAGCATCCAGGAAACCATCTGACCCTTCTAGTTCTTTGGCCCGTTCGGGGTCCCGCAGGCGCAACAGCTGAACACGGGCATCTTTGATGGCGGAGCACACCTCCTTCAGCTGGGCCTTAGCCTTGTAAATGAGAAGGCTCTTCAGCAACTCCTCCCAATAATCCGTGTCAATTGGTTCATTGGACTGAAGCTTCGCCCTGATTTGCATCTCCAGAGCCTCTAGTTGGGTCAGCGTCTTCGGCGCAAGGATTCTGTCGACCTCAGGAGCGACCGCGCTAACAGCTCGGCCCTCGGGTGGTAAGGGCTTCAGCTTCTTTCGACGGTCAGTGCAGAGGGCAAGCAAAGCTGTCCAATATTTCCGGTTGCGCTCATTGACCTCGAGTGTATGGTACGATCGGATATCCTCATCCAATTCCTGGAGCTGGGACTCGTTCAGATCGCGGATGACGGCCTCGGGATGGGGAATGGGGATATCGATGTCGGCATCATCATCATCGAACACATCGCGGTCTGGATCAACCCAGCGCAGGGCAAACGCCAAATAATCGATGGGTTTTGCGCGCTTCTCGCGGATGCGGATGTCGGCCTTCTTCTTGGCCTGCTTCAGTACGAACTTGTCCTCTTCAGCCACGAACTGCTCTGCTTGTTCGTCCTGAGTAAGGTAACGAGTCGCAGCTGCTGTCGCGGCGGGAGTAGTCGTCTTGTTTTGTGGTTGACGGGATGGCTTTGAGATGCGGTTGGCCGAGTCGTAATGAGGAGCGGTGATGTCGCGGTCTCGAGGCCTGTCGCGATGTCTGTCGCTTCGGTCGTTCCTGTCTCTGTCCTTCCAGCCATTGATCATGGCCGCTCTCTCAGGATTCATATGACCCATTTTGTCTGCAGTTTAGTAGTATGTAAGATTTGGAGTCCTTCTGGAAGTTGTAGGGGATACACACGACAGTTTGATGGAAGGTGGAAGTTGAAGTTGGTGATGTTCAGGCTTGGAACAGGCTGAAGGTCACCAAAACCTACAACCCTGCAAAATCTCTCCGCTGCCTTGATCCCCCGTATGCGCCAAGATTGATAACAAGTTGAGAGCATGTGTTAGACCCGCACAAGCATGCGCCAAGACAGCCCCACCGCAGCTGCTGGGCAAGATCCAGACCTCTCCTGGGGAGTGGAAAGGGCGCGACAGCAGCTCAACTCTCAACCCCAACCCTCTTCATTCGACCCGACTCTTAACCACATCACACTCAACCATCGGCAATCGTCAATGCGTGCTCTGCACTGATAACACGACCGTCTGGGAATCGACCCAACTGTACAGTGGTTGCAGTGTCGCGACCCCAACGACCCCGAGATAAGGGAGGGAACACAGATCGCACGGACTATGACACCATGAGCCTGAGCCTGGATTCTGCCCGCGACCACGATAACGACAACCACGACAACGACAACCACGACCAGGCCACGACCTCTATAACGCGACCGATATACGCATGGATGTCGATCGCTTGATGTCGATGCCCCGATTACCCACATAGACTCGCCACCATGTACAGCATCGGAATGCGAAAGCTGCTGGGCAAGTCGAATACTGACTTGACATCTCATGGGTCGCCCCCTTCGGGAGGACGAGCAGGTCCAGCAGCAACAGCAGCCGCCGGTGGCATTACCAGCTCTCCTGTCGTTCCCAACTACCGCCCAGCTGTCTCACAGGATACTGTCTATGCTGCTGGCGTGCCGATCGCCTGCCTCGATAGCTCCCCCGATGGTCGTTCTGCCATCTTGGGAGGACGCCATGTGCTGAAGACAGTCACCGTTGAGGGGCTGACGGTTCGCGAGGGTCTCGACCTGCGATCTCTCCTTGTTGCCCAGCCTGCACTGCGCAACAATAATCCAACGTCGGTTGCTGACCAGCTTTCAGTCAAGGCAGTCAAGTGGGGAGAGGTCGGCGGCAAGCAGGTGCTCTTCACTGCGTGCACCACGGGCAAGGTATTCATGTACGACCTCGTCACCGTCGGCTCCTGTGGCGCTGGTGCCCCCGTGGACTGCGTCCAGATGCGAGAAGACTCACGGCAGGTCAACGCTCTCGACATCAACCCACACCACAGCACCTGGCTGCTATCCGGCAGCCAGGACGGCATAGTTCGCTGCTTCGACGTGCGCCAGCGAACCGAGACCAAGACGGGGGCGACCTTTCGGTCCAAGCAAGCCTTCAAGTGCCACGCTGACGGCGTGCGTCATGTCCAGTGGAACCCACGCGATGGCTTCCTCTTTGCCTGCGCCACGGAGCAGGGTAACGTGATCAAGTGGGACATGCGCAAGCCGAACGCGCCCATCTTGCGCATTAGCGCGCACGAGAAGGCCTGCTCGGCCATGGCCTGGCACCCCGACGGCGTCCATCTGGCCAGCGCGGGGCTGGAGAGCCGGTGCTACATCTGGGACATGTCCAAGCAGGACAAGCGCCAGAAGCCCAAGTGGACCATCGCCACGCCGTCGCCGGCCGGCACTCTGGCCTGGCGCCCCGGCCAATGGTCCGCCACGGCACAGGGCAAGCGCACCTCCCAACTGGCCATGTCCTACGACGAGAGCGGCCAGAAGCGTTCCGGCATCAACGTCGTGCACGTTTGGGATCTTGCCCGTCCTACTATGCCCTACAAGGAGATTCAGCGCTTTGATGCCTCTCCATGCGCCATCCTCTGGCACGACCAGTACCTTTTGTGGACGGCAGGTCAGGATGGCATCTTCGCCCAGTGCGATGTGTCCTTCGCTCCCAAAGTCATTGACCGCCAGGCTGTGTCGACCATGGCCTTCTCCCCGCGCGGCGACGTCATGATGCTTCTCGACGAGCGGGCACCGCCTCCACGGCCCCGGCCACACATTTTGCACCACGACGCCGCCGTGCCCCCGGCATCGGTGCCCTCCGTGCCCAGCATGACCTCTTACAGTTCCAGTCCTACAACCCCGCGCTTCAGTGTCAGTCGCAGCGACTCTGAGGATGACGCGATAGGTACCTTCATCGGGCCTCGTCGCCGCAGCAGCCGACGACGCAGGCCTAGCACCCGCTCCACAACCACACTCAGTACGACACCGCCAGCTGGCCCCAGCATGGAAGATGTCATGTCGCTCGAGCAGACGATCAAAGCGACGGGTGTCTACAGACCGCAGCAGGCCATGGCTGTCGGCCATGTACCCGCAGCTGCCAGTCCTGAAGTGTATGAGTACCTGTCAGCGAACTACCTTGAAGCCCTGTATCGGGATCTTCCAGGTCGTCCCGGCAGTCCTCCACTGCCACAGCGCATTGCTACGATCCTGGATCACTATGCTCTGGCTGCCACCCATGTAAGACAGTTCAGGCTAGCCCAAACCTGGCGCATTATCGCCTACGCTGTGGATTTGATGCTTCATCGGCGTGCTCAGTATCACCTGGAGCGTCGGAGGGATCGCAATCAAGACTCAATGAGGCGAAAGAGCTCCGCTAAGCCAAAGTCTCTTGTGGGGTTGTCCGACCATGACAATCTTCCGGAGATGTCCGTTGAGAAGGTTCAGGATGACCTAGTGGCTTCACGGAAACCAGTGTCCAATCTGGCTGTGTACGATCAGTCGCTTCAGTCGAAATCGGTGCTGCCCTCGGAGCAGGAGAGCACCTCCAACATGCCTACCCCAATGGTCCGTCCAGTCCCTAATGACACCGCTGGTAGCCAGACAGATGAGGCCGACAGGGAGTCGGCAGCGTCTGTTGTTGGGGAGCCATCTAGCTTCACTTTGCCTCCTCCGGCAGCATATCCCCCACGCCAGCTGCTACGCAGCCGTCTCGACTCGGTGCCGCTGTCTGTCGTTAGTCATGACAGTGCAGCTACTTACGCGAGCACTGAGGGATATGACTTCTACGACACTGAATTCCTAGTGAAAGCAGCTGATGAGGCGAGATCAGCTTCTGAAAACTCTCCAGACATCAGTCGCAAGCAAAGGCAAGACTCAGAAGTTGGTTCGCATGCGTGGTCAATCTCTGACCAGAGCAGACGGCCTACCGGGTTGTCAGAAGTTGAAGAAGGGCAAGCTGCAAGGGCTGCCATTGTCGCTGAGCTTCAGAAATCGCATGCTCAAGAACTGAAGAGTTATGAGAAAACCAATCAATCTCCTGAGAAAACCAAAACAGCGGTCCCGCCCCGGGTTCCCCTGGAACGGACAGAGACAACTATGACAGGCATGACAGGCTTCACAAGCTTTACCTCCTATACCGACGAGCATCATCTCATCAGCCAACCAACCGACCTTTTTGGCTCACCCTATGCATCACAAACAGACATCAACTTACGCGGCTCGTCCATCCTACATAGCATCCCTGAACCGGCAAGCCCTACCCGCCCCGAACACGACAAATCCCCCTTCGTCATCGAAACCGACTACCTCTGCTGGTCCGACGACCCTCCGTACCCCTACTCTTCACGTACCTCATCGTCCTCGTCAGCACTCACTTCCTCCCCCCTCCATCCCTACACCATCATCTCGCGTGCCCTCGCCTTCGAAACCAAAACCTCAGCCCTCAATGCTTCAGCCATGATTCTCCTTCTTAAGCCCCTCCTCCCAGACGACGTCATCAACAAGCACCAAGCAGCCGCCATCCTCCGACAACACCATTCTCGCCTAATGGGCATGAAACTCTTTGTCGAAGCAGCCCTGCTCCGCAAGTTGTGCATGCAAGGTTGGCCCGGCGGTGCGCTATCCTCCTGGGGGGATAACTACCCCGCGGTACTTACTCCCGCCCAGCAGGGGGTGCAAGCCAGCTTTCTGTGTACGTCCTGCAACCGGCCACACGATATTGATCGCTCGAACCCGAACCTTTCTCCCGATGCCCTCTGGAGATGTGCCCGCTGCCGCTCAGTAATGGCTCCCTGCGCTGTATGCGGCCATCGTGATACCGCCCCTTCCATGGCCTCTGCCTCGCCGTTGCCGACACACATCCCTGCGAAGCACTGGGCAAACCTCACACCCCAGCAACAAACCACCGACGAAAATGAGCCAAAGTTAACAACATGGTTCTACTGCCCCAGCTGTTCCCATGGTGGACACGCGTCCTGTCTCCAAGCATGGCATGCCGCACTAGACCCAGATTTCTCCTCCTCTGAGCCATACCTCTATCTGGAAGATCCGCCCGGCGCTGAATCATCTGACGGGTGCTGTCCAGTCGATGGATGTGGACACACCTGCCTGCCTTCCCGCTGGAGAAACGGTGATGCTGTCCTTCTTCGTGGGGAAGAGATCTCCCGCGTGACGAGGGAAGCCTCACGCGCACTAGCCCGGGGCAGCGCTGTCGCCAGCGAGGTAGGCGCGCCCAGCAGCAGTTGGGTAGGCGGTGGAGCGGGCAGTGTGGTTGGTGACCAAGCAGGCGGGGATCATACTGGGGAAAGGAGTGGGGATAAGGTGATGCCGAGCGGTGGTGGTTCGGGGGCAGGTACGGGTGCGTTGGTGAGGAGTGATGTAAATGATGTGCCGCAGAGTCGGGCGGTTGAGACAGTGAGGGAGGCGTTGGCGAGTGCTGGGTCGTATGTGGGGCAGGGGGCTAAGGTTGGAACGAGTATTTTGAGTTCGAGCCCGGGGAGAAATGTGATATCGGGAGATAGGGAGAGGAGGAAGAGTGTGAAGTTTGTGGCAGATGAGAGGAAGTAGGGGGATTTCTTGGTTATTGTTTGGATCTTGGAGCGCGGTTGCTGGGGTCGGTTGCATAGACAGGTCAAAGAGGGAGAGCGCTTGAGATGGCGGGATAGAATTGACATAGAGGTGTAATCTAACCATCGTTCATATTGGAAATATACTAATCAAATGCGATGTTCAAATAAATTCTGTGTTCGTTATACCCAAGATCGCTACTTCCGATAAACAACGAAAACACAAAATCCAGTCTTTCCAATACAACCAAAATCCAAAAAGTCAGCATGATCCATCCAACCCGACCAAGTCCCATCTCCAACAGCAAAACGATCAATCCTTATAACGCCGCCCCCCGCGCCACAACCTCAACCTCAATCTTCACTTCTCTATCAACCCTGACTTTCCCCCGTTTCACACTTAACCTGCTATTCCCTCTCTCCGCATTTCCCGATGTCCGTCCCCTCTCTGTCAGCTCAAGTTGCTCCACATCCACATTCCACGTACTACTCCCATTATCTTCCAACTCAACATAACCTCTTCCTTTCTTCCCCCCTCCTGTAGCACTCCGCTCAATACTAACCATCATCTCATCCACGGGACTCAACCTCATCACCTTGGACGGCTTGCTCCCGATCGTCGGTGGGCCACCGGGCCCGATTGAACCGCGGTAGCGATTACGTACGCCGCCAGAGTTGGAGGAGGAATCACTGTAGGGATTGCTGCTGAGCAGACGGGGCCAGAACTTGGCAAGGAGCGGTTTGAGTGTCATGACCGAAGCACAGATAATTGCTGAATTGACTTCGACTGCGGTGAGGTAAGAGAGAGAGGCAGCCCAGTATGTCCAGTCTGGGTCGGGGCGGGTGTGCATCTTGATGAGCTTGAGGAGACGAAGGATGGAGATGAAGCAGACTCTGCACGGGAGGTTAGTGACTTCACAGCCAGTATATGACATCAGGGTGATCTTACAAGAAGCCGAATCCGAAGACAAAAGAGAGAATGACTTTTTGTCGGCGAGGCAGTTTAATTGTCCAGACAACCGGCATGGGCAGCATGAAGATCAAGAAGTCCGTGACTTCCCAAGTCAGCCATCAGGCAACAACCAGTCCTCAATCAAGCACCCACTTACCCATATGCAACCCTGTATTCGACCACCAAATCGACTGCGGATGGCAGTATTTCTTTCCTGTGTAACGAAAATCCCAGTACGAATGCAAGGGGATGCAAGCCGTGAACGTGCATAGCATCATGTATACGCTGACGATCAGTACGACGACGAGCAGCACGATGCCCGCTTTGCGCGCCCATTTGAAGGCGAAGATGTGGATGTAGAGCAAAAGAATGGAGAGCTTCGAGAAGCTGAGAGTTAGATGGTAAAAAAGAATACTGTACCAGGCCGCCTGGGGTGGTGTTAGAGGGGTTGGGAAGACGGTGAGGGGGATACATACCCTCGACCACGCGATGGCGCCGTCAGTGTCGGTGGAATCAAGGTCCCAGACGTGTCGGCCGGAGCCATGAATAGCTTCTGGGAAGACATTAGCCTTTGCAAGGGGAGGGAAAGCAGAGTTGGGAGGATACTCACGGTCTATTAGTCCCGCACATGTCGCTCCAGCAAAGATCTGAGCAAGCGATCGTCAGTGGCTCTATCCTTAACCCCCTTCTTCGATGTTCCATACCAACGCCAGTAAAATACACCAATCAGACCAGCTGAGAACATGGATAATGACTCCTCTTGTGTAGAATCTCAGGCTGACAAAGAACGCAGCAATGACCCAGCAGACGCTGGCGGAAACGATGATGTTGACCTGACGAGTGTCGTGAGGGATGTCTTCAGGAGCTGATAGCCAGGGCGCCCCATTCTCTGGGACAGTCTCGGTGTCGCTCATTCCAATATCTTCCAGAGCAGGTTTCTGTCAATTGCAACACATGCATTCTCAATTTTACCAGGGAGAAGGCATATCTCTCCGTGTACTCGACAGCTTCACTCGCTAAACAAGTTGCACCGAGTTCAGAGTAATTATGGATTAAGATTTCGCAGTCTCGGGGTTAAGAGGTTAACTGAGGACTTGTAAGATTCAGACCGTGGTGGCAACAAAAACTCTCATCCAATCAATTAGGGGGGAGGGGCCTGTGCCGCACCTCTACAGCCTCGAGAGTCGGGGGGGGCTGCCCCGTCAGGTCATACTGCATACAAGGAAATCTGCCGGTAGCCCGACCGCTCCTTCAGCGGGGCACTTTTGCGAGCCTGTTGCTGTTGGCTCAGCTTGCATATCCCAGACGCCGAGACGGCTGCCAATGCAACCCAACGGCTCGGAAGGATTTTGTGTGAGAAGACAAGGCCAAAAGTCCGGGGAAGTGGAACGCGGCATGCTGGTGGTGCTAGCGCCGGTATATGAGTTATAGGTGGTGTCATGGCTTTTTGGCAGGCCTAATGATGGTTCGTCAGAACGAGGTGATGATGAAAGGACCGAGGAAAAGGCGTAACACAAGATCTGGATTATCAACCTGAGATTCAATGAAGCATTTAGATGGATCGTATGTCTGATAGATAGAGACCGTTCTGACAGAGTCATGATATGATTTGCTGTCCATATATGCCCTCAACTGCAAACCGATGTTTTCAGCTGCTTATTTTGCAGCCCGTCATCCCAGCCATATTCGGGTTTGACCTTCAGCGATATACGCCAAACTCTGTCATGTAGCTATTGGCAGATGCACCTTTAGGTATATCTTCGCTGCTGCGAAACATCTCCTGAAAACTTCTATTAAGGACTTATCCCTGAAGTGTAAATATTAGAGATTGGATGTTGACTACTTCCCCAAACATAATGCCACACTAAAGTCGTCACCACTTGCATTGTGACTTGCCAATTGACTTTCCATGCATTTCATCTTGGTTTCTTTTCCTTCTTTTCGTTGTTATTCTGTGGCACCCATCATGCTTGACAGATTCCCTTAGGGCCGCATGTCCTGCAGGGCAACACCCAAATAAATACTCCCATCCACATCGCCATTTTCTTTTACATCCAACAGATAGGAACAAGCCATATTGTAAGATATCTAACTGGCGCAGAATAACCCCGTCCACAAATCCAGAGTAATACACCATCTAGCAACGTGAGCAGTGTTACATCAATGATCTGTTATTAACCAGTTCATGAGGTTGCTTAAATGCATTGAACTGAAGAGCGTTAGGACAAGTGAGCAACTGCTTGGTCTCGAACAAAAAGATTAGAAACGAGAACATCATACATAAAAACCCGGAAAATCTCAGTATCATTGCAGCCACCAACACACTTCAGCTGACATATATCACTAAGCCATAACACAAGAGGAAGATCAGAAGGACCGTCGCACGTGTACCAAGGCTCCGAGCTGAACGGAACATCATATAGAGTTGTAGTCACTTTTTCCCCAAGATAAATCCTCCTCCTCCCTTTTTACCGATATTCACTGCAGTTGATGCCTTGTTGCACCAGAATTTACTAGCTTTGTCGATAATTCTATCTGTCATCAGATCCTCATTCCCATATTCACACTTACAAGTCCATCGTGTCTTTCACATCTACCTTACCGATCTACAGGCAGCTTTATAATGGTCATAGTGAGCATTGACGTCGGGGTCTTGTGTATCAAGGCTTGGCCCAATTCCGCGGGTGATGCGAAACAGGTCGTCGGGATGGCCAAGTTGACTGGAATGGAGTGACATCGTTCCTGAACTGGATCTAGTTTCGGCAGATCTCGAGGAGGCCAAGGAACTTCTCAGCAACAGAATCAGTATCGAATTATCATTCAAAATATTTGACGGAAGCCACTATTTCAAAGTCTCAATTGGGAGATCTCGCATTTACTGAATATGACCGCAACTCAAGCTGACTCATGCGACAAGTAACCTTTAGCCCAGTAGTATTTTTGATGAAGCGGAAGCGGCCGGATTATGCTGGACTTATTTCCATCTCACGTTCATTCTGAAGTACAATGACTCTGTGGTGAAGAAAAAGATGATTAATACCTACCACTGTACTAACACGGGGAAGGGAAACCCCAATAAACACTCTAACCTGGAGATCCCTGAAGGGGAGGAGTCAGAATCCGACTAGGAATAATTACATGTCCACAGCGGCAGCTTTTGGAAAGAGCAATGTTATCACGTAGCTAGTGGTTTTGTTCGATATCGTCTAGTGGATCGGGTGTTAATAGAGTAACTAAGTACAACATACTCCCCAAACGGATTGCCAGTGTAACCATTGATGCTTATGTCGAGGAGGGGATATATAGACAGTTGTCTCGTGACCCTTTCAATCATCTGATGCCTTCTATGCCTTATCATGACTAGCACTCTATGAGTAACGCACCATCTCCCTCTAGCCTTCCCTTAAGGAGCAAGCAAGTCTATGCAGTTTTCATACATTGCTTCATGTTGACGCCCTGATCAGGAGCATGTGGAAATTTTCGGTGTTTCGTTACCTAAATGGCCGCGGGTCAGTTCCATCCTGAATGCTCATTTAAGATGTGCAGACACACCCTCTCATTGAAGCCCTTAGTTATCTACCTGCTACAGAATGCTATTGAGGTCAAGGCTCTCAGGGGCTTTCATAGTGTCTCAGTTGGTGCTTGTCCAAAGGATTTGACTCAGATCGTCCTTGCTCCAATACCCACGTCCTCCTCTGTTAAAGATTTGTCTCCTTTCCTTCCAAGACTTTCGCATTTTCGCCTTTTCCTCGTAATCATAACGTCTAAACTCTTCCAACAAGCTGAGCTCCCGAGCGTATGCAATCTTCTTCCGGAGCTCTTCATCTGGAAGTAACGTTTTGGGCGCATCCCAAATAACATATCCCCACTCCCGAAGGATGTCGTGTCGAGGGTTATAAATCAGATCCTCCCCTCGTTGCCAGCAATCTTCATGAGCTATCCTCCATATCCGGAAAGGAGAAGACTCATGACCATCGGGGCCATTCGCAGGCCAGTTGAGGTCTATCCAGTCTCTGGATCCGACAAGGTCTTCTGACACCTGAGTGTCTAGGTTTTGCCAAACCAGCGGCCATTCTTCTGATGAATTGCCACACCGGAAGTTGACAGCAAGCATGTGCCTGCTTTGTGGAGGGACCTGTCCGAACGTTTGACAAAAAAATATTGTATCTTTCGTTGTATGTCTTTGTGCGATGAAGTTTATAAAGAAAGTCAAGTCCCTGGAACAGCTAAAGGCGTGATGTTAATTCGAGGATATTCTAAAGAAAGGGGGAAACGGTACTCTGCGGATACTGAAAACTTACGCAAGCCTGTTTGTATTCATTCCATTTCCCCTTCACCCTCCAGTTTACTGAATTCGCACCCCACTGGACATCATGCATTGCAACATCATCAAATGCTGCCGAATAGCTCTTGTTAATCATCACAGCGCTATGTCAAAGGGAAATAGTTCATACATACCTTCAGACAACACACGTTCAAAGTAGTCATGAATGCATGCTAACTGTTCATTTACCCATGGTGAAAAAGGGTGAAAGAACCAGACGCCAAGACCAGTCCGTAAGAGTTTCCGTTCCTTTCCTGAAAACGGATAGTTGAGAACATTACAATACCACTGAAACCGGTATATCGCTCGCTGTATACGAAAGATCTCATCCTCGGACGCTCCCGTGCAACTTCGTCGTACCCCAAGGTGGCGACGAGCTTTCGGTAAAGTCGTGTCAATGTACTGTTTGGTGAAGTACTGTATCCTGGAATGTGTCTTGCTCAAAGAGTTGGCAATTTGTGGGGTGAGTTGCAAGGGCTGGAAGCAGATATCTGGCTCTACAAGTTCAAACATGAACTCCGCATCGTGGAGAAAACAACCCAGCTTCAGAACCTTAGACCGTTTGTAGCTACTCGACGCAGCTCTCCATGTCCGGCGAGCGTAAGCCATGAGATTGGCAGGAATCTGGTTAGTGATGATTGCTCGGATGATTTGATCGCGCATTTCCATAAATGCATTATAAAAAGAAGAGTGTGCGAAAATAGCTGCTGACAGCGACTCCATACTGTCCAAATTCATGAGAACAATGGTCCACAGGTGCAAAGGTATTCTTGAGAATGAAGGCTCAATGGCGGTGTTGCGAGCTGTTTTTGAAAGCCCCGAGTCCTCCATGCTGATGTCGTTGCTGGGGCATTGCGAGTATCCAGAACCTGTGTGATGGGAATCATTATTTGAATGGTCCATGAGGTACATCGGAGAGCCGGAGGAGTGCAACTGCTGTTGCTCTAGGGCCGATTGATAGGAAGAAGGTGAATTGGGCGAAGTGTATGGTTGGTGAATCACTGCAGTTTTCCCACGGTGCTGCCCTGCATCTATCGCAAATTGACAGTTGGTTTGATAAATTTTGCAACATCAACAGCAATATGTACTACAGTAAAAACATCACAAAAAGGCAAGAAAAGAGGAAAAAACGACGATGCAGCAGCTTCCTCGAACCCGTGCCACCGGCTCGCAGAGGCGCTTCAGCCTGAAACTGACCTTATGTCAATAACAAGATCGTGAAATGCGCAGCATTTCACATGAAGTATTTCATCATAAGAAGCTGTAAGTACTCTTGATTTTGTTGAAGATGTTACTACCTTGAAGGGATGACAGCAAATATAGAGCTAATTCCGATACCTTCAATTTCATAGGGAGTACGAACGCCGAAAAGATTTCATAAAGGATTTTAAAAATGTTTGGATTAAACGTGAAAAACAAACAGGCCATCCCTCTGCGCAGAGCCATAAGAAGGCTGAAGAAGATGCAGCCATCAGTGCTATTAAGTGGAAGCAGATCGAAGACGCCCACACACAGGCACTCTTGAAGCTTGGTGCTCGAAAAGAGGACCTCACAGACCTGAGTTCCTGGTCCGACAGTTCTGGCAGTAGATGAGAAGATCTGCTGGTCACAGCCACTGCATGCGGTATGACTCTTCGCCACCATCGATCTGAAGTTCTGCGATTTTGCGTTTCTTTTCCCGTTTTGACAAATGAGATTGGATTCAACATTTATCCTCAATTAGCGCACAATACAGACTGAGTTGGAAAGGATTGAGGATCCCAGAATGGCTAGGCTGTTGAGATACACCAGAATATTAGCAAGAAAGTGATTCAGAAACTGCAAGACTTTGCTTGTCGGTGACATCGAAGACGCAAGTCAATGTGGCCGTCGCTTTAAGGCAACTGATATTTCCCACAGGAAGCAAGCTTTAAAAAGTGGAAGCGAAATTTGGCTTTATCTCACGTGTGAATTTCTCGAAACTTTCAATGGTCGGATCATCGCAGGTGTAAACCCAACGGGAAGTCCTCCATACTTCTAACAATCCAGAGAGACCCCCTGAGATGGTTCGAGAGATGTCAGGCTGCTGGATTGAGAGATTGGAGTTCTCACACAACCAAAGCGGCCGTTGTCACAGTTGGCAAGCAACTGTTTGTATTGCTGACTAAAGAGTTTCTTGGGCCAGATGGCTCTGCTTGGAATCTATATACATCTCATGCACTCTTGACACCCGGGAGGAGCTCGAGCAGTTTGCATGGGACGTGTTCGATACCCTCGCCGGAGTGGCAGGCCGTTTTTCGACCCTCCCCAACATGCACACAAAGAGCGTCTCCTGGTGGTCGGAGGTGCTGGCCACGGCTAGGGAGACTGACCCCATAGTCTACCGCAAGCTCTGCAAGGAGGTCAGGGTGAATTTTTACAGGGAAAGGGTTGCCACAGCCTCGACCCCGGCGGAGTGGGGCAAGATACTTAGATGGCGCAGCGGCCATTCGGACGACCAGCTTACCGTCATGGTCGTGAACGGAAGAGTGATCTCGGATACGGAGCGGGTGGCGTCTTACCTCGCTACTCAAGCCTTCCGCCCTGCAGGAGCCCAAGAGGGTTCCCGCCCCGCTTGGCCCGGACCCCGTCTTCCCCCTGAGTGGGCAGCGAGGCTCGCTGACCGGCCCAGCGACGATGAGCTCAAGGATGCCTTCCTCGGAGCCATCTCGAACACACCCGGCCCCGACTGGGTGCCACTGACATTTCTCAGACACACCTGAGAGCTCGTTCGTCCAGCTGCCCGGACTATCGCCGAAGGTTGCATAAGATGGGGGTTCTTCCCGAAGACCTTCAAACAAGCGACAGTAGTCACCCGCTCGAAGCCCGGGAGGGACCCGCGATCATACAAGGGCTGGCGGCCGATCACTGCTGTCAACTTTCGGCAAACGTGTGGAGAGGCTTCTGGCCCGAAGGACGACAGCGGCGGCGCTAAACTTGGGGCTGCTCCCCAGACGTTGCAGGAGCCGTCCCATAGATCCGCGCTGGACCTCGTCCAGGCGCTCGTGCATGACGCGGAGACCATGTCGAGACAAGGCTACCATGGGCTCCGGGTCACCCTGGATGTGGACTCGGCCTACCCCTCGGTTCAACCGCCGATACACCGCGAGGTTCTCACGGACCAAGGCTGGCCATACTGGCTCTGCAAGGCAACAGCCGACTTCTGCCAAAATCACCGCTTCTCGTTCCGGTGGGCACAGTCGACTTTCCGCTCAGACACTGGTCTCCTACAAGGCTCTCCATGGTCCCCAATCCTCTTCGTCCTGTACTCCCTACTAATTATCACCCCCTCGCAACAGGAATCTTCGTTTATGTACATGGACGACCACGCATAACTCTCATGGAGCAAACACCCAGTGCAACTAGCCCATCACGCATCCCTCAAGGTCGGCCAACGTTGGACCAAGGTCCGGGGGCTTGGCCTCAGGATCGATCCTAACAAGACAGAGGTCCTGTATATTTCCCCCGGGGGGCTGGGGCAAAGCGAGGCAGGTTTGATCCCGCAAACATTTCGACACAGGTGGAAGGGGCGTCCTTTTCCCCTGGCAAATCCATCAGGTGGCTGGGCGTCTCGCTGGACCCCAAGCTCAGCCCTGCGAAGCAGGCGGCCGCGAGGGCGTCAGCGACGACTGCGGTGGTAGGGTTGATCAAGCGCCTATTTAACACGAGGGTCCGGGGGTTCCCCCCCGCGGCTGGCCCCAACATCTTCAATGTAGTCGTCACCCCCTCTCTTCTGTACGGCATGGTCCAACTTGATACTGGCCCACACAGGGCGGGGTCAACGGCCACTTGGTCCCATCCAGACTCGCGTCGGTGTGGTCATCTCTCACTAAAGTTGCAAACACAGCATTGAGGGTGATATTCCCGGTGTGGAGGATAATACTGACCCCGTGGCTCTGGTGGCTTGCTGGCCTCTATCCTGAGTACTTGCTAGACAGAGAACAGGTACGGTGGAGGAACCGCATTGTGATGTTACCGGCCAGCCACCCTCTGTGGATTAGGCTCTTCCGAACCCCCTACCGCTGCTGGTCCCGCTTGCACCAAGCGGCCTTTGGTCTAAGGGCTAGGATCCAGTGGGAGCCCAAACGCGCTGGCATCAGAGCATGGCTTGGTCTCCCTTACTCTCCTCCCAAGAAACGTCGCGTCCCTCCCCCGGACATGCACAGATGGTGGCAGGCCAACAGACACCCCTCGGCTCGATGGAGCGGGCACTCGGCCAAACCCTTCCTCGAGGAGTTTTACCGGCAGTGCCCCTCTCGGTGGCTGGCAGAGGCCTCGGGTCACGGCGACTTTCTGGAGTACCACACGCGATTCAACCACTCCCAAGAGGCTATCAGAGAGTGCCCTCGCGGCGGTGTGGTGTCCAGAAGCCACTTCTTTTCCTGCCCTCTCACCTCTTTTAACAACCCACTTGCCGGCAGGCTAGACCCAAGAGCTTTTTGGTCTTCCTTCCAGCCGTTCAAGTCCAGGGCCTCCCAGGTCAAGCTCCAGGGGCAAGCCCAGGACGCTCCCACAGGGCACCCTATCTGTAACGATCCAGACAGACCTCCTGAGATGGGTTCGATGGTTGCCAGGCTGCTGGATTGAGAGACAAAAGTTCTCACACAACCAAAGTGGCCGTTGTGGTTACCAGTTGGTAAGCAACTGTTGTATTGCTGACTAGAGAGTTAGGCCAGATGGCCCAACTTGGAATCTATATACATCACATGCACTCTTGTGGCTTCCCTTTCTTCTTCCTCAACAGCACAGACTGTTGAGAGTCAACATCCTTGGTTGTTGAGAAACACTTTCCCAATGTTCGGTTGTTGGGGGCGGATGTCCGAGTTTGATGGGTCACGACTCCCTTCTACTCCGATCAGTGAGTTGCACGGAAGCTACTCTCGCAAATAGAGTCATTATTGGTCGTGACACTATCCCGTTGCCACGCCTCCCTCGCTCCCCTCGCAAGCCCGCCCCAAGCTCAAGGTGCTGATCATCTAGACCCCGAGCCTAACGATTTGGGGTAGATCCAAACGAGGTACATACCTTGGGCTGGCCGAATATATAATAAATCAATAAATAATAAGTAAATAATAAATAAATGAATAGATAAATGATAAATGAATAATAAATACATAATAAATAAATAATAAATAGATAATAAATACATAAATAAATTAATTAATATACCCGCTGGCAGAGAAACTGGATCCAAAGGTCTTCCGGTACTCCTTCCAACTGTTCAAATCTAGAGCCTGCCAGATCAAGCTCCTGAGCCAAGCGTTCGACACAGCTACAGGACAGCCCATTCCGACATTACTCCCCCCCCCCCCGTTCCCCCTTTCGCGTGTTGCTCCAACGTCGCGAGAACAGGGAGCCCGACAATGACTCGGAGGAGTCGGTGTCGGAGTTAAAGATTAGAGCTCACTTGCTCTGCGGAGTAGGTCCCCGCCCCTCCCGGGTACCCAACCCCCCGGCTGCCTTTTCCCGCACAGGTTTTCTTCTCTCGGGTTTTTGCCCGATGTGGCATGCATATAGAATGAAAGTGGTGTAGCTATTGCTCGCCATTGTCGTAAGCACGACCCAACACTCCTAGGGATGAAGCCGGTCGAATATATATTCCAATGCAATCCAATCAAATTCAACTGGTTAAGCACAGCAATTATCATCTCATGGCCGGTTCATCTGATGCATGCACGGCTGCCTGCTTCGGTGTTTATATAACCTACAAGGATTAACATAACAAGCTAGTTCTAATTCTTATTAGATCCAATCTGGTGTAACTTGCTGTCCCCTTTCCACTAACTGCACACGGTGTGGCAAAAAGAACATGAGCCATGCTGCTGTCTGATAAACGTGCGCGCACGCTACAACCAGATATGACACCGTTACAACTGATCAATCCTTTTTTTGCTATTGTGAAGACCCATCCAGTTAATAATCATTTATATTATGGTTTTGAATCGTAAGAGGATTTTCACCTCCAGCCCTTTTCTCGTTACTACGTTACTAGCCAGTGAAACGGTATAGTATCTCTGTTTGCTGTGATCTCAAGAAAGGCTTTGACGTCTTTACAGCATGGATATGGGAACGCTGATAACGTCGTTTGAGACTAGGCCTTTTGCGTCTTGGAGAAGTCACAAGAGAGAAGAGATCATCATAAAATACGCTGATCGAGCCCAATTGCATCGGCGAAGTGCTCAACGGACCAAACCAGTTGTCTCATATGCTCTTTGATTCCTTAAGGTGAATCTTGGTTTGCCTGGTCTTTGTTGGCAGCTCCAGGAAGCTCATGAACAGGAATAGTAAGAGGAAGCTCTGAAGTGACGGAGTTTTCTCCCGGTCCCTGCACTGGCATGGTGTAAGGTAAGCTGTATGGTGCTCCTCCGGTGCTGGGACTGCTGTGCTTGAGGCTGGAATTCCCCCATACCAACTGCCCAGGTCCTGAAGGCTGGGTTGTACCGGTAGATGCTGCTCTCGCTCCTTCATCTCCTCTAATTCAGCGTTCTTCTTCTGTAATTTGAAGAGTAGGATTGCCACTGCTAATAGAGCCAATGCAAGCGCACCAGCCCCCATAGAAATGCCCACCTTAACTCCACTCGAAAGGTCTTGCGAGGAGTCAGAGATTCCATTGGAAGATGTATTACTTGAAGAAGCTGTTGCTGATGATTTAGGTGTCGTCGTTTGGTTGCTCGTAGGAGAACTCCTAGCGCCGCTCGCAGTGATGCTGGTGGCTGGAGACTGCGCATTTGTCGATGTGAGGGCAAAAACGAGGATTTGAAGTCATCCCATCTTGCCATAACTTGTGCGTTAGGTGGCAGTATCTCCATCCGGCCTACCCCTGAGTCGCAACAGCTCGGCCACGGCGGATTGCAGCAGTATGATGTGTCCAAGCCAGTAACGTTCGAACATGAGATCAGCTCGCCTCCTCCATTATCCCGGACTATATAGTGCCAATGTTCGTATTGGGAAAGTTCAATAGTTTGATATCGTTGAGTAGGAAAACTTACACTGACAATACTGAGGGCAGTCTCCCGAAACCCAACTTTGGTCTGTACATGATTCTCTCACGATCGAGCCATTGGGGTTAGCGCAAAGCTTGTTGGATAAACACCCAACTCCAGGCAGTCCCCAGCAACATACGCTTGTTTCGGCATCCGGATCGCAGGGGAAGTCTTCTTTGGCCAGATTGCCATTCGGATAGTAACATCTTTTCTGGGTTTTGCCAAGCGTCCAGAAGAGCTGCGTCAAAAGGAGTATCGTACGTCTGGTGCCCATTTTCGTGGACCTGCCTGTTAGATGCGCTTTAGGGGTTTCATGTCGATTGGGATCAGGAGTTGACTATTGTATTTTCGGGATCACGCATACTTAAATGCTGAAGGTGGCAAGAAACAACCACTGTTATGCTCATTGCAAAGCTGGCTAACCTGCATGGAACTTTTGTCTTTTTATCTGACAAGCCTCTTGCTCGGAGAAAACGCTGCCACGCTGGTGGGGGCGGCTATCATCGTTTTGCCGCACGATCTTCGATATCAAAGCACCTTTAAGAACCATGCTATCGGATGTGTTGCTGGACAATTCCCAACCTACAAAAAGCGTTTTGCCTCTAGAGGAGTGTCATCAAGAGGTTTCATATCATAGTTATGGTTTGTAGCCCATCACTCTTTTGAGTAGCGTGCCATCCTTAGTGCAGGGGCCATGCTAATCTTCTCTGTATCATTCCAAATTGACCAAATGCCTCGAAGGGCAGCCCATCACTCTGTTCACTGGGTACATCAGCCGATTCAGATAGGAAATCAAAACATTGCATTTGACTGGAACCCCAACTCTAACCCGACAGAAGATTCTCCGCAAGCCACACCCGTTTCCCCATTCTCGAGCCTTGCACTTTGATCATTGTCCTAGCACGTCGTGAGAAATAGCAGTGATGCAGATCAATCATGTCTGGAAAAATTGGATTCAATAAAAAGCTCACCAAAATTCTATGCTCGTGAAAAATTGGGATTGCGAATGCCTAACCGTTCATCTAGGCTCAAGACTAATGTAACAGGATTCTCTAATCAAAACTTTCCTACAGCAACCACACGGTCACCAATCATAATGTTGCACTCCGCTAAATCTTGCACTGCATTACAATAATGCCTGTGTAAACTCATCATTGGTCCTTCCATTTTTTACCCTCTCCTGAAGTGCTTGATGATCCTCATGGTGACACGCACCGCCATTCTCTCCCACGCAACAACAACTAAGCCACGCTTGGTGTCAATGGCTGAGGGTGAACGAGCCCCGGTCGGATTATTCCGCCCATCTTTGAAAGGAACAAGCATTTGCCGCACCTCAGAAATTTCGCTCTGAGAGTTGCTCAACCGACACTTTCTGGATCATTGAAACTTGTGTTTGTGGTCTGTTTACAGATAACAGCATAGTGGTAAGAAGATACAGCTTTAGTCCATTGATGCACGATTGAAACACAGTGTCTGCATGCCATATGGCCTAGTTTGAAGGGCATTGAGATCCTAGTATCATGGTGATATTGCTTATTGTCTTTCTCATTAAAGATGGACATGTTGAAGCACTATCCTTGATTCCTACGAGAAAGCTTCTCTTGGCGATCCCTAGTCACAGATATCTCTTTTTGAGATTTCCCTCCATGGATACAGAGGACCCTTTATTATAATGTCGCTTATATGTTTCAAGCATCCAAGATCCGGGCCGCTACTTCGCACTTCCCTGTGTTTTGGATGATGCGTCAGAAGATCACTCTCGATCTTCTAGAATTCCCAGGATACCACAAAGTCCCTTTTTAGATCTCTGTACTCCACTCTTCTTCATGTGTCGAAATCTGGCCGGTCCGTCTTCTGGATTGCTCAGAACAAACTGAGGATTCAGTGGAAACACGAGGACTTGACAAACTGTCCTGTAAGAAATGGCTCCTTTTGTATTGAAAACCAATATCCTTGAACGTGAGACTAGTAGTGTGAGATTCTCCCAGCACACTAAAGCGCAAGTGGCAAAGTTTGTATGTATGTATGTGTGTATATTTTTTGACTGATGTCTACTTTATCTAGGTACTCGGGTCATGCCCACGGCGACGGTGGGCAATAGCTACCTTACTACTTTGAATACATGTGCCCCCGGAGAAAAGCCAGCACCGGGGCAAAACCGGCGTAAGCAGGGGGAAACACCGGGCGAGTTGCGTAGCGTGTGTCGGGTGGGATTCACTCTTGCACGACCCCAGGGAGGTGGATCTCTAGCCCCGATTCCAACTCCGATGAGCTGGTGTCGGGGCCGCTGCCCCTGTGGAATCGGGCTCGAACACATGAAGGGAGATTGGTAGTCGCCAAGTATGCATGGGGAACCCATGGTGGCGTCCCAGGCCTGGCCCCAGAGCTCAATCTGGGAGGGCCTGGACCTGAACAATTGAAAGGAGGACCAGAAGGCCCTTGGATCCAGTCTGTCGGCGAGTGTAACGGGTGACTTGGTCTAATGCAGACAGGGATCGACAATGGGTCAAATGGGTTAGATGATGGCCACTGACGATGTGGAGTGCACAGCGAAGTCAATTACTACGTGTAATAATCTTTCTTGGTCCTCAGTGTCCTTGTGTTGGGGAGAGGAAAGCCCAAGAGAGATCCTTCATCGTGTCCAAGTAGCCCACCTTATAAAATCCCTTTGCCCTTGTGAGTACCTCGCGGTCTCCTGCATCTTCAGGGGTTCTTTTCAGCGTGGCAAGGTTATTTAACTCATTCTTGCCAACCCCTCATATTTTCCGGGCTCTACCAATCAGATATGCCTTTGCCCTTCTCAACTCTTGTGTCACTGGTATTCTATATATCGACTGTCAAGGATATTTCTTCTCCTTGGATTGCCGTGTCCATGTGACAGCGAGCGGGTGATTGAAGGTGATGAGGGGCAGGAGAAGAAGTGGCCTCTGGAAACCACCGTACCACAGGGGCACTGCTTGATGGCCTCATGGGGGGGGGATGGTTGAACCGCGCGTGGTACTCCAGAAAATCACCATGCCCCGAAGCCTCCGCCAGCCAGCGTGATAGGCATTGCCGGGGATCAGCCGCGGTAGGGAGGTCGGGCAAGTCTGGCTTGCAGGGGGTGGTTGGCCGGCAACACTCCGGCGCGGCACCTCCACCGCTCCCGCTACCTGTCCCACAGGTACTCGGGGTATAGACGTGCCAACCAGCAGAGCCACGGAGTCGGGATCGTCTTCCACACCGGGAATACCACCTTTAGTGCCGCGTTTGCGACCTTGATGAGAGACGACCAGGCAGCCATTAACCCCGGCCCTGGTTGGGCCTGTGTCGAGTTGGACCATGCCGTACATGAGGGAAGGGGCAATGACCGCGTTAAAGATGTTCGAGCCAGCTAGCGGGGGAAAGCCCCGAACCCTCGTGCTGGACAGGCGCTTAATCAGGCCCACAATCGAGGTAGTCATTAAATCCTCTTATTATGACAAACTCTGCTCCGGTAGCTCATATTGAAATATTTCACTCATTGCTGGCCGACCCGAAAGCTTTGCCTCAATTCTTCTGTCAACTTTATGTGTGGCTATTGAGCAATCACTCTCAGATGCATGTTTATCAGTGGTCTTCTGTTGGAGGTTGCGTTGGAGGAGATACCGGCTATGTACTGTTACAAATCACGATGACGATGGAAATATATGTTGAACTCTCAGAAGAGAATTCCTCAAGGTCCAAAAAGCACATGGTTCCAATTATTCGCTTGCCAACGCGATGGGATAATTTTGAAGCATTGAATGGGATCGAACCCGGCCATTATCTGACTCTACGAAGACTTCTCTATCAAATCTTTATCAATCCGATTGTTTGTATTTTACTTGGAGATCGCGGCACTATCGTGCTCCTGGAACACGTCGATAAACCCTCAAATCATTTCTGCAGGCGCCTTAGATGATCGGCTGTTGCAGAACCAGCTTCACCATTAGCGTAGCCTTCTCATCCATCTTCAGGTTGAACTTCCTACTCTTGCTTAGTCCATACGCTAGTTTTGTTTTTCGTTTTCTTGTTGGGGGGTAGACATGCCAAAGAATTGGTCGAAGCCCTTTCGAGAAACTAGAGTCAGATCTCCAGCCTACACTCGGAAGATGAAAGATTCCAGGACCAGTTGCAGGCGGATCTCTCTCTTTTCAAAAGCAAGTGAGCTATTAAGCAGGCAAATAGTGTCTCACTGCTTACTAAACTCACCCACTTCTTTATTCCAGTAACATTCGCCACTGGGCTGTTTAGCATGCAAGTCAAAAAGCTGGGTAATCCACCTCCCGTCCACCAATTATCATCGCTGTCGCACTAATGTTAATAACGTACACTCTTCATGTGATAATACCTCCTAGATGGCTTAGGTGTTTGATCAATGGATTGAAAATTTTACCTTGGCATGAGAGATTTCTCACTTCAGCCTTGTGGATCTTTGGCTTCAGTCCTGTGGTCTTCTTTTCTATTTGAGTGGACCGCATTAGGGATCTGGTCCGCAATGTATATCAATAGTTCAACCGAATGCGGGAACGAAATGACCTGGGAAACCATAAAGCGATGATATAACAGAGGAATGATCGTGCTTGAGAGAACGATGGGCATACACTAATTGCGTTGGTACAGCCACAATGAGGCAGTTGCATTTGAGCTAGTATTGCCATGGAACAGCCTTTAAGGCATGAGAGGATCACGCTGTTAATGTCACTGCAACATACATCATTCATCCTTCCTTGTCGGAATCATGAGCGTTTAATGTCAAATAGCATTGATCGAGACCGCCATACTGCAATTTCTTTACTGTTAGCTTTACTGTATTCGCCCTTGTCTCTTTAAGATGGAATATCGTCAGTAGACTAATAGGTAGTTCTTTTGTTCAAAACAAGTCACAAGATAACGGAAACATGAGAGTTGGTGCGACTCGATGCTGTTCACCTTTGGTTCTTGTCATTCTTGCTTCATTACAACAGAGCTACAGGAGTAGTTGATATTGACAACTTGAAAGAAAATACATTTTATGGAGCTTTTTTGGCGCGTTTCTTTGCTATTCTGAGTCAGTTGACGAGATATGGCGCCATTATGTTCTTTGTTTAGGGGGAGACAAGGAGCGGACCGTCCCAACTGCAACGGCAGTTAGCGAAGCTGAGATACAGAATATTCCGAAAATTTAAAATCCTGTTCTCTTTATTGTGCAAACGGCACAAGGTTACCAATGCATAACAGCTGGTATGACTTAATGATATTTGAGTTTATTCTCACCATTGGATCTTCAATAAAGTATAGACGTATTTAGGTCTAGAATTGAAAACATTTAAACATGTTCTGCTGGAGAACTATACATCGAGAGGGAGAGCTATCAGAATCTGGTGGTTACTATTCAGTCTGTGAAGTAACCTACTAGCTTCTTTAGCTATTGATTAACAGCAAATTTGTCTGTTTCACTTTGCTGTTAACTAGCAATTTTGATGAAGGTGATGCATTAGATATTCCAATATATGTTCGCTCATTCTTGGACCAAACATTAGACATTGGAGATATCTAGTGAAAGTTTAAAGGCTTCGCATCGACTCTAGCGAACTATGCAAAGTACTCCGAGAGATGAAACGGATCGACTGACGTGGATGAGGCTCATAGCCACGAAAGGCACACTTTCCACTTCTCGGAAACTAACAGACAAAACAGGACAGAGAATCGATCTGGGGATAGGTTAAACAGCAGTAGCTTCTAGACAACCATGTGAAGTTAAACAAAAAGGCTATGTGTAATTGCTCTATTCCAAGCATGTGGTAATGGAACTTTAGTGTGAGCAGTTAGAAATCAAAGTTTTGAATACCCTCCTCCAAGTGACTGGCGTATTGCTTAAAAAAACCTTGAGCTACAACCCTTCTCTAGGGCAGTGGAGTTTAAACAGGAGACTGCTGAGAGTCCATGCCCTGGCTGTTGTAAAGGCACATCAATGTTAACTCAGACATTCGCCAACTACGAATCTCGTGTCAAGTTCGAACTCAGAGGTGTAGATAAGCATGGAGCAAGTAGGCTAGGAAGGCATGGAGGGCCAAATGTTTGAAGAACGTGGTCAAAGCGTTAAAGATACTCAAAGCAAATGGTGCAACGTTACCAACATCCTGCAGGTCCGCTCTAACAATTACATTAATATGATGTCACAGAAAAAAAATCAAAAGAACAAAAGCCTATGTTACACCGTTGGCCAAGTACAACAAGCTGCTATTTAAGTGAATCATGGAAGTAATGATAACTTTACCGGTTTTGGATTCACTGTATAAGGATATGGCATACCTAGATTTCAGCAACGTATCTTAGTATAGCTATGTATGCCTGCTTTACGCCACACTCTAGCCATTCAATCAAGCCTAGCGGCTTTCGCTCCTCAGAGGCTACTAAGCTGTACAATGCGAGGGATATTTGAGGGAAGCGAAAGTTACTACGCTCGTTTCTGAAGGATCCTAGGTGCAAGGCTTTGAGCAGTTATTGCTCCCAGGGTTAGAGCAACTAGGACAGTAACAGAAAGATTTAGGCGGAAAAAGCATTCCGTTTATGCCAAAAGCGAAGATCTTGTTGAATGGGGTTGGTGGTATCGAGGAGGGAAATGAAAAGTACCTAGAAAGATAAGAAACACGAATAAAGACTGTCATTAACTCTAAGTTTATGTAACAGACTAGGGTATTAGTGACCGAGATGCGAGGGTATCATAGTTGTATGCTAATTGGGATGCAACTTTTGTCGTCAATTGTTCAGTTCAACCACCCACTGAACGCTAAGGCGCAGTGCCCTCTCTCAACCCCTTAGTCCTCAACGTGAGCTTGATCTCCCCCTCTTCAAGCGGCGGCGTCCCCGCTCCCGTAACCCTAAAAGCCCCTCCATTCTCTCTCACCGCTCTCCTCAACTCCTCCCCCCTCTGTCTCCCCAACGCATCACTCGCATCACTACCCCTCCTACTCCCCCCAAAACTACTCGTAATACTCGCATCATCGGGCAGCACCGTCCCCGACAAGTTCAGACTTCTCACCCTACCTGCCCATAACCCTCTGATACCTCCCCTCTTCCGTTCGGGTATCTCATCCGTCCCCGCGCTGCAAACATAAAGGAGGTACTTCAAGTTAGGCAGGGTATGTCTGATGTCGACAACTTTCAGGCCCTGGCTTGCGCAGAGCGCTTCGATGTCCTTGTTGAGCAGGAACCAGGCGTAATCAAAGCGGTATTGGGCGCTGGAGCCGCCGCGGGGGACATAGAGAGGGAACTCGCGTTGGGGGTCGGGGAGCTGGCTTATGTCGTCACGAATGGTTGAACGGGAGCCGAAGACGCGGATGGGGTATGGGAGGGGCACGGAGAGGTAGTATTGTAGGGCGTCGGTGAGCTGGGCGACGTGGCCTAGGGCGGCGGACAGGACGTCCTCGCTGCTGCTGTCGGAGAGGTTTGGGTTGTATTTTGTGTGGTTAGACTTGAGAGATTGGTCGTAGTCGGTGTTGGGAAGGGGAAGAGAGCATATTTGGAAGCATAGGGGAGGGGCTTGGGGTATGGGAGTGATATTAAAGATGCGGGAAAGGTCTTCGCATATTCGTCGGCGTTGGCCGCGGATTTGCTCCCGTGTTTGGGTAAGCAGGATTTTGGACTGGGCGAGCTGCTCTTTTGCGTTCTCGACATCCCTGGCTGCCTTCTCCTGAGCAGCACGGCCTTGGACAATTGCTTTCCGGCGGGCCGCAATGGAGGCCTTGAGGTCTTCGTTGCGCTTTTTGGCTGCTGCAACTGCTCGTCGCTGTTGTGCTAGGTACTTGTTGGCCAGGGCCAGCCTGTCTTCGGTGTCGGGGACTTCGTTCTTCACCTCTCGCTTCAGGAGTTCATTGATATGTTGAGTAAGCAGCTGGTGTGTGGCGAGGGCATCTTGGATAGAGTTATCCAATGTGGCCAGTTTCATCAAGGCATTGTAGGACGAAGTTGGCATTGATGAAGCTGATTTGGGTAATGGAGGTTTAGAAGAAAGTTCGAGCGAGTAGATGCCGTCTATCATGTGGAAGATCAGGCTGTTCGGTGGGAAGTGGACTCCCTGAAGGCTGCCCAGCCAGTTGAGGGCGCGCAGGTCGACCTCATCCTCCAACAGCAGGCACCATTTTTCCAGGCGCCTTGTCCACACTTTTATTGTAACCCTTGGTGCTCGTGTAATGGTCGAGTCGAGCTCAGCAAGGTCAAAGAATTGGAAGTCGAAATTCTGTTTGGTCGCACGTCAGCCGTCAGCGGAGTTCCTCTTCCCATATCGCAGCCAGTGGCGTACCGTCGCCCGGTCCGCTGTCTCGCTGATATATACGGGCTCATCCTCTCCTTCAACGTGCAGCGAGAAGAATACCTCGGCCAGGCGGCTGTCAAACATATCCCCAAAACGCTTCTGGCGTGTGGTAGCATTTGCATGGGCCAGGCTCATCACAGTGCTACGCCTGCGCCCGGCCGGAGGCCGCAAGTCCTCTGAAGAGAGGGCATGGTGCAATGGTGGTGCCTCGCGCAAGGCTTCGAGTTTTGCAGGAGTACGGTTCAGGGCAGCATCATCGGTAGTGCGACCGCGGGGACGAGAGAAGGTGAGGTTGCGAAGAGATATACCTCGAAGGTGCCGGAGCTTGCGATTTTGCGGCAGTAAGAGCGGACGCAAAGGTTCGACCGACATTGTCTCATGTTATGGAGTGATAAAGGGAAATAATGGATGAGTTTGCCATGAAATCCAGGCATTGACGATGTTGATAACGCTGGCGAGATGTTGGAGTAGATGATGCAGCTGCCAGCTGCCACCTCTTGGGGTTGCATCGGTGAAGCTTAGCTACAGCATTTCTTGGCATCAAACTCTATTGTGGACGTGGTCCGTGCGTCGGCCTGGCTGTTCAGCGAGGAACCAACAGAGCGCCAAACATGAATGATCCCATGAAGGTTGAAGTTTAATATGATGAATATAAGCAACGCTTTTCTCGAAAATTATAACCTATGATTGAGAATTAATGTTGATTTGTGATTCAGCTGATCCCTTGACCCAGCATTTTGCCCCACTCATGGGGCCCGAAACCCCACATTCACAACCCCACATGCACAGCGCGCGATGTCCGTTCCTTCAGCCTAATATGTTTTTCCCGTCTCAATATGCGACAACAACCCAGCACTTCACTTCCAGGTCTTTTCATATCATGCCCCGACTTCCTGCATTCCAACTAACACCACTTTGATATCACTATTGCCAGTAGGCCCGTTGATACGATGGCATTGGCCTCTCGAACTCAATCGTGTTCTCCCGGTATGGATCGCGCGTCGGTGACAGTAGATGAGGTCTCCGACCCTGGTGCCAACCAGCAACATCTCTTTTGTCAGCAAGCTCACCTGAGGGTGGAACCTTCGTGATGACCCCATACAGCCGGTCGAGTTCCTGCTCCTCTTGTTGAAGCTTGCATCGTCGCCAACACCAAAACATGGTGCACACTACAACCATAAGGACAATGACCGCTCCTGAGACTCCCATCCCGACCTTGAACGCTGAGCTCAAGGGCCCATGACTATGCGGTGAACCATCATCAATGACAGATTCTGGTACCACAACTCCTGTTCTTGCTGACAATAGGCGTGCATCGAGTTCAAGGGGTTTGATGGTTGCTTCAACAGTGTTGGTTATGTCAATAGTTGCGTCTGGCTCATGTGCTTTGACGATCGTGTTGCGATCACTGCGATGCCAGTGAATTTGGATCATTGTTGTTAACAGACTCGTAGCTGTAAAGCTTGCCTTTGGGTTGGGGACTGTTTGGAATACGATTGCACCACTCTTCGACCCGTCGCAGGTTACTGTGGGTATCGCGGCTGCAGTGGCTACCATCGTGCATGTTTGACCGTTGATATTCGCGCAGGTGTAGCTGCTAAATAGCACATTAGTTATGGCACCACTGAATATAGACTGAAGACCAACCTTGGACAACAACCAACAGCTGTTTCGCCATCATTCAATCTCGACTGCACCAAAAAGTCTGCACACCTAGTGCTTCCTCCTGTGGCTGAGCAAGCTGACCAGTATCCAACTGGGCATTGCAGGCCTGGGGAGTAGTATCCCTGAGGAGGGGTCGACTGCTCGAAAATCTTTAAAGCTGATGGCCAGCATGTTGTAGCATCAACTGGCTTGTCGTGAGTGCATGACTGTGAGAGTATTGCGACATCTTTTCTTCCTTCAGACCCACTAGCTCCAGTAACAACGGCACGCCCCGCGGGCGATGTGAAAGTCGTTGTCAGTAGACCGAGATTTGTGGGGGTTGGTCCAGTTTCCACGATTGTTGACATTGTGATCGAGGATAGACCTCAAAGCCTAGTTCGCCTGCTAATCTAGTGGACAAGCAGTGAAGGTTAGAGTAAATTAGCCAAGTGGCTGGTAACCAGGTCTAATATTTTTCTGGAATCACTTCTGGTGGCAACAGATTTCATATTCTTGCTTCTTGATCAATGAAAACCATTGCCCTTGGCAAAAGCCTGAACCCTTTTATGGGAAGCTGCCGTGTTTCACCCTCCTTCATCTCAAGTCTTGTACTCCTCTGCCGATTCCGATGGCCGTAGTTATCCAGCTATGTTGTGTGTTGATCCTTGCTTAGCATGACCAGCATTTGCAACACCTCAACCCACAGCCCTCCAGTTATCAAGCATAGAAGCCAGGTCTCGGACCCCAGCAGTCAGTGGTGCAACGTTACATTTGCCAGGCACAGCACTAGTCGTGCCGAAGATGTTGGGTGGTTGAGAAACTTCTCAAGGATGTGGGTGAGCATGCACATTTCGTGTTGTTGATGATTCTTAGTCCAGATCATCACTTGAGCCGAACTTTGGCAGTTCAGCACAGGGCCAACATATCGATTGAGGAACGCTCCTTGCCAGGACCCGCAATTGTTACTTAAATGGTAAGGGCTTCCTGCTGTGCTTTTTACTGCCTAGTTGTATGATGAGCAGATCCTGCGCTCCTCATGCAGCCAACCTCACCGTTCCGTTCTCTCACACACTGCTGATGAGCGTCTGAGCGTCTCGAGCACTGACCAGTTAACCCGGATCCGAGGGCCTGTGTTACAGTTCACAATCACGGATGGGGACTGCAACCTATACGGTTTACCTACACAGGTTCTGGTCAACATCTTTGCATCTTGCTCGATAGGGCATTATCTCCTGGGTTTGGTCACAACATGTCGCCATTTCTATGAGATCTGGAAGGCCAATGTTACTATAGCTCTCTGGCCGGTGTGGTTGTGGTCTGTCCTAAACGTGGAAGAAGCCCTCTCACAATATGTGCCACGCTTCAGTTCTCACAACATGGATTGTGGGCACTTTCTGACCATTCACTATGCCTATAAAATGGGAACAGGCCCGTGTCAACTAGTGTATGAGGCAGAGAAGGAAAAGCGCGTGCCACCCATTGGCATCTCACCCGCGGATCCCGAGCTGTGCAAGGAACCTTCAACGATGAAATCGAGTAGATCTTTTGCATTCTTCGGCTTGTAAAATCTTTCCAGCGTTCCTCAGGATTCACGATAATGCTCGCAGGCATTGATATGTGCATGAGTGCTTGCATTGGTGTATGAACAAGTATCCTAAAGAGCTTCCTTCGGGCCATATCCACGAATGGGATTCCAACATAAAGGCACAAATGCAGAAGACAATTTATCTGGTACTTATCGCCGGTGCACCACTCCACAGGGCATACAAGGAAACCCTTTTCACGGCAAAGAAACCACTCGGACCCAGAGATCAAGAACTTCCCTCTGCCCCAATACTTTCAGCCAAAGCATTATGAGCTCTTCCGTCAATTTGTTGTTTGCACCACGAGCTCGAACCTTGTGGAGGAAAAACCAATCTTTGGGCCTTTGACAGAATGGCTGCTTCAACATATTTTTTGTCTGATCACGAGGCAAGATCCGAGAAGAAATCGCACCAGAACGGCATTGAGAGCTATGATGCACTTATCTTTGCCCGCGCTTGCCCACTTGAACCGTGCCCACGACCATGGCTGTATGAGGATTGTGCTTACAAGCTTTGTCGACCGAGATTCTGATGATCAAAACCCCAACTACCAACCCGATCATGACGACCGATGCAATCTTGTAGTTGGTCAACACATGAAAACCGGCTACTTCATTGTCCGGGAGCTGATGAAAATGCTTTGGATTGCTGAGAAATTCGGAGGTGGAATTTGGTATGATGATGTTGAGGGTGGCGAATTCTTCAAGGAGCATTTTGTCCTAATGTCACCACACAACGGCCGAGTGAAAGACCCATGAGAACACCTGAATCAACTGACCGACCTATCAATGGGGTTTTCTTTGGTACATTCAGGTACGAAAAGGTGGTAGTTTAATCCGTTACGGACCTGTCGTGGGTCGATGCGTTGCCGCATGAAGTATGGCCGACTCTCAACGTCTAGTTGGCAAATTCCATCTGGAACAGTCACGCTGACTTCAACTACACATTCTCGGACAAACCGCAATACTTGGAGATGAACGCTTGGTGCTTCAGGAGCTCGATACCTATAACAGAACAATGTCCTCCCTATGCCTTTCATCAGACGCATTGAGCACTGGTCCTACATTCAAGAAGCGTATGAGGGCTATACCAACCCGAAAGAAAACACTACGATGTCCTAAGCTATGAGACTCTCCTTCCCTTAGAGGAGCAACATCCAGTGTTTGGCCCCTTGGCAAATGGCTCCTCGATCACATCATGACGGATCGAGACACGCAAATGCAGGCCGTGGCCATGCACAACGATACGTCCTCCTCTTGTGACCCAGACTATCCATGCTGGCCGTACTATGGCCGTAGTATGCCCCTTTTTCCAGACTGCCGTGTAAGATTCGCCTGCCCCTTTGGCCGTTCAGGAGAAGCATTACCATGCTCGCAAAATGATGTATTCATCACCCTTCTCCCCTCATGCACAGGGTCACTCTCTCGTGTGGGAAGTGACGAAAATATTGTGGGTAGTTGAAATCCTTGGGGAATACGGGCTCCGGCACGATTCAGGCGAGCCGTTGTGTGATGATTTAAAGATGTTGAGATGCACCATGTTCTGGAAAGACTGACCCTCACTCTCCAAGGAAGTTGCGGAAGCCGGTCATTCAAAATAACAAACGACGGGCTTTGGACAGAGAAACTGTTGTCTTCGCATGTTCAAAGCCGAGACGGTCTACATAATAAGATCAGTAAGCAAGAGCAGGCGGCCCTCCCTACTCTATCGCCCTGTAGTCGTTAGTTTCGGGTCTTACATTCAGAAAGCCCCGACTCTGAAATCCCCTTCGGCATGAGCATCTAGGTCGCACTAAAACACGTCTATCTCCACTCCAGTTACTCAAACCGCACGTGGTTCGACCTGGGGTATTCTCATTTTTCTGACCTCCTCTCTCTCTGCATCTACATTTGATTACTTCATGTTGTGGTACCTCGAGCTTATCTGGAAAGCGGGCTTGTTCTAGGAGGAGAGCGACCTGGATTATGACTGCAACATGCTTTAGCGTCCGTATGATAAGTTTATGTCGTCGTTTGCTGTGTGATGTGACCCGCGCCATGGTTTGATGAGATTCAGGAGGATAAAAGACGATGGGTTTGTGAGCCATGAGCAGGGGCTAGTTGAGTTGGATTATTATACGACTAGTCGAGGGAAGGGGATTTTCTGCCTGAAAACTTTTGAGTTCTCTAAGTTTAAGTGGCGGGAGTATAACTTTGAGGGGGATCAGGGAAAGAAAGTCTATGAAAGACCTGCCAGCAGTCTGGAATGGTACGGGGTTTGGCATCAGCAAGATAACATGCCTGAGCACACTGATGCAACAATAAGGTACTTTCTTCAACAAGTGGAGGATCATTCGTTTTTCCACCAACGCTAGTGTTACACACTAAGCAACCAAAATCAAGAGGAGAACTGGGAGCTTGAACGACTATGAGTGACGTTTCCCTGACGGCCCATACAAGACCTAGCAGGATCTTTAAGCCCACTCCTCTTCGTGGTCGTGACGTCACCTGAAGGACCCCGCTATCAAGAGGCGGGGGCACTATAAGTCGAGAACGTGTCGCCTGCAACATGGCAACACCTCACCAAGTAGCTTACCTTTCGCCGGTATTGAAGCAATTAAACCACAGTATCCATCGCAAATGCTATCTTTAATCCGCATCCCTACGATTCTCTGCAGGGCAACAGTCGTACGGGCCAGTCTCGCCGCCCGTGCCAGCATTCCTAACAGCTCCTTTACCCAGCTGAAGTTGCAAGATCCAAAGCAACCCACATATTCACCTAACATCACTTCATCCCCTCCCAGTTATGTCTATTATCCCAATACAACCTTCACAACCAAAATATACTACGGCCAACTACCCCAGCGTCGCACTTTAATCGCGACCACCCGCCCAACCACCCCCAGCATGTCCAACCCCGGCCCGATGCCGCCGACCGCCTCAGCCTCCACAACTTCACCTTTACCCCCCGAAGCACAACACTTCGGCGCCGAAATCAAAGGCAACCCAACTGAATCCGAAGCCGACGTTGCCGCCGACCGGTCCGATCTCGATCCCCTTCCTGACTATGTCAGAAGGCAGATGAAGAAGGCTATGCGGGAAGGGGGCGGTGAGGCGGGGTTCCCTCCTGCGGCGCCGACGCCGACGCCAGAAGAGTTCGGGTCCACAACATCGTGGGAGTCGGCGGATCAGTGGTTTGGGGAGGGAGTGGTGAAGGGGAATCCGACGACGAGTGAGGCGGATGTGGCGGCGGATCGGTCGAGGGTTGATCCGTTGCGGAGAAAATTAAGGTTTCGGAAAACGATAGGAGGGAGTTAAAAGCGGGGTGTAAGCAAAGGCTCAGGGCTGAGCGGGGGAAAGATAAGAGGATACGAGTCTGAGATGGGGGAATGGAGGGAGGTTGAGGAACTGAAATTGGGACCATAATGCAATGGGAGTGGTACAGCTGACCTTAAAAAAAACAAACATTCCGATGGAATACACAACTGGGCGTTATGGTTGTGCTTTGGTTGACGGGAGGAATGGAGTTTGGAATGTGACAATAATTTCAGGGATGTTTTGAAAAATGGGCAAACAGGATAAAATAGCAAAAGGTCAAACTCCACAAGGCAAAGGTCATTTACGAGAGTGTACCTGCGTAACATTTGACACTGCTTTCCATGTTTATGACCTTCCCTTGTTGAGAGCTCGAAGCAACGGCGTGAAATTGCTGCCCACAGAAGCAGCAGCTCCCCCAAGAGCCTCCACCTTTTTTACAAGACTTTGTCCCACGCCAAGCCCTAGGTGTGCTTATCCCTTCCTACCCCACAATCAGACAATTTCTGAAATACTGTTCCTAGATCAACCTTCGCACTCCATTTCTATTTTAGCAGATACCAATCAGCCCGCGTGGCTCAGTGGTAGAGCGTGACACTAGTAGGAGATGAGATCCGAACCATGTCAAGGTCGTCAGTTCGATTCTGGCCGTGGGCAGAGAGATATCTACTTTTGGCTCCGTATCCAATACAGGACTTGTTCAATTTTAGATCTTTTTGACACTGTCTCGGGGAGGTTGTCACCAGAATATGAGGGTTTCAAGGGAGAACAAATGTGAAAGAGCGGCCCCAATAAGACAGGTTGAGCCCAAGACTATGGGCTGCACGCAAGAAAGGGCATGGCGACTGAGATATCAATGACGAAAAAAAGGGGAAAGATATCATAGAAAAACCCCAAAGGATGTCATCTTCGAATAAATCATGCCCACTTCAGCACAGCCTTGATAACCTTGCCAGACTTCTATCCTCAATCGCCTTCTCGTAATCCTTGAAGTCGTAATATGCTATGAACTCGTCCATCGGGAACTGACCCTTGCGGTGCGCCTCCATCAAGAACGGAATAAACTGCATCACTTTGGTCAGCCTCTATACCTCATTCAGAGTCTCTCCTGTGTAGGTAAACCCACCTCACTCGGCAAGCTATCCCCCTCACAGCACCCAACATACTCCTTCCCATACGTCAAATGCTCCATCACATCCACACTTACACACTTCCCGAACCCTGGAGCGCCCACCGTCGCCGCACGTCCCTTCGTCCCCAAGCAGTCAATCATCGTCCTAATCACCGCCGGTACTCCCGTGCAATCCACCGCATAATCCACGCCAACAGGAGGACAGATCTTTCGAATCTGCTCAACCACATCCTTCGCCCCACCATTAACCCCGTGTGTGGCGCCCAGCTTCTTCGCCAGTTCCAGCCGCGAGTCTTGCAGGTCGATGGCGATAACCGTCCTCGCGCCACGGATTTTCGCCGCTGCCATAACCGCCGCCATTCCCACCGACCCGACACCGAACACAGCGACCGAACTACCGGGCTTGACGTCCAACGCATTCAAGACGGCTCCAGCACCTGTTTGCATACCACAACCCATCGGCGCGTACAACGCGAGATCAGTCCCCTGTGGGACCTTGACCACACTAGAGCGGTGCACGAGCGTGTGGCGGGCGAAGGAACTTTGGCCGAAGAATGTGCTGAAGATCCCTGTCGAGGGGTCGTTAGGCTCCAAAAGCATGGCAGGCGTGCCGTCGGCGCGTGAGCCACCAAAATTGCGGTCATTGAAGCTGTGGCAGTAGGCGGGGTGGCCTGTGATGCAGGGGGGGCAGCGCTCGCAGTGGGAGAAAGAGAGGAGGACGGAGTCGCCAGGGGAGACATGGGTTACGTCGCTACCGATTGAGACAACGACGCCGGCGCCTTTTCTCTATCAGCACACACATATATGCACATCAAATAGGCAAAGCGAGAAGAGAAAGAGGGCTTACCTTCATGCCCGAGCACGGCATTCGGCCGGCAGGGGAGGATGCCCTCGGCGCAGGAAAGGTCAGTGTGGCAGAGGCCGGAGGCGTGGATCTCGACGAGGACTTCGTCAGGTTGAATGGCGTTAAGGTAGACCTCGCGCAGCTCGAATTTGCCATCTACATTGGGCACGACGAGGGCTGTTGTGCTGCAGGACATTTTGGTGGTCCCCGATGTGGAGTTTGGGGTAGATGAAGAAGTGAAGTCAGGCGCGACAAACTGTCCGTGGGTGATGAGTGAGTTTGGGATGATGAGTGTAAGGAACTTGAGATGCTGGGAGTGAAGGACAATCGAGTTAAGATTCAGACAAACAACTGTCCTTCTCTTCATCCCCTGCCCTACACAAAATAAGTGGACTCATCCTATCTCCAGTCCTCGCATCAACACTGTCCACGAGTCTTCTCCGCAGGGCTCGGCCCGTCTCCTCTCCTTTCTTTCACTCACATTTCTGTCTCAACCTCCCAGCGCAAGCTGCACAGGTGTCTTAGCAATCCGGTCGGAGTGGTGGTGGGATGGAAATCTCAAATCCTTGTGACAGGGTAGCATCCCCCATGTAGGACTCCAGGACGCAATGTGGGAGCCCCGCGATACCCGAGATCCGCCCTGTCACGCGGGCGCTGCCAACTTTCTTCTCCACTCCACAATAACTCCCAAATGCCCCAGTGCTCCACGAAATTACCCCACGGGGTGCTCCAGTTCACCATCATCGGGTATCCATGCCGATTTGGAGAAAATCACATTCCCAACCATCGGTTCAATAAGCCTTGATCATCTCCAGCCAACAAACCAGCTGCGGGGTGTGCAGGAATTTGTAACTTGCCTCGTGGCTGTGGGGACGGTCTTCGGGACAGAGGAAATTAAGGTGTTTGCTGGAACACTGGACTGTGGATTGTGGTGGAGATGATGGAGTTAGGAGTTAGATACGTCGGAGCTGACGGGATGAACTGGAGCTTGGGCTTAAGTGCCGAGTAAGAAAATTGATGGCGTTGTTGAAGTGGTGAATGCGATGGAATCTCGCCGTAGAGACGGCGAAGGCGAATGCCGAGGTGAACATGCAGGTGAAAATGCTTACTGTGGAGAGTGAGATAGTTAGAAGCTGGAAGTTCGAAATGCAGTGTTAAAGACGGGCAATAAGTTGAAGGGTTTCTCCTTTTGATCCTTTTCTAGGATTACCGTGCTTCGAATAGAAATTTTTTATTCCTTCACTTATAGCTTTTTTGGTTTCAGGGGGAAGACACCAGAATCTCGCAATGAAGATTCCAAAAATTGGCCAAATTTTCCAATTCAATCCAAACTACACGCTATAAGCACTGATAAAAATACTATCAAAATGCACTGATAGACATCCAAAACACCGCCAGATATATCATAACATGGGCATAACCAAAAACAATTACAAAGCATACACCTCCCTACTCAAAATCATCCTTCCTCAACCTCCTACTCTTCGCCGGTCCAAGCGGGCATACCTTCCACTGCTTTGTCACCGGATCAAGCCACTCCTTCTCTGCAGTCCGCCACTCATCAATAACCATCTGCTTCCGGCTCTCATCGCGGGGAGTGATCGTGACAGGGAACTCAACCGGCTGGCAGACAAAGCCCTGAGTCAGATCATGCGCCTTGGGCATGATCGGCTTGCCATTCTTGTCGAGAGCAGGAGTGATGTTAAATGCCCAGAGCATACGCGAGACACCAAGGAAAAGGCTGCGCTCCGCGACGTGGATGCCAGGGCAGATACGGCGGCCGGCACCGAATGTAAATTGGTCGCGCTTGGAAGGATCCGGGTTGGCAGCAGCGTCGGCCAGAGATTGGAAGTCGTCCTTGTAGCGGTCGGGGTTGAACGTGCGAGGATCGGGGTAACGCTTAGGATCCATGTGAATAGCCCAGACGTTGTTGACAACACCAGCATTCTTGGGGATGAGGTAGCCCTCGTACCAGTCGTCTGTGGTAACAGCGTGGGGAACAGCGCCCATGATGGTGGTGGGCATCCAGCGGAGGGATTCCTTGACGATCTGGCGGACATATTGGAGATCCTTCTCGTCGTCCATGGTGGGCATGCGCTTGGATCCAACGACGCGGTCAATTTCTTCCTGGGCCTTCTTCTGCACCTCGGGGTAGAGCACCATGGCTTGGACGAAGGCATACAGAGTCGAAGAGGTGGTGTCGGAGCCGGCTTCCAGGAGAGTGCCCGTGATGTAGCAGGCCTGGTCATCGTCAAAACCCTCCTTCTTCTGGACCTCGACAAGGTCCTCGGCGAAGCAGCGCATGATGTACCGGCGAGAGTCTCCTGCTTAGCCTTGAGCCAATGGCCCATGTACAGCTCTTTCTCCTTGCGGTGGAGCTCCTTCGCCTTTTTGCGAATGGGCAGCATGAAGTCGGGCAGGATGCGCAGCCAGGGGAAGAAGTCGACAAGACCAGCCATGCCGGTCTGATTGAGCTCAGCAAACTCGGAGAAGCCATCAAACAACTGCATCATACGGGGATCCTCGTAGGTCGGGCCACGCCAGCCGAAGACCATGGTGGTTGTGAGCGAGTTGGTGTAGCGACGGATGTTGTACATGCAGCGCTCGGGCTGAACAATCATGTCGTAGAGCATCTGGCGGTTCTCCAGTATTTGGTAGGGGACGTAGGACTTGGCGGCCGAGATGTTGAGCAGGGTGTGGACGAGCTTGCGGCACATGCGCCAGCGCGGCTCGTAGCCCATCATCAGAATGCGAAGGTTGCCACTGCACAGGGTCTGACCGATGTACATTTCTTGACGGTGTGAGTACATGTTGGACTTCTTGTCCAGCAGGTCCTTGACGGCCTTGTCGCTGTTGAGCACGACAAGCGTCTTGGTGCCGAGGATGAGGCTGTAGATCGGGCCATACTCGCGCGCCCACTTCTCAAACTGAAGATGGGCATCACGCTTGGGCATCTGCTGTGTGTTAGCATTCTGCTAGAACTCTTTCACTTCCTGAGTTTGAGAACACACCTGATGGAGGTTACCAATAATTGGCAGGGTCGGGGGGCCAGGCGGATAATTCTTAGGCCGACGGCCGGTGAACAACAGCCGGATGAAAAGGGCGACCGCCACGACGGCGGCGAGAACATTTGTGACCAAGGCCATGTTGCACTGCCGATGGTGACTCGTCCGGAGCAACTGGCTGTGTTAGTGCAGCGTATTCGGACGGGGACGAGGAGAAAAGATGAGCCTACTCGTCGAGGAGAGCACATGTCCGATTCAAGTACTCGCCGTCAGCTCCGGGTCCGTGAGGGCGACAGTACCGGACGATGAGCCGCAGACCGCCCTGCCGGGCCGCTAGGGTGCGATCGGCGTCGGGGGAAATGTGGGAGTGACATGGGTAAGACTGTCGGAATCCGGGGTACCTTTAGCGCGGAAGTGGAGGTGGGATTATGGGTTCCGGGGCAATGGAGTCCTGTGACCGGGCCCCAACTGTGCTCCAGCTGTTGCCTACTGGCATTTGCTGTCCCTCGCGCCCCTGGCGGATCAGGAATCGCGGAGTTAACGCGGGGTGTGGGAGGGTCCCACCCGTCTAGCCCAGGCAAAAGCCCAAAAGCTGCAAAATCTCATGCCCTAAGTGTCCAGCTGGACACTGGAAAGTGCTGAACACTCCTCCGTGTCAGCTCCGACACGACCAGTAGTTTGTTAGACGCTGCTTGCTAGCCAATCCCAATGCTCGCCGATGCGTGAAACCCCAGTTTCAATCTCCACGATGGGAAATGGGCATCCAGGTTGAACACAACAAAACATAGGAACAAACGGCGTGGCAGGCACAGTTCCGAGGTGTCACAGGCACGAATGAGAGTCCTGGGGTTGGAAGCAGCAATGAAGCTTGCTTTTGCCTTTGAGACCGTGTCTTCATTCGTATGCTTCCATCTATCCGACATGAAACCTCTTGAAGTCGGTTATGAGGTCGTTGACCTGTCGCATGCTCGTCTGGTCGTACTTGTTAAGGATCGGTTCCACTGATCTAGGTTTGCTGCGCGGCCCCGACGACGATGGCAGGGCCCCTGGAGGCGACGTCTCCGGAATTCCTTGTTCGTCCTCCGGGGGCGACATCTTCATCGCGATGCGGTCTGTTAACAAACTCCCGAGCAGCCAGTACTCGGCCGAGTAGCGCACAAAGCCAACCCTCCTCCACATCACATCTGGGGGCAGACAGTCGTCCTGTAGCAGCCCGTGCGACGAGTTCGAGATGGGCGTCTCAAGGTACCTCTCCCAGATTTCAATCCAATTCTTTAACCCGTTGCGGATTGGAACCAGCTGACCGTCAATGGTGAACGAGTTTTGTTGTTGGAAAATGATGTAATGAATTGCTGCAGAGACAACGTTAGCGAGAGCAGAAAAGGGGCTGACCGGGGGGTAAACCAACCTGAGACCATAGCAAACAGATTGACGGGGCCCAACTGGGCAAACCGCCGGTGAGTCTCTGGAGTCATTGTCTCTAGGCAAAGATGCTCTATGGCATCTCTCAGCAGCAAGCTGTAGAACGGAGTCTCTGGATGCATCCAGCGATGGATCTGCTCCAGACACTCCTCTGCTGTGGCAGCCTGGAAGCACGCTTCCGGGCTCGCCATGTGCATTTTCATCTCCTTGATAACCATGCGGTGAGGCAGATTGTTGAAGATGACAAACGCCGTATCGATGAGAAATATCCAGATAAATAGACTGGAAGAGTCAGCTACGCCCTCTGTGTGAAAACCTGGGCTTAGACCTACCGGATACGCTCCTCTCGCACGACATACTCCAACCAGCTGAAGTCATGCTTATGCTGCTTACTGTAGTCAAGATGCCGGGCGGTATCAATGCCCAGATCTCTTGCAACCTTCCCTCCGCGTAAGCCACTGTTCACTACAAGCCATGCCATCACACTTACCGATATGACGGTCCCAAACCTGTGCCTCCGTATCCTCCTCTTGGCCGCGTCCGTTCCCTCCCAATTCTGATACAAGCACACAATGTACGCTGCCTGCAGCGCCTGCAGTCTCCTCCTATTATCCAGACTTGTCACAGGCGGTGCGTCCTCGCCGCTAACAGGGGAATCGATGTCACGGCAGAAGTCATCATCCGTGAAGACCATCTCCTCGACACAGTTTAGCAACATCTTGGCATCTTCGTTGTCGATTGGATCGGGCGAGACACAGGCGCCTAGAACAGTGTAAGCAATATCGAAATGGACACAAACCACGTGGCAGCGGAGCCTACCAATAATAGCCATAGCGGCCAAGAGTACCGGCTTGCAGCTGGTTGGGTCGAAGGTGGGCCGGTGCAGAATATTGACGTTGGGATGCCAAACTGACCAGTAGAGCTCAATGAGCTTGGCGAACCGGGATGGGGAGAAAAGTCTAGACAACGCTGTTCTAGTGCCGCAGACCAGGTTAAGTTGATGGAGCTGTTGGCGTGCTTTATGGTTACCACGCTCTTGATCATCACCACTACCTGCTGCAGCTTGATGACGATGGGGTTGTGCAGCCACGAGTTCCATGAAGAGAGACCGTGGTCTGCCGGTCCGCCCTCTACCGACAGTGCAGGGGGCACAGATGGAGTTGAGATGGAGTGGATGAACTCTGGATAGTGGCTAGCCAGAGCAGTTTGGTCAAATGCAGCAACGATCTGCTCTCGTTGGCCTAGTGTGCCACAGTCGAAGGAAGAAACTAGGCCTGTCCTGCTGGTGAAGTCGTACAGGAAGTTGAAAGAGTATCCCCGATAGTCAGAGCTTTCTGAGGCCTCGCTGCGGCCCTCACTCCGGGCTGGTTCGTGGGCAATGGGATCATACTCGAGGGGCGGTGTGACATGACTGAAATCCATACCCAGCCAGTCGTCGGGCATTATCGGGAACTGGGATACGGCATGCTGAACCAGGACATCTAAGTGATCATCATACAGAAGATGGCCAGACCCAGGGTGGGGTAGAGAGGTTGTAACATGTGGCGGATGAAGAGGGAAGGAATGTGGATCATGGAGTGACGTTGAGCCATGATAGGTAGGTCCATGATGAAGATCGGTCTCTGGAAGAGGCTCATGCTTTAGGCCGCGGAAGTCTGTCTCTGGAGGGGAAATGGCGAGGTTCTGAGGATAAGGATGTGAATGAGAGAGAGCTGGCGTGTGTAGTTGAGGATGTAGTTGAGGGTTTTGATGTGGTATCTGCGCGTGGAGACGTGTCTCTAGCTGCGGCTGATGGGTTGGTTGCGGATGCAATGATGGCTCCTCTGCTTGAGCTTGTGGTTCAAGCTGAGGTAATGACGGCTGTTGGGCCTGCTGGGGCTGCTGCTGTGAGGAAGGTTGTTGAGTCGGAGTAGCGTTCGAGTAGACGCACTCAACGGCGCGCTTAATGCAGTTGTGGCATGGCTGAGCCGAGTTGCACGCCTTCTTCTGGCGCACACAGCGATCGCAGGCCCTCCTCCTGCTCGACGACGAGGTTGTGGAGGCGCCGTCGCAGGTCTGGAGATGCCTCTTCAGCACATCAGACCGTTGGAAGGAGGCACTGCACAGCAGACAACGGTGTGGCCGCTCCGAAGTGTGCGAACTGCGATGGCGCTGGAGATGTTCTCGTCGTTTGTATGTCTTGAAGCACACGGGACAGCGGTGGAGCGCCGGAATGTCAGCCATGTCGAAGCCAGGTCAGAGGAGAACTGCTCAGACTAGTTCAGCTTCCCGTATCGATAGGATCGAACGATACGCACTCGTCATGGATGAGCAGCCACTGGCTCACTGGCCTTCAGCGTCCGAACAATTCCACTCTCCAGAAAGTCTCTAGATTTTTAAGACTCTAGGCTCTCTGCCCCCTAGGTGGCCAGATTTTACGCAATTTTGGGCTGAGCGGTGCTAGCATTCGCAAGCGCCAGACAGTCAGAAACTTCAAAACTTGGCAAAACTCGTGGCAGACTAGCCACAACTCAATCGGACTGGATTGCCGAAGTGTCGACTCGAGATGATCCAAAATTCTGGATCAAAGGGGCAAATCTGCCATCAGTTCCATCAATGGGAGTAAGGGAAGTGCGGGGAGTGGGGTAGAGTGGAGCACTATGGGTCTAATGGAACCAATTGGGATTTATGTGGGGTACTGTGGGGTAACCTGTCTGCGACCTCGCCGACTCCTCATTGAGTGGCCAATCAGAGAACGATAGTCAGCCAAATGGTGTGGGGCTGATCTAGAGGGATGGAGACCCGCAGCCACGGCACATTTTGCGGATATGACCAGCAATGGGAAGTTCTGACTGCATCCAGCGCACCATCCCAAGTGATCTACGATCAGCATTTGCGGAGAGAGAGATCCAGTTGGTTTTAAGCAAGGATTTCTTACTATCCCAGGAAACGAATGAAAGTACACACTGCATTCCGAAGACGTGACTTGATTCTCCGCTACTCATTGGAGTGATATTGCAGGCCTTTCTCATGTGCGCTAGCGATTGCGCCCCATTTTCCCCACAGCCTAAGATCAACCGACATGAGCTTAGCTGCAATTTTTGCCATGCTAGCCCCGTTTCGTCACGACTGCGATTGCATCGCTGGCCCTCGTGAGGATCGAGCCTGAGATTGCCAAATCAACACATGGTGTGGAGCCCTCAGAGAAACTCTTGGAGTCTTATCAAAGAACCATACAGAGTTTGAAATGTAACCGATGGTAACCGGACAGAAGGACATTAGGCCGTTTTTTTTGATTTGAATTATCAAGAGCTTAATCTCCCATCCAACGGCAAGGCCAGTTACGGCTTGCCTTACTATCAGAATTTACACACCCGGGCTCACCAAAGTTTGAAGGAAGAACTCTGTTCCAGAAGCTCATTGGGAAAGATTTTCGACGATATCTGATATATATGCAAAAAACTAACGCAGTGTCCGAGTATTTGACAACATCAAAGCTCAAGGCCGGTTCCAAAACAGAATAGATAGTTGCTAATATGCAGTAGCTCGTCCCCGACTCCAACTCGGTGAGGCAAGTCTTCTTCCCCAGACTTTGACCCTGACATCCCTCTACGCAGTCCCTATCCCCCGTATCTGGCTTCAGTCAACCAGACTGGACAGTTATCGAAGCTGGCCCACTACTCCTATACCCCTCGGTCGCCACAAGCTGATAGTCGCGGCTACCCAAATTCAACCCCTTAGTCTTCCAAGCATTAAAATCGTTCGTGACCGTCACGGTGCCTACAACCCGCTTTGACGTCCTCATGCTCCAATACCGCGTAAATGTCTTGGTTCCTTCGATTGGGTCAGCATTATACCTCGTGCTCTTAGCGGTCTTGTACGTTCCCCCGTCCGACTAAATTGCGCCCAGGTTCTGGGCGCCCGACGATGGGTTGGATGCGCTGTATGACTCGACGATGTAGTGTTCAACCAGGGGGTTGCGCGTCCAGCCGTAGATGGCCAGATAGCTGTTGCCGGACGGGTTGCAGTTACCGGAGTATTCAATCGTGCGGGCTGCGCCGGTACGCCTGGATAGAGGTCTGCATCTGGCTCAACACTAAGTTTCAATGTTCGGGTTGACAGTGAGCCTACCATCCCTTCCCGCCGAAAAATTCCCACAGTTCTGCCAGTTCAAACTGTACGACTATCCGAATTCGTTAATAAGAGACTCCCAGGTTATGCATTCAATTGATCTCCACTTGGTAGCTACATGTACAGAATCAGGTCCAGTTGGATGGTTCTAACACTCCCAACCGGATAGCAATGGTGCAATCACAAATTAGCACTGCGGCTCATAAGTGTGCTCACATTTCAATACAAAAAAAAATCTCTGCCAACAAATGCATCTATGTCGACGGCAGTTATAGGCCATACGCGGAGCTAAGGCCCTCCCATCTTACCAGCGCTTGAACAAAGAGATCCAGCTCAGATCCTCGGACAGAAAACTTAGACTCATAACTTCAGTTTCCGAATTTGACTGGTGGCAACGATTGGTACAAGAGCAGGATGATTCAGCCTAAATTCTCCATCCGCTCAACCCGACTCCGTTCATCAGTGTAACAATGAAGATTTTCTAGAAAGAGACGCCGAATACGGCATCAAATCCCTCTCAACCCCGGATTTTCTTACCTGACAAGGGGTACGGATAGTGTAACGCGGAGATTGTCATCCAACGGTTTGTGGATCCGCCCGGCTGGGATGATGGTAAGCCAAGCAGCCAAGACACCAGCGGAAGGTTGCATATACATTGGGATAGTGATGCCGCCATGCCAGGGGTAAGAGACAGGGAGCGGGGAGGGAGCTTGGTGTTTGTTACTTCTGGATTGTCGGGTTGCGATGTAGAAGAAACCACTTAAGGCCGTTGTCATGGCAGCACAACATAAAGGTTTATAAGCCGGTAGTCATATTCTTAGTTTGAGGGTTATTGACCTCACTGTCAGCTCCCAACTGCGGTCTTCTCTCCAATCGCGGGACATCGGACAGCGCTTACCATGGTCTCCCTCAGATCTCTTCTCTTTACAGTCGCCACAGCCCTAACGTTCCCTATCGAGGTATTCGATACCGCCGAAGGCTTCAGCACCACATCTCTCCGCGAGCTGATGGCTCTGTCTGGCGCCTGTAGCGGAACGGGCACGCAACGGGTGGTGCTACTCTTTCTGGACCGACGGCGGCGGCACGGCGTGCTACATGAATGGCAATGGCAGGTCGGGCTAAAGTTGGACCACACTAACTCAAGTCATGATCGCCCTCATGTTCGAGGCCTTCGTCTCTCTCGTACATCTTCGCAAGATTGGCCTTAAGTGTGGTAGTGTACCGAGTCTGGGAATGTGGGTGTGTCGTGTGTCGGGACCTGATGCTTGGAGAGATCTGTTTGGTGGATACGTTTCCAAGCGCTTCTTGGACAGCCACTGTAAATATATCGCTCCTGGGACAGTTCTACCAGGAGACATTGTCATGGACAAGCGCCCCAGTCATGCAACAATATTCGTGCTTTTAGCCTATATGTCAGGTGTATATATCTTGAGTTAGCATCAACTCTATGAAGAAAGACCACCAATGGGGCCGAGCTATGACGATAGGTCTCGGTGAATAGAGGGAAGGTGGCTAAAGCTTTTCAACTTGCCTTAGACACCTGCCCCTACATCTCGCATATTACACGAATATCATGGAACTGCTTCTACAGGGGTTCAAGGGCATATGATACTTCTGTTGTGTGCTACCCCTGGTGAGAAGTCTAAACATAGAGGCGTAGCCAGGGCGCTAATTAACAGGAATGAGCCTAGAAGACGTGGTGAAGGTGACCTTCCTATCGAGACTCACTTTGACAGCAACGGCGCCCGCAGCCAAACAATAGCCTAAGTGGTGTAGGGATGGAAGACTGATCAAAAATCACCCTGAAAACTAGAAGATGGCAAACCATGGCAAACCATTCTTCACTCGGCCGCTTGACGCCACATATGATGGCTTCACTTCCAGTAAAGGCCTCTGGAGTAAGCCTACCTGGAACGAAGGATTATCACCCCGTCGTCTTGATAGGAGAAAGCCTGAAGCTGGATGTTAGAGAGAAGTCATCATAATGCTTCTTGCCGATCGTGGCACAGAGGTCAAAAGGTCTTTACTCCCTGCCAACTGCTTCCGAGACGTAACCTCAGAAGAGAGCAAGATGAATGTCTTTGATGTCTCAGGCAAGATATCCGAAGTGGATGAGCACAGCATTCTGGCCGCCGTTCTTGCCTCACTCTAAGACCTCAGATATCTATGCCAACAATAAAACGAGACCATTGATCATCTATCCATATTACTCACACACTAAGGAGCATCAAAACCTGGGCATGCAATGCAGCACTGAGGTAAGAAGATAACAAGTGTTAAAAGCGCGTGGCGCAATCAGAAAGCTTTGGCAAACTTTCTTGACACTCGGTTGCATCTCGAAGTTGAGGAAGCTGTGGAGTCTAGGAGCTATACTTATATGAAGCTTGGGGTTTCCATGCCTTAGTGTCAGAGAAACAGAGCTCGTATTGGCCCTCGAGTGTTCTTGCCTGTTGACCGCATTCCGTCGATGTTTCAGGGTTAGGGTTATCGCTACCGACTTCGGCCGCTCAAGGATTAAGGGGTAAGGTCCACCAATGTCAGCAAATGTCGTCTCCAGAGAAACCTTGTGAGTTGACATAAAGACGAGAACTTCTGAGATGATCTGAACATAAACTCATGGCAAGGTGAGCTATGCATAGCCTATGCTCACGTGCTACACAGCCGTTTGGCAGCCCGTGCCCAAGATTTTTGACTCGGATAACAAGATCGGCGCCAAGACCGGAGATAATCGTGGTCATCGGGTTTAATTCGCCCGAAATCCCTAATCTAGCGCCAGAGGTATCTTCCCCACGAGGCATGCTTCGTTGCTTGACAAATCGCAAACTCTCAAACAGCCCATTAAAGATGAGAGTGTGGCGTTCTCGCCACATGGGGTAACTTCGCACAATTGTGACACGATGACTGATTGGTCCGGTTATCGTGATTCGAGGGTTCATCAGTGGCTGAGGACGGGCTGAGAAGGGAGAGAACAAAGAGTTGAGGGTGTTTCATTGCCAAAGGAGGAATGCCCAGACATTGCGTGATCGCATTTGTCCCGCACGCCATGGCACAGAGAAGGCGCGTTCTGACAGCATATTAACACACCCAATTAATAACGAACCAACCCGCTGGTAAAATGCGCGCGCGACAGTCTCCCCTGTTTTGTTGTCGTTTTATCCTTCCCAGATTCGCAGACAGGGACGCTGGATGCGGCTCATGTTGCGGTGAGACAAACCGACCGCACGTTAACCGGAAACAGACTGGAAACCGTGATGGATTCCCTCCAGGTCGTAGTGGTGGCATCACCCTTTGTTAACCTGACCCCGCTGTACGAGGTTGACCCCGACGCCGATGTGCTCCTCATCGTCCCGCCACGAAACAGCTCTGCCGTTGCCCCGTCCGACCTGCTCGGCGTGAAGCCCAAACAGACCAGCACAGCGCCCCCTAAACCAGGGGTCCGCATCAAAGTTTCCTCGAAGCACCTTGCCTTGGCATCCAAGGTATTAAAGACCAAGCTCTTCGGCTCAGGCAAGCTCCCCAAGCAACCAGATGGCCGCGTCCACCTTCAACTTAGCGAGGGATTCGACTCCCAGGCCGTGACGATCATCATGAACGCCATCCACGGTCGGGGCCCCAGAGTCCCCAAGTCTGTCGACCTCGATCTTCTGGCCCAACTCGCTCTAGTCGTCGACAAATTTCAGTTTTATGACGCTCTTGAGGTCTACGCTGACAGATGGATCTCCCGTCTGGCGCACACTCTTCCCCAGTCCTACAACCGCGATCTCATTCTTTGGATCTACATTTCGTATGTATTCCGAAACGAGGATATCTTCGCCTCGATGACCAAAATCGCTGCCTTGCAGAGCTCGAGACCAATCCAAACCCTGGGCTTCCCCATCCGGGATAAGATCGTGCAGTCAATCGATGGAAGTCGCCAGGCTCTTTTGTCTCGCACACTTGCGACGCTCTACCAATCTCTGGAGGAACTCGCCAGCGGCGGCCTGAAACCAGCCTCCTGTTCTCACCACGGCACCCACGACTGCGGCGATTCTTTACTCCTGGGAGAACTCGTCAAGTCTTTGCACCGTCAGCACATCAGTCTGTGGCAGAAGCCTTCAGCGCCCTTCACCGGTCTGAGCTACGCCTCTGTTGCTGAAGGCGTTGCCTCAGGTCTAGAGCTCTATCAGCAGCGTCAGCGGGTTGAAGATTCAGAAGTCCTCTCCACTACAGCCCGACCCAGCACCGCTTCTTCTAGCACAAGCACTCGCCAGGTGCAAACCGTCTGGTCTCAATCAGAACCCAAGAAGGAGCATGTTATTAAAGAAGACCTTCCCGAGTGGAAGAAGAAGAAGAAACATCTCGCCTCCAAATCGAACGCCAACCCCGCCTGGGGTATCATAAACCTTCCCTCTGTTGGCCCACGCCTGCCCCCCACGCCAGCTGCCAGCCCGGAACTGACGTATGCCAAGGTTGCTGGGCTGCCGGACTTACCTGGTGCTGGGGCGGGGCTGCAAGCAGACTGTTGGGTAAGGAGGGTTACGGGGAAATTGGAAGGGGTGGAACAGCTGGGACGGGAGGTCGAGGGGTTGAGGTTGGTAAGCAAGTTGGGTTATCTAGCATTTTAAAGAATGAAATTCGGGAGGGGGATGTATCAGGTGAGGCTGATGTGCGGGGGTATTTGGGGATGGAGATTGGTGCTGCATCAGAGGCTACTCAGGGCAGGGATATAGTCTCTGAGGATAGCAATCTGAAGAAGGGGAAAATGGTGCAAGGGGATATGCCGGAAGTTAATAGTCCAGATGAGGGGAATTTGGACACGGAGGATGAGTCTCAAAGTGGCAACTTGCATAAGCAGACTCTGAAGAGGAGATATGAATCGCGGATTGACGACCTGAAAGGGGAAGGTCTGGGGAAGGGCGAGGAGTCCCAGCTTGAGGGGATTGGTTCAACAGGGGAAAGATCGCAGAGAGGAGGGCAGTCAGATAATGACAACCTGCAGCAAGAAGAGATGTGGAGAAGGGATTACTGGAGGGGAGACCTCGTACAACGACTAGAGGGTCTGAGTGGTAGGGAGGGCGACCTGAGCAGTACTTTCCTTGTGAAACAGGGGGAGCTGAATGGTAATAGGCCGAAAGTAAGCCACCTAAGTGGGACTATTGGTCCTATTGCGTGTGCTGTGGACTTTGGGTGTGTTTGGACATCCTGCTCTTGGGCAGGGCATCACCTATGGTTTGGAGCGAAGGAGTCACAGTCATTTTGCTCAAAAGTTCCCTGGCACCTAGTCTTTTCCTTTGTCTATTTGTTCATCTTTTCACCTTTTCTTCTTTCGGGGTTTTTTATTGAAGTTGTCGTTAATATCTTGTGCAGATGTATTTTCATTTAACAAAGGGTATTGTTCTTTGTTTTGGCATATGTTGGAACTTGCAAGACGGGAATCGACGGACGCAGGACAGAACGCTGGGCCTCCATCCAGCTTTCTCAACTTGTGACAGCTTGACCATACGAGCGTCAACACATGGCGTAAGGCCGCCATGGTGGTGATAGAAAACTCAGCCAATGGTTTAAATAGAGCAGCTCAGTATGCCTTGTCAAATGCGAGGTTGCTTTTGGGGCTTCTGGCTGAAAAGCGTCTAGTGGTTGAATTGTGTAAGAATTTATCTGTGAGCTCTCAGTCAACGATTAAAGCCTATTAATGAGCGAGAGTGAGCACTGAATAAGCGGGGATACCACAATGCTGTCTTTGCCCTTACCCATCATCACAATACGGAAAGGGTGGACTCATGGAAACCTTAAATCTCATAAGTGGGATGCGATTTTAGACTTCGCTTTTTTCCCTACTCAAATAACCTGAGCGACGGATATTGCAAGATTAGAACCTTGAACACTACCTAGTTGAAGGCTCATATTGACCTTGTTAGGTCTTGATCTCCTTGATTTGTAGAGAGACAAGTAACTTCATAGAAAAGCTTCATCCAACATGAAGGCCAACGATTCTGATGAGGCCTTACAGACATGATCAGATAAACCATCAGATAAGACCAGCAGCATCGATTATACTTCAGAGAATTACGGCTTCAAGAAAACTGGCGATGAGAGACTCGGTAAATGGTGTCAAGCCTGAAAGCACAGCCGACTTAACCTTGCACCCCTTTACTTGGACAACCTACCCCATGATCCCACCCCTGACAAATGCTTTGCCCACCAGAAATTGATGTTCGCCATCCAAAAGATAAAAGAGACCATCGCATTAACAGACAGTTTCTGGGGACTGTGGGACAGCATGGGACACACTCAGGAACTCGACCCAGTGCATCATTCCCTTGGCGCGCATTGAGAAGGGGGAAATCCTTTCATAGAGCTCCGAAGACCAGACCCTGAGCCACAACACAAGACCTTGCCCCTTCTGAGCCAGATCCGGGAGAAAAGATGGGTTTATTTTGTTGCTCGGACTGTTGACCGTTATAAAGCTTAGTGAAAGTTTTTACTGATAGGACTCCAAGCGGAACTGCTAACTAACGAGAACATATTGCTCCTAAACCATGGCAGTTATGGTGGCTTTGTACAGGGTACAGGGCATGTTGACTGGCGAGAGGAGATGTTGCCCCGTTAGGTAAGCTAATGTTTATCAAAATGGTTGATGTTATGGCAGTTTCGTGTGGTTAGAGTCTTCAGTTATGGTCCGCACCTATGTATTGGTATGCATTGGTATTATATTGTCTTTGGGAGAGTGGCCTGGTTGGGTATTTCTTTGCATACTCAGCTTGATGTTAAAAAGACAAACTGCTAACAACGATAGACATTTTTATGATCTGGCACGCCATATGCTCATTCCTCGTATCTTCCTTGGAGACGTTATGTGTCACATGGACACGGCAGTCCAAGGAAAGGGATGTCCCCGACTGCTAACACAAGGGACACCAGAGACAGGATGATTGAGCGGCACAAATGCGTGGTTGATTCCAGAAGATGTTTGGAGCCGGATGACCGAAGATAATCACCCATATAGCCGAGGCATGATGAGAATTCTATAAAGGAAGCTGCCCGGTCATGAAAGACTTCTCTTGGTTCCTCCTCTCCCTGACACAAGGACACCGAGGACCAAGACAGACTGTTACACGTAGTAATTGACTTCGCTTGCACCTCACATCGTCAGTGACCATTATATAACCCATTTGACCCATTGTCGATCTCTGTCTGCACCAGACCAAGTCACCCGTTACACCATGCGAGCAGGTCTCAAGCTGTTCTGGACAACGGGCATGCCTTGGGACCTTACCAACAAGGCGATCGATAAATCAAATTTTGAGTATCGAGTCTCATACGAATGAAAAAATAGATGGAACCAGGAGACTGACTGTGCATGATCAAATATTATGGCACCGGCACCTAACTCCACCTCATGCACCACATGTCATGGCGTTTGCGACATAACACAGCCTGATCATTTCCCAACACCGCCGCGGCCGCCTGGTCCGGACGGAGAAAGCCCCGACAACCTGCCAAGAATTTCCTATTCCCCTGTGACAATCTGAGGTAGTCAAATATGATTAATTCAGATGGGACCCAGCATGGCAAACCTGGACTCCCCACAAGAAACACTATGCATGTCAACCAAACTCGTGAAGGATTTTCACCAATTGTTCGAGGAACCATCAGTAAAAGGACCTATGGCAGGAACACCGTTGTATCCAAACTGGGAACAGGGAACAGCATATTCGGATTGAAGACAATCCGAGGCCCTTCTATGGCCTAACAGAATCTTCTGATGCCACGGAAATAGTTTTTTGATAGCAGACTACGACTCGACCACAGGAAATGGGTTTGAATGTTAGACGTACCCGAAGCTCTGTATGTATCGTTTGGTTACATAGCCCAACGGCCCGGGATACGATGATAGGCGCTATTGTCAGATACAAGTGATTTACGCTTCTCGCAGGCAATCCAGGTTCGTTTATGGCTCCTATCCTAGGCATTAATCTTGTGTGGCATACGCATCAATTGAGCCCGAGATAGTATTAAATTCAGTTGCAATCATACTGCTGGCTGATCGTTGATCATAATGATAGGATTGAGGAAACGAGACTGGACCATTGCTTTGAAAGGACGAGCAAGCTGTACCAGAAACTGTATGGAGGGGTTTCGCAGCATTGACTCATACACACCTCCATGTGTTCTTCAAAAGTAGGTAATAAATGAGCTTTGTAGGAACTCTATTCAGTTTGTAAACAGCATTCCTTTTCTTCACGTAAATTTGCACTGCGTCATCTTTCTTTGCCCAGAAGTCCTAGGTGCCATACAATCAAATATCTCTGTGTGAAAGAAATTAGAAAATTTAACCGGTGGAAACAAGAAAGTGTCCAAAAATAGTATCCAAAAAGGGTTCTACTCTCCTGCTAATCTAAACCGTTCATTTCAAATCCTTGTTCTGTCTTATCAGCACCTCCTCTGTGACGTCTCAGTCATGCAGAAAGAAGGCTTCTAGAACGCCCAACGATGCTCCCCCGCTTGATAGCGGCCTCTATGGTCGTGCTTCCATGCATGGAACAGCAGCTGAAAGGCGGGGTCCTCCACTCATTTGGCGCCAGAACATGTAAGCTGCCTTGCGGCCCTCGCTAAGCCCCACCGGCCGCATGCCTCAGCTTGACGTGTTTGTGTTAGTGCAACGAGTCAAGTATCCTATGTGTGAGAGATATCGCAACACATGTCAACCACAATGATGCATCTCGGGCAGCATACCAGATTGAGTTCTCGGTCATGCAAAAATGGAAACGCTGCAATCTGTCCTTGTGTTATCGAAAAGAACCGCGTTCAAAAAGGCTCACCTGATGCTTGAGAGCGCATTCGAGGTTGGAGTGGCGAGGCGGATGAAGAGTTAACAACGCGACGTTCAGCTGAGAGTTACCAAGTTGACCAGCCGCTAGAATTGGCTGCATCTCAGGCTTCACATCAGGTTGACAGCCCTCGACCGGCACGACCATGGATTCAGAGCACGTGTATAAAAAGAATGAAAGTCCTCGACTCCTGTGCGAGTGTGCCATCTTGAATGACTCAAGAGTAAAGACCTTTCAAGTAGTTTTTAACTGCCACGGCTTGACTTACAATCATCACTTTTTCATTGCGCTCTCTCAGTTTCTCGGCTTGCTTCTGTTGTTTATTCTAATTCTTGGGTTTTCTGGCCAAGACATCCGAGTCCCTCGTCAAAGATGTCGGCAACTTCTGGAATATCCCAACCTAACAAACGGCACTCTATCTGGTGGCTTAAGCACAATCAAGCGTCCAACTCTTCTAACAGGGCGCCCACTATCTCCAACGTCGCATTCGATGCCTCCAAGTTCAATAGGATGGCTTCAAACGACGGCAATGTTTCCAGCGAAGGTGCTTCTCCGTCTGACTCTCCCCCGCCCTACCAAACCGAAGCTATCCAAGACGTCGATCTGACTGCCGGATTTAAGAACCTGAAGCTTGAAAACGGCTGCTCCCCTCTGACGGCGGATTCTTGTCTTGCCCATCTAAAGTTGATGTTTGCCATTCAGCAGATGAAGGAGGAAGTCGGTTGCAAAGATGGCCTCTGGGGTCTCTGGGACTCTACCGCCGGCTATCATGATTCTCTGTCCAAAAACCCTTTGGACAAGACTACAGGGTCTGCGGGAGCAGAAAACCCACAGATGTCAACTGCCGGCTCGGACCTGAAGGACAAGGACAATGATGCCAGGCTATCTTTGTTGAGCAAAATTCGGGAGAAGCGATGGGCCTTGTTTGTTGCTCGAGCCGTCGATCGTTACGAAGCCTGGTGGGAGCATCTATCCAAAGAGTTTGCCGTTAGGCCTGTGGACATCAATGCGAGGACATCTGAATTCAGCTATTCTGATAACTCATGGAACCAGTCCGTCCTTCCCACAGCAACCCTGGACTGGCATGAGATATGGCTGCCGCCCCTTGGTAAGTTATCCCTCTTCCTGACTACATACATTGTCATTTCTCTTAAGTAATCAACTCTAACACGAAGCGGCTTCGCAGATGTTCTCATGGTCTGGCATACGCATATGTTGAATCCCCGGGCATTTCTTGAAGATTGCATGCGGCATCGCATCACAACTTTTTGGAATAACGGCATCCCATGGGCGCTCATCGACAAGGCCATCGACAACAACACGTTTACCTACAATGTATCAGATGCGTGCAAGAGGTTCTGGAGCAGAAAGACTAATCGTGCTTGGGAGAATGAGGATGACCCGATGGAAAAGACCCTCCGATGCCCCAACTTGAAGTGCTTCAAAATGATTAATATTCCATGGACAACTTGTCAACTTCCAACTTCATACGTCGATGATGAAAGCACTCCAATTGACTTCGATGGCACCGGTTATGGCGACGATCTGAACTTTTCCTGCCAGCACTGTGGGGCTCCAATCAACACAGACATTTTGACCTTCTTTAGGTTCAACGTTGACAGGGTATTGGCCATCATAGAACCCTCCGGGAGTCCAATAGACTTGAAAGACAACTCCGCCGACTCCCTACTGATCACTAGGGATATGATGTTGGGCATGCCCAAAACCACAGAGAGTCGGCCGATGCCCGGAACACTCCTGCATCCCAAGACGGGAACTCCGGTTCTGGATACGTCCCTTGATGATTACTTGGACGTGTCTTTCCCCCGTCGCTTCTTGGTTTTTACTTGGCAGTTGACAGATAAGCTGTACGGGGTGACCCCTACATCCTGGCCGACAATGAACTCGGTACGGACGTCCTGAACGGGCAGGTGAAGGACAGAAAGACCATCGAGAAAGCCCAGGAGAAGATCCCGTCTTCTTTGCGGCCCACATATCACTGGCGGGCCGTCAGGCCTATGGCCCGGATTGCTCTGCGCAAGATGATGGCTCGCTATTTCCAGAACCACAGCATGTTCGCCCTGGACCTCCGCAGCGCCATCATGAGACAAGGCATCTTCATCCAAAAGATGTGCCAGCTAGACTGGCTGCATAGCCCCATGGCCAGAGACACCATGAACCGGGCCATTAAGAGATACCACAGGTTCTTTGCCATCATCAACAGGTACCCTGGAAAACTCGTTGTGCCTACCCTGGATATTGATCTCGTTTGGCATACATATCAGCTCAGTCCGGGGGAGTACTATGACTTCAGCATCAAGCATGCCAATTACGTCTTCATTGATCACGACGACAAAATTGAGTCTTCAACGCTCAACACTCAGTTTGAGTGGACTTGCAAGACGTACCAATCTCTCTATGGAGAAGTGTACAGTCAGTGTACCTGCTGGTATTGTGAAGGTGAGTTCAGCCCCGTAAGCTATGATCATGCCATCAGAGAGAATTTGACCTAGGTTGACTCGTCCTTCAGCGATTCGATCTGCCAACATTCACCCCATCGGCGGGCTCCTTGGATTGTCTAAACAGCAGAAAAGTATATCATAATACTCTCTGTCTCTCCATTCCTAACTCCTGTCCCAAGGATAGAAATTCTAATTCTTGTTTCTGATCAGTTGCCGAAAACTTTCACTCCTCTGGCGAGGCAAATCTTCATCCTCCCGACACCAACCGTAAGTCCTTCTAGAAGCACCCGGACCACGATCCCTTCCCTCTCATCCCCGTGATACCAGCAAAGCACGCTTGTCAGACAAGCTAACTAACCCTCCCCCTCAAACAAGACATCTCCTCTCATCCTTCCATCAAACTGATCCCCGCCCCAGGCTACAAAGGTTCCAAAGGACTCGGCACCCCGCGCTCCGAACTCCTCTGGTAGAACGCCCTCACCCGCCGACACGCCGCCCACAAAAAGAGTTTAGACAACGCCTACAAGCGGGCCTGCGCTCGCGCAAAAAAACATGGTCGTGAGCCCCCCAAACGAGACGAAGTCTACTACGACCACTGGGGCTATCCTTACCTGGTTACTGCCCCCTTCGTGTACCCCCTGTACTGGACACCGGCAATGTATGCGCCAGGAGCGTACCCTGCAGAAGCAGCGATTTGTGGGAAAGGAACGGATGCCGGATGTGTGGCGGGAACGTGTGCGCCGGGGATAGGGGCGGGGGTTTGTGCAGGGGGTGGTGTAAGTTCTCGCCTTTCTCTCCAGGCCGAGCCTTATCTATGCCTTCAAATTTTTCGAAGCCAATCATGCTGACAAATTATCTGGATAGGGATTCTGCGGCGGCCAAGTGAGCACCGGCAGCGTGGGAGGTGGCCCCGGGGGCCTTGGTGGCATTGGAGTCTGCGGTAGTAAGTAGTCTCTCTCGACAGGTTGACTGTCCTATACAGATGGTTTGAAGATTTAAGGAGCTAACATTGTCATTTGCCAAGTCGGCGGTGGTGTCGGCGGTGGTGGTTGCGGTGGTTGTGTTGGCGGTATGTAGAAGAGTTTACCAGAAGACTGTGAGGGTGGCTGGGAATGCCTTGAGGCAATTCTGTGTGTCCTTGGCTACATTACCTTCATAACCATTAAGTGCTTGAGTCAAGCATGTTGTTTCCTTGTCCGAGAACTGGGGTTGAATGAAACTCTGAAGATGCTTTCAGAATACGTATAGCTTGCTTAGCCATACCTTGTTTTCCTTTAGTAAATCAATGCTTTATATGCGTGGCATGATTGTACATCTCTCGACCTTGTTGTCAAGATGTCTAACCTCTCGACCTGAGACATGTGCCGAAGGCGCCTTACAGAGAGCCTCATCATGACAGCAAAAGCAACCCTCGAAGGTGCGCGAACCTTTACACGACTGATCAAGAAAACTTACACCGCAACTTTGTGGTTACTAGTCCTAGTTCTGCAGGTGGGAATTAAGCAGAAGGGCATTTCACTAGCCCTGAGACAAGCGGGCAAGGATGAATACGATCAGGCAACCTATTTACAGATGAAAGGTACGATAAAAAATTTCAATCATGGGGTTGTGGGGCTATGGTCGATACAGGATTGGCTGGGTGAGCTGCAGGCCCCGCTCCGCCCTGACGCATGGAGCAGGGTTCGCGCAGCTCGGGAGACCCAGAGCACTGGTAGGGTGCGATGTGGGCGGGAGATTACCCGAACCCAAAGCATTGGGTGGCTAACTGACTGCAACCTGAAACATCGTTTTTGTTGTGGGCGTCACTCGCTATTTGGCGTTCTCTACGTCTTGCTCCCATTCTAAGCCCACCTAGCAGGAGGGCGGATTTCCAAAATCCCCGCTCTTCGGTAGTTGATGGGTCTGACTGATAGGTTGCGCGAGCAAGGTCGCATCTATCTTGTCAAGTTCAGAACTCGACGTAACTAAGGTACTGGATCTCTGTAGGACCCCAAAAGTTGGTGGACTTCGATTGCTAACCTAGAATTAAAATTTGCCATCCTCTGTGATTCTCGTCGGTGTGGGCAGTGAAATCCACTCTCCCGCCGTCTTGGGCCGAGGGATTGCCGGAGGTTGTATCGTCAATGTGAAGATGAACTTCAAGAAAGAAAAAAAAGCAAAATGAGGTCAAATTGTTGATGTTGAGGAGGAAAATGAAACTTCCAAGAAGAGTAGTGCACAAGCAAGGTAAGTGAGGAAAGGCAACAGTCGACCAGAGCCAGGAACGACATCCTTACCGCACAACGTGTAACATCCGCAAGGCTCTGGGAAAGCTCCTTACCCAGCTGGGATGCCAATCAAAATATTTCGGGCCGGAGGTGCTGTTTACTAGCACATCGCACGATTTCTCGAGGCTGTGTCTTCACGGTTGGTGATTCCTTCCCCTGCAGCGTTCGCATCAAGTTTTGTCTTCTATGGTCATTCTAGGTTCCACACCTCAGGCAGATACGGATTCATATCACCATCCGGATTGCTAGAGCATGTCGCATGCAATTAGGAGTTTTGTGCAATACACTGCAGATAGGTTCATCCACTCCATAAAGCGTTCGTCTCATATCTGCTCACTAGAAAACCCCTGGCACCGATCTGCCCTGTCACTGAGATCAAAGCATTGACATATACTAGGTAATTGCTCCCTAGCCTTTGACATCGCGTACTCTGTCACCCGAAGTAAGGCAGCGGCATACACTTACCATTACCTAACATTTTATCAGCAGCATTCGTGTTGCAATATGTAGGAAAAATGTACGTCAACAAAAAAGGAAAGCTGGATGCTGCAGAACGCATCTTGATCTCTGTTGATATGGTTCTAGCCCGTACCCGAAAGACTGGACAAGACTGCCAAGCTGGACAAGGTGCAGAAAAAGAAAGGCACCCAGCCGGGGGCAACCCAACGGGACGGTTCGTAGACCTTGGGCGCAGGTTCGGGCATTTCCACATGCCGTTCCAACTTACTGTCTCATTGGCCATCTTTGTTTGGACCTAGACAAACAGGATACGGCTCGGCAAGTGTTCGTATGCCAGGGCATTCGTTGAAAGATCTTGGATTACTTCCGCGTAACGTCATTGGCGTAACGGCAGGCAAAATGCAGGTGAGGGGGCGGTAGGGCGAGTGTGCATGGATTCAGTTAAGCCCGAGAGCAAGGCTGAACGTGTAACGAAATAGCAAATAGGTACATGCTGGAAGCTTATCTCCTTGCCTAAGTACTCGAGAAAGTCCATGTCTCTCTGTAACAATAAGTACACACCTGCAGCAAAAGCTATCCTAAATCACAGAACCCTAAGTTCAGAGTATAGGTGATATTTTGCTAAGAGGTACTTCGCTGCATTAGCGTGATCGATCCAACAAAATCCGATCCACGGCTCTTGATACAACAGTATACTATATTGAACTTAAGCTATCATTGAAGAGAGTACTGTGCCACGTACAGCAAGAGCATTGCGCTCACCCACAACCTGACATCATAACTAATAAGTTCCACTCTTCCACGTATGCAATTACTACATAATACATTCTTACATACGAGATACTTACCCGAGGAACCTTTTCTAGAAGGGCCCACTCTACCCAAATTCGTGGGCTCGGTCCTCCGTGCGGGCCCAGTTCTCGGCCTGCGGGGGTGGTTCAGCCTTCCGAGTCAATCCCTATTCTGAGTAGATATGGGAGGACGTCCACGCCCGGTCAGAGTAATGCTTTAGGCTGAATTTTGGCTGTGTAGGTCACTCTCTTTAGTTGTTGATAGGAAAACTGCGAGCAGGCGTGGATCGATCCTTTGGTGGTGCAATTGGCATGCCGTCCACAATTAGCCAATGAGAGGTTCAGGATTCTGCCAACATGCAAGTCACGATCTCTTGTAGCATCCTTAGACTTCGATTTAAGAGGTATAATCTGCATTCAATGTCACTAAACAGCTTGGAAAAAAGTATGACAAGTGAGTATAAGATTTACGTTTGTACTTTAGAGTTTTCCGTATAGTAGAAGAGTTTAAAGCATGCTTTGACTCCAAGGCAATATGTAAGCTGAAGCATCTGTTGGAATGTCTAAGGTTTCAAAGGCGGTGTGATGGTTGTATGACCAAAGGGGTGCAACACCTAACACTCCCCCTTTGACCCACTTATAACTAATGGTCAGTTTCTCAGCCGTTGTGTATTAGGTTAAATCCGGGCCAGGTGAGCATGTAACATGCACCACATAGGAGAATGTATGCAAGTACGCACATCACATGGGCTGAGGGGATCGCGAGGGGAACTAGGATTTGCCAGAAGGGGCGATCCTACTGGAGGAACTCACAACCCCCTAGCAATAGAAATGACTTAATGAATAATCAAGGCAATAAGCAACGTGCACCTGTGGAGGCGATAGTCTCACATAGGTCGAGGCCCTTCTCCCTGTTGGGTGTTTCAAGGGACATTCTAAATTTATATATGGGAAGCTTTCCACCAGCTCTTTCAATATTCTTACTCTCATCAAGACACATCATCCTCAATCTGCAGAACGTTCACATGCACGCACACACCAACACATAACGCAAACACTAGCATGCACCCCAGTTCGATTAACTTCCTGGGTCTAGCCCCCAACCCTCAAGATGCAACTCCCCTTCTCGATCCTGCAGCACAGGATGTTGAGACCATGAGCCTGTCTGAGTCTAGCGTTGTCGGTCTCTATACCTGGGGCGAGAGGTAGGCTTGTCCCCAGTAGCCAGAAGTCAGGGCCGATGACTACTACAAAGAAGCCCGAGCAGTTATTCAGCAAAAGCCGAAATACTGACACCCTTTTCCCTCAGTCAACTTTTCAACTCCAACCCATTCCCAACTGAGTTCCTCCCAACACCAGACCAGTCAGTCTTCAACCCAAGCCACAGCCCTTCTGGCTCCTCCAGCCCTGTGGTCTCATCCGTCTCCTCTTCGTCTGAACGTATCATTAACACTTTGTCCCTCGCCAACCATTACCCCCAGCGCCCCGCCCTAGAGCACTATCTCACGACTCCCGAACGGCACGAACAACTTTTCTTCTCCAACATCCCTCTCGAGCCCATGGAGTTCGAGCCCTATCCCAACGATCCTCTCGGCTGTGAGCTGGCAGACCTCTCCCAGGAGGACGACCATCTCGCCGCCGATATGCTCCGTCACAGTATAGAGGTCGACTCCAAATATGATCTCGACCTGGTTCAGTCTCACCCCGAAATCCACTGCCGTTCACCATCCGTCAGCACCAGCAGCACACTATCCATCGCCGCGACCTACGACTCTGACGGTGATAATGACCATGACCATGACCCATCACTTTACGACCCCGGGATTGAACGTACCCGCCGACAGTTGTAAGTGCCTCTTCCACCACTCCAACCCCACCTCTGACCCCGATCCCAATCCTACATGTTCTTCTACAATACCATGCGCCATCCCATATCACGAGGGACCAAGCTCATTGGCTTTGCTCTAAAGCATCCCCTGGTGCCTGAAGAGATTTAAGGCGAACGACCTCGTGACCCAAGACTGACGACATTGTCTCCCACAAAACAGGAAAAGCACTATCCGCAGAGTCGTCAAAGAACAATGCCGGACTAATACCCGAGTGTTGAAGAAGCCTCGCATGCGGCGGCGCGGTACCAGTAAAGGGTCGTCCTCGCTCTCGCCAGAAGAAAGTGACAGACCAGCTAAGAAGGCCAAGCTTGAGTCCGAGTCCGCAGCTGTTTTTGAGTGAAGATCGACAATGTGATCATTATGATACCCAATCCTCGGGAATGTATAGAAGGTAAAGAGTTGAAGTGAGATGGATGGCATCTTGGTGGCAATCGCCTGACACCCCTGAATATGTACACGATACAACATTTTCGTTTGGATATAGAGACCTGTCATGATTCCGCTGTTATCAATAATATTCAAGTTCCATTTCAACTAGTCGTTCATGAGGTCATGAAAAATGACATTGTTCCTGATTTATATCCAAAGGGGGCCGTCAGCCATCCATCCATAATACATGTATCCATCGTCCACAAGCAAAAACGTAGGGGGGTTGAAGGTGCTCATGATGATAATGATGCTTTTTGATGACAATGCTGAAGTTGGTCCCATACCAAGCATATCAGGGCCCCAAGCCAGCCGTCAGTGGCTAGTCGCAGTGTGGTGTGACCACAAAAGTGCAACCAGAAAGACAATGTCCCTTCTAGACAAAACGCCCATCCAGATGCAAATGCGAGACAAAAGCATGGGGGATGTACTTTGGGTATGTTCTGTGACCAATCCATCCAATCGCATTGGAAGTCAGTTCCCACATCCATAAATTTAGGTCAATGGTCGAAGGAAATGTATACAAGAATCCAAGCCCCTAACTTGCGAAACGTAAAAGCTAACAGCCGCCCAATTGCATGGCTTACGAATTGAGCCACACTTAACCAAGAACCTCCACTCAGAGGTCTCGTACACAATGCGGTTCGACTGAGTGTTAGGCATTCGTAATGTTGTAATGCTGCAGGGTGACCACCCCCCAATGTTTCTGGAACAGTATCGGCCCTGGGTATACATTCCAGGATCCCATGGTGGTCTAGGCTTGTCGCTCTAGTTCTCGATTGCTGGGCTAGGTGCTAGGACGGCACATCCGCTTGCGACAATAATCTTGTATTTGAATGAGTGCATGTATGATAAAGATCTTGGATGCCCTCGAAGCTCTCGAAGGACATGTGTCGTGTGTGAATTCTGCTTAAGTGTCCATCATGTCCATAGGACATGACGCCAACGTCCAATGCTTTGAGGGTCGTTAGGGGCCATGGCTGAAAACTCAAGTTGCGATATCGGTAATTTTAAGACGTCAGTTTGCGCTCAATTCCTCAATCCCTGCTCTCCAAGGCATTCTCTTGCTGGACCACAGCCCCCTTCTTCACCGCCGTCAACGGCTCAATAACCTCATTAATCGGCGTCCCCGGAGAAGTAGTACTCCTCGAGGAAGGCGATAGCGCGGCCGAAGCAGTGCTCCTCGACGCAGTACTACTGGACGAGGCGCTCCGCGATTGCAGGGAGTGACCCATCGTTGCCTTCCTCACACCCGCAGCCGGGCCGGGAGTAGTGGGCCTCGAGACCGAAACGGGGGTGCTGCAGCCAGAGGGGGAAGAAGCGGGGAGGATGGGACTAGTGAGGGTGAGCGAGCGAGCAGCCTTCTCGAGACGGAGGTTCTGGACGTTCAGAGCAGAATCAACGTTCTGGGATGAGTCGCGCTCTGACTTGTTGCTACCATTTTTGACAAGTTGCGGGACGAACCATGCCTCGGCGTCCACTAGGAAGCGCTCAAACTCGCAGTCGAAGTTCGTGGAGACGGCGGCGTCGAAATCATCCTCGAGGATAACAGGCAAAACAGGAACGACAAACGTGGGCTCGACATCGAGCTTCTGGGACTCAAACGTAGTGGCAACTTCAGTAACAGTCTCGGTGGCATTTTCGGCAGCAGTCTCCATGTTCTCGGTGATGGGGACAGACTCGATCTCAGTGCTGGCTTCGGTCTGGCTCTCAGAGGCCCCAACGGCGACATTCTGCTCAGTTTCAGATGTAACCTGAGCTGTTCCCTCAATCCTATCCCCGATGACAGGCTGGACCGGTTCATTAGCGGCAGTAGGAGCACCAGTTTCGGTAGTCTCCTGTTCCTCAACTGTGACTGTAGTCTCCTCAACCGCAAACTGAGTAACCTTAACTATCTTCTGAGACGGAGCCTCGGCGTCATATTTGGCGTCGAGAGCAGACAAATTCTCAATCTTGGGAACAGCGGCATCCTGCACAGTTTCCTCAACGACAGCTTCAGCCCTAGCAGTAGGATTTCCCTGAGTCTCAGCGAGAATCTCGGTTTCGGCAGCGACAAGCTCGGTCTCAACAGAAGGGGCGTTCTGAGGGTCAGCGACAGATTCCTCAGCTGAAGCAGTAACCTTGACAGTTTCGCTTGTGCCGGGCTCAACCTCGACGATGGGAACCTCAGATTCAAAGGAGACATCAACAGGAGCATCCTGCTCAACAGTAACCGAGGCCTCAATGGCTTCAAACGCTTCGCTAACGGTGGACTCAGCAGGCTCGACAGCGACCTCAGGAATTTCCTTGGAGACAGGCTCAATCTGAGAGGCAGAAACCTCGACGATCGGAGAAACCGATTCCTCAACGATAGAAGAAAGGGTCTCAACAACCTCCTCGGTGACAACCCTAGGTTTGGCAGCAGCGGAAATCTCAGCCTCGCGGGTCTCAGCTTCGGGGGTAGCATCGCCAATGAATTCCTGGGTTGCTGGAGTCGGAATCTCTCTGACAGGCACTGTCTGGTTCGGCACTTCGGTGATAGCAGCAATGACATCCTCGGCCGATTCCGGAGCAGCATCAGCAACAGTAGAGACGGTCTCGGTTGAAACAGCAGCGTTCTTGGTCTCCACAACGGCCGGCTGGGGATCAGCAGCAGGGACATCAGCCTTGGGAGTCGACTCAACGGTGGAAGCCGGATATTCAGCAACCGCAGACTCCTCGACAGGAGCTTCGATGGAAGTCTGCTCGACAGGGCTTTCTTCAACCGGAGCTTCGGTAACAGCCTCAACGTGGACTTCGACAGCAGACTGGACAAGAGCTTCAACCGGAACTTTAACAGGAGTTTCGACAGCATTCTCGATGGGAACCCCGGTGGAAACATCGACAGGAACTTCTCTGACGGAAGTTTTCTCGACATGGGGGATGGCCTTAGCAGTCTTTACCTGGGCAGCATCCTCAACAGTAACCGGTTTCTCCAACTCGCTAGTGACAGTCTCAGCTTCCTGTGCAGGGACCTCAGGTTCAACAACCGGGAAAGACTCAACAGGGGCATCCGAAGCGACAGCAGCAGGAGTCTCTTTGACCTCGGTAGCCTCTTTGACGGGTTCCTCGACAGTGCCCTTGCTGACCTCAGTGACGGCATCCTGCTCGACCGGAAAAATGTTGACCTGCACAGTTTCCTTAACCTCAGGCTGTAGTTCCTCTGCGGGAGCGCTCTCCTCAGCTGCCGCTTCGAAGGTCATATTTTCGACAGGGACATCACGAGTGACCTCAAGAACAGACTCGGTCTCAACTGCAGTCTGGGCATCAACCTGGGCACGCTCAGAGACGTCGACAGAAGAATCCTCAACAGCAGGAACAAGCTCTTCGACTGCCTTGAACTTGACTACAGGTTGAGCATCAACCTGAACGAGTTCGGCAGAGTCCTTGGCATCCGAGACAGTTTCTGTGGCAGAGACCGTTTCCTCAGCGGGCACGACAAGAGTTAACTCGACCTCGACTGGCTCGACAGGTTGTTGATCCTCAGCCGTGGCAGCATCATCCTTTATCGTGTCAACCGGAATCGATTCAGCCGTGGTAGTCTCTTCTAGAGGCGCCACAAGTTCCTTTTCATTGACTGAAACGCCATTGGCAACTGGAACAGCAGGATCGTCTGACTTGGTACCGGCATGGTTGACAACGATATCCTCGGAAGACTGGACCTGTTCTACTGCATCCGACGTTGAGACAACATGATCAACGACAGCCTGACCTATTACTGGGTCGTCCGAAGCAAGCTGCTGGGCCAATGCCTCCTCTTGAGGAGCATTGGCCTCCTTGGCAGCCTCGAGACCATCGTCGACAGCAGGCTCGGGGGCCGGAGAAACAGCGTGAGTGGAGAGAACCGGAGACGAGGGAACCTTAGACGAGACAGGATCGACAGGCTTGACGGCAACGACAGCGGGGTCGGCAGTTGGGATGGCGAGAAGATCGTGGTAGAACGATGTAAAGACCTCGTTGATGGGCTTGAGCGGGCCGACGCCGGGCAAAGCCACGCACCCGAGGGGCTTGCGCGCTATGGCGAAAGCCGGCATTGCGCCCGCGCCCAGCATCATCGCTGTGGCGGGGAAATTACCGGGAGCGGCCATGATGGGTGGTTCACGGCCGCTTCGAGAAAAAGCAAGAGGAGAGATCGCGGCGATCTCAATTCTGTTCACTAATGTGGGCGTCAAGACATGACTTGGAGATTTTGTGCAAAAAGCGAGCGAGAAGAAAGGCGGAGAGAGGGCAGAAGTGGAGGGGTAACTGAAATCTAAGAAGGCGGTAGGGCCGCTAGGTGTGCTGCGGTGCAGTGGTATTTACTCTCCCGGAAAATTTTGAGCGTGCCGGTTGGAGGACTGGCGGGCTGGCAGTGACCGAGGGCGCCAGCAGGTGGAGCCGCCCAGGCCACAAATACTCACAGCGGCCTGTGAACAAGAGTCAATCGCTTGATGGTGGGGTGAAATGGAGGGTGGGGTTGGCCAGCCCAGGTGGGGTCTTTAGGGCACCAACCAACCTCCAACGTCCAAGTCAGCGCTGCATAAGTGTCGTGCAGAAGGCACAAGATCGTGAAACCACAGCCAAGGTGAAGGCAAGATGAGGATCAATGCCTTCAAATCGACTACTTGAGATGTTGCAAAGGCTTTAAGTGGGTAATTGAGGCATCACGATACGACATTGGGCCCCGGGAGGGAGGGTTATGTACCCGAACAGAGCGCTTTTTTTTTTTCGATGAGAGATTTCGCGGCCGTGGTCTTGGGCTCTAACAGGCGAGCGGCTGGTGATTCTACTCATTAGAATCATGCATTTGGCTTAACTCAAATGGATTACCACCAATTGGGTATTCTCGTCATGAGGGTGCAGGCAGCCCTGGGCCCTTGGCTCAGGATTATGGGCTCCGCTGCTTGCGACCCTAACCCAGGACATTCAGCATTCGATGCCGATGATGTGCCATCCTCTGCTTTCACTCCTCTAATCTGCTATCATATGCATATTTCTCCTACTACTACTTACCCTCGCTTTGTTTGATCATTGCTTTATATATTTCCCTCATCAAGTGCTGTTTTCGACGTTGAAGTCTTGTTTCCCAGGCTATGATCTAATCCAGCCCTTCTCCCTCCACGCGTTGTTTGCCTTCTCGAGTCGCTTTACGATGTCTTTGAGTCCGACATCCGTCTCAGTTCATAATGCCAGAAACACATCCAAACAATGAGCGAATGGGGGCGCAAGCACTGACATCTTTCAAGTCCAGATCTCTTCCGTTACGACACATCCAATATGTTCCTTGGTCACCGGACTGGCACTGGCATACGTGCTTACCAAGCAAGTGTCTAAAAGGGCCAAGGAGGTTATTGACCGTCGTACAACGCCCAACTCTCTTCTGGCTTGTGAGACTGCGTGAAGTCTGTGCGCAGGGTATCTTCACAAGATTACTAACAAGCGCGTCTGCAATAATGGGACTTAGATAACGCGCTGAGCTGGCCACTATGTCCCTTGTATGCCCTCATTTTTTCAGAAGCTTACAACGTCAACAAAGACAGCATTTGCAGGCTTGTCAACAGCGCTGCAAGTATGACACTACAGCACTACAGCGTACGTTGCAATACAAGCGTCATGGTCTCGCTGAGTGTATGCAGACACTTCAAAAATGGACATTTAAATCCTGTCGCTTGCCAGTTAGGATTTCTCCCTCGAACTACGGAAAGAAATCAAACATCTCAATATTGGGTCCGACTTCCTTTGAGACAACGAGCCCGAGTCGACTTCTTTTGGGACCATGAACACCGAGTTAGCAGTTACCCAACACGAACCTGAACCTGAGTGCCGCCTCTCAAGCTCCGAGACCGCCACTATCTTGGCATGGCGTTCGGGCTCGGAACCTGGAGAACCCCTCCCCGACCAATGCTTCTTGCGCTGGCAGTCTGTGGGCTTCAAGGACGTCAAGCTCAAGCTCCTGAGAACGCCAAATACGCCGCCGTTCACCTTTACGACTGAAAGAGCATCCTGGATCGTTCAGCCAGCGGTCAATCTGGCGATGGACATTCTAGCGTGTCCACGCGGCCGGAAGGTTCTAACCATGATGGTCCAGGAGCTTCCGGAGGAGATCAAGGATCCCGTCGTCTACCAGATTGGACCCAAGGCCATCGTCCAGCAGTTCCTGCTACGGCTTAGGGAGAACTTTGCCAAGGTATACATCACGGACTCCTTGCAGAGGGATGTCCAAATTTGGTCGCTTGTGTGGGGCCATGATTCGAGCGAGCTGTCTCGCTTTTTAACCTGGAGACCCAGCTCGGAGGTATCAGTCTTCCTACGGCGACACGTGCGTCTTTCTATGTTCTGTTTACATATTTAACCACTCTTCTAACAACCAACTAGGCTATTGAGACCGCCCTTTTTGCCTGGGACCAAGCTGGAGCCCAATCTGAAAATGGGGGCGCTACGCCGCTCGGCGTTCACGACGTTCGCAGGGTGATCTTTTTTATCGGGGTGAGCCTCGCCACTCAGCTTGTGGACACCCTCCTAGGATTGCTAGCTGGGAAGTACGGTACCGAAAAGAGCTGCCTGCCTAATTGGCAGGGGATCTTTCAGGACCGTCTCTACGGCGGCAGGCTTCGGCGCCTTTTTAACCCTATTCACTCGCGCAGGGCTCAACAGCCTGGGTTTCTGTGCATTGAAACCCAGGACAAGCGCGAAGCAATCAGGCCAGATGTTATTGATCACTTCGTGATGAGGGAATGGTACCTCAAGAAGATCGGTACGTTGCTACATCTCTTGATAATCTCGAGCGATGGAATGCGTGCTAACTCTGCATAGTTTACTTCGATCCCTGGGTTCTCGATCTCGAGTTTTGGCTTTTGTGTATTTAGATCAAATATATACCACTATTGTTGATGTTTCTTAAAAGTTAATATAGTCATGCATAGTTGCATACCTTCAATTCTATATTCGTTCAAGTCTGCTCTGGCACCACCTACCACCTGCCCAGAGTGTGCTGTCTTGACAAACTGCTTAAAGATGAGACCTTCCAACTGCGGAGATGTTTGTAATAATCTTGATATAGAATCCTATCGGCTTACTCTCTCTTGATAGTTGTTCGAACTACATTTTGGCCTAATTCGGCCCATTCACACAAAGAGATCATCCTCAATGGTTATTTCGTCAAGCCAAGGAAATGACCAACGTTGAAGCAGCCCACTTCGGATCCGATGACGTCATATTTGCCAAGAGTTTCCCACATGAAGTCCCACAACGCCAAGCCTGCGGGATGAGAGGGCGGGGACCCAAACAGGGCATGTTCTCCATTCCTCCTCAAGGTCCCACCTGAGCTTCTCATCAACGACTTCGTAAAGTCATCATGTCCTCGTTTATTTTGCCTCAGGAAAATAATGGAGGTCAAGTCTTATCTTAATTCGCTCCATGGCTTTGTGACAAACGCTGACAAAACTGCGACAGCCCGCTTTACCATTCCGTTCATCGTCAGGTTCTTTGACCCACGAAATCAGAGCAGGCGCTAAGCACTGAAGCCACCGTTTTCACGGCGACGGAGCCTGTCACGCAAGTTTGCGTATCTATAATGTCACTCTCAAGGATAAGACCCAACCGACCGGCATGACCGCATCTTCCGTTCCAGACTTTTCTTCTACTTTCTTTCCACTATACCATCCAGGAGCAGGGGCTCCAGGGAAACCTCACAGTTCACACGAGTTTGGGGCTAATTTTTTAACACCGACTATCTCGCCGGGTGCTCAGGATGATTGGGGGCTATATGGCAAACCAAGATGCGAATGCTGGAAGAGAAGCCCCAAAAATGGAGGGAAATGTTTCTTCATTCCACCATGTGTTTTAACAAGGCCACGGCCGACCTTACGAGAGTCCTGGCCAGACGATGGCCCCTGAAGAGATCGTCGAACTTTTACAAAAACCAAGGCATTTTTACGGCTCTTTCTGTATTGCGGGCAGATTAGCGGGTGCACACGACACGACTTAAAGGTGTTCATCCTCGCCAATGCCCATGTGTTTGGAGCTGATTGCCGGCGTTTCGGCTCTCCGAGGAATTTGATAGAATTGAAGGAATCAATAAGGACGGCAATCCTCCGGGGGAATCACAATTGGTGTGAGGCGTCTGAGAGTATTGTTCAGAAGGATGACGAAGCGGTGGAGAAGGCTGATCCCGTGCCGTTTAACGATGTCAGGCCCACGACTGGGTTTGTCAAGGCACCGTGAATGAATAGTTGACTGTGAGATTAGGTTTAAACTTTAATTGATGGGGCCTTTCTGATTATGATTGAGCAAACCTCTCTGGCTTGTTCACGAGGTCGGAGGAAAAGAAAGGAATTAATCCCAAGATTCTCGTCTTAGGGCTCCGCTTCCATTCTATCGTACTTGTATCTCTCTCCTGCGCAGTTTCGTCCAGGAACCCGCAACATTTCTGTCTTGGCTTTCTCCTCTATAAATACTGCATGCTTTCATCTCCAAAACTCCATTCGATCAAAGTTATCAAAGCCGGAAGTGGGTTCAGTATCCTCCATCGCAAGTTTCGGATTAAACGCTTTGATTTGATGCTTGATCAGTCCCTCTACATACTGGGTTGATCGACCTTTTCATCACATCAGGAACAGCGGCAAACATTGGAGCTGTCAGGGCAACCTCATATAGTAGCATTAGGGAGAGTATCTACTTCATAACGACCCATCTCTCAATACCAATCCAATCGGCGTTCTGGTTAACTTTATGTCTGCATCTAATGAATGCATCGTTATCATCTTCCCACCACTTCACAACAGCAATTCCCATCACGAGCAAACCCCTTAGCTCCACGGCTCCCGACCTCCCTGACCACCAGGCGGCGGAGGAGGAGGAACGGCACCGCCCCGATTGCCGCCAACCTGAGGAGGGGGTGGAGGAGGGGGGGCAGCACCGCCACGGTTGGCTCCATCGCCGGCGCCGACGATTACAGGAGGACGTTGACCGTTAACCTGGCCACCGGGGGTGGCAACCTGGCGGTTTATGTTTGGCGGCAGGGGAGGGGGAGGGACGCCATTCCGGTTACCAGCTTGGGCACCAGGAGCAGGGGGAACACCGTTTTGAGTACCACCGGGACGAGGGACGTTCTGTCCGTTGTTGACGGGGAAAATGTTCTGGTTGTTGTTGGTTGGCGGGGAAGGAGAGACCTGACCCCGGTTTCCCGGGACAGGAGTATTCCTGTTACCGGCCTGGTTACTGCCAGGAAGAGGGGGAGAGGGGACTCCATTCTGCCCCCGCTGAGGACGGACCGCATTCCCATTTGGCGGCAGCGGTGCAGTCTGTGTATTCCCAGGAGAAGCAAGCGCAGCCTCGGCGTTCCTAATACCGGGACGGGGAGGCGGGGGGGGAGGAGCAGCCGGGAAGGCAGGGGCACGAGCGCCGCCGGGGGTGGGAGGAGGCCGGGCGACGCGAGGAGGAGGAGGAGGAGGAGGACGGGCGACGCGGGGAGGAGGCGGGGGAGGACGGCTAATGGCACCGACAATTTGGCCAATTGTGCCGAGGAGGGAGTTGGTGCGAGGAGTTGGGACTGCAGCCGCCTGGATGGAAGATGTGTCGCGTTGTTTGTTGCGGTTGCGGCCGCGGCCGCGGCGGCGACCGCCTGTACCGGCGCCATTGTCATTACCAGTGTTGGTGCCAGTGCCAGCGTTATTATCATTGTTGTTGGTGTTGCCGGCAGCAGCTCCTCCGCCAAAAGCAGCAGCCTCGAAACCACAGCCTTGCTTTCCAGCTTGGGTCTGGGCACCGACTCCAGAGCAAACACCGATGGTTTCGGCGCCGCGGGGGAGGATAGCACAGCAGCCTGAGGCACAGTCAGCAGCGCCAAGGCACTGGCCACCGATGAACTGGATACCGGCGCCGTTGCCGATGTTTTTCTCCCCGGCAGGGTCGGGAAGGTTCTGCCGGGAGGAAAGGTGAGGGGCAGCCTGGACGGCAACGAGAGACAGCGCCAGGCTGCTTACAACGTGGCCAAGCTGAACCATGTTGGAAGAAGGAGTTGAGCACAGCTTCAACGAAGGGAAGATGGAAGGAGTATTGAGAAAGGAGTGTCCGTCCAGACGGCACCAAAATTGAGACAGAGAAGAAGGGACACCAGGTCCTGGGAAAAGTAAAGACGATGATGAATAATGGTTGAGAACCTGTTGGCTAACTGTGCCAATGAGGAGAGGAAAACCATGGACGAGGAGGAAGATGGCTGATATTTATGCACCTCGTCCATCGTCAAGACGAGCTGGATGTCGACCTCTTGCGACTTCTTCCTGAGACTTTTGCAAGGCAGGGAGCAAGATAGCTTTGTCGGAAGCGGCTTTTCCTCCATCATGTTGGCTCGACATCCCCACAATGCTGCCGGAGAGTAGGAGATCAGTGGATGCTTTGGTTACAAGTTTTCATTCGTCTCAGACTCTACTGATAGACTGCGCGCCTAAGTTGCATGTCAGCACTAACACCGCAATGTTCGGCAAGTGGACGGCCCACTCGGCGACATCGTGATCGGAACAACGGCATTATGAAGCCAGGTTAGAGTTGTCAGAGAAGACTTTGAAGCGCTAAGGGTCATCAGCACAAAGTAGTCCCATCAGGGGTCTCTATTTACTGATAGACTGCGCGCCTAAGTTTCATGTCAGCACTAACACCGCAATGTTCGGCAAGTGGACGGCCCACTCGGTGACATCGTGATCGGAACAACGGCATTATGAAGCCAGGTTTAGAGTTGTCAGAGAAGACTTTGAAGCGCCAAGGGTCATCAGCACAAAGTAGTCCCATCAGGGGTCTCTATTCCAAGCTGTCTCGATTATCACACACGTCTCAAAGAACTTTTCAGGCCCACCAACATCGCGTAGTGTGTGCCTTGCTTTCAGCTGTAACATCGCGAAGAGAGAGTCGAGACCTAGACCGGTCTTTCGGCATTGTGAGGGTAGAGGCCGAGGAAAGCCGGATCGGGACGCAGAGGACCGTTAAAACTGTTGGAATACTTCCAGGCAGGAACCACAAAGTTTCAGATGATTGTCTGGTGTCAAATGTCAGTCACAAACGTTGGGTCTTTCATGAATCAGTGACGTGATGAAGAAATCGGCATAAAAGACGTTGGTCCAGCACGTTCAGCCTTGTGGGGCATCCACGTGGATGTGCAAGGAAGCTAAAGACGTGGCGTTCTTGGTATGGCTTGGCGAACTACTACCCCACACTCCAGGATCCAGCACGCATCTGAGGAGGGCTTTTCGACCCTTGTGACATGTCACTATCGCCACCCGGGCTTCTGAGTGTTGTCTCGGATCTCAAGGCACCGGTTTCACTGTAGAGGTCATCTGAAGTCTGGTTTTAGACTGGTACAAAACAAGACGAGATCGCGGTGTTGCAACTGTCCTGAGTTTGACAGCGGCACTTCCCGTGTGTAACCCACGATAAGCTGGCCGGAAATCTCGATGCCGTGTTTCATGCGGCTCTTGGCAATTTCGCCCATCTTGGGGCGGCACAGTGAGATTTGCGAAACGTCGCCATATCATGGCGGGCAGACTGCAAGATACCGTACTGACATCTGGAGCACAGTCACACCACAGCTAATGGTCGGGAATTTCTGCAAACAAACTCCAACAGATTGCCTGAAATTTGGAAAAATAAAAACAGGTGAAAGATATACTAGAATAAAAGGTTCATAATCACGTCCAACCCGGATTTCGCTGGTCGTCACCGGCCCAACTACTGACCGGGCCCTCAGTGGGTTAACTGGGGCAAAGCGGACGCGATGCCGTACTTTCCACTGTGTATGGTCGTACATACCAGTAAGTCCCGAAAACTTGACTGATATGAGCAGATATGAGAGGAAGGATCATGTTGAGTTTGCCCAGCGTCAGTCTTCCCAGCCCCCCGCAGAAACCCTTGCTTCAGGGCTTGTGCCTGGGCTGGGAATATCAATACTAACCTGCTTGCGGCCGGCCTTGGCATCGGCCCAACATGATAGCCGAGGACCCACACAGGCCGTCGCGCCAAGACTTCCGTTAAAACCCTATCCGGCAAAATTTTTCCTTGAGCTGTTCCACGAACAAACCTTCGTGACAGACCCTCGAGTAACACTGCCAAAGAATGTCAACCCTCAATGCCGGTGCCTCTGCTGGTGTAGCTGGCACATTCTCCTGGCAATTTTATTAAGGTAGGGACAACGCGCGTTTCTCTGTGAACAGCCGATCCTCTTTTTTGGGCCTCAGATGAGCCCACGCTTCAAGTGTCAAAAGTCATCTTGTAAATAACCACGCAGCGATCCTTCACCAACCGCTCGCCGTCAATGAGCCCCTCCCTCGGAGAGCCTTCTTGCTCCTGGCACGTCATGTGTTGGGTTCCGGAAGGGGTTGGCGTTTCGCTTGCTGCAAGAATAACAAATTCCTGGGTCGTCATAGTCCGCGCCTCTGCTTTCTCCCCAGAGGCGAGGCTCCAATTAGCCCGACATTTCTCGTAGTTCACAGTTGTCCTTTTTGTCTTGTAATGTGCAGACTGTTAAGTCTGCACATTGTCACTGGTTGGAAATCTTCCAGACATGACTGGGCGAATGTCAAACGGTTCTTGGCTGGATGCGTCTTTCTAGCTCGTCCCGCTGTTCCTCGACGCGTCATACCTCTTTCCAGGAGATCAGCCGAAATGCGGCATGCTCGTGCTTTCAAAAACTTGATCTACATAATTTTCCAGCATGCGCTTTTCTGGGATTCTAAGCATCGGACGATCTGGCGAAGAACATGTTCTTGATGTCCTTGAAGGATCAGAATGTTGTGCTTTACTTCAAGGTAAGACTGACTTCGTAGTTTTAGGACGTTGGTCGCATATGTTGATGTGTCGTGACTCTGGGAAGTAGTTTCTGCTCGACCACCTCAAGATGTTTAGAGTAGTGTACACGCCAACAGAAGGTGACGCTATCCAGAACTACTCGCGCATCTTCAGAAGTCTCGAAGGCGTCTACTTGAACATCAACGAGATTGACCGAATACACCATGATCTCTCATTGTGGGGGACAGCAGATATCGACTACATCCTAGTTACAGACGGCGAAGAAATCCTCGGCATAAGCGATCAAGGCTGTGGTGGCATCCTCATATCTGTCGCAAAGCTCGTTCCCATGACCTTTTGCGGCGGGATACACCCGAACCGCGTGTTACCCGTAGTCCTCGATTGAGGCATCGACAATAAGGATCTCCTTGCCGATTCTTCGTACTTAGATCTGAAGGAGAAGCGAGTCCTGGGAGCAAGATACGACCAGTTCCTCGACACCCTTGTCACATCGGCGAGTGGGCTATATCTAAAGGCTTGTATATACTTTGAAGATTTGGCGTTGGATACGGCAAGGGGTGTCCTTGCTGGATGGGAGGATACATGCTCAATATCAACGGCAAGACGTCCTGTAGAAAAGTGGAGGCCGCGAATTCCATGCCTCAATGATGACATCCAGGGAACGGGATGTGTCATTGCTGCCATGATTGCCGGACAGCATGTGACGAAAATGGCCTAAGAGACACCCGCATGGCTGTGTTTGGAGCCGGGACAGCAGGAGTTGGAATCGCCGATCAGGTTGTTAATGCCATCATGAGCAAGCTGAGAGAGCAAGCAGCCGTCAACAAGATTTGGTATGTACCTTTTCTTACACTTCGACACCTTCCAGTTACTCACCATGTAAACAGGCTCGTCGACAATCCCGGGCTCCTGAGTGACAAGACAAAAGACATATCTGAGGCTCAGAAGGTATACGCGCGCTCGAGCTGGAATCGCGAGCAATCCGACTTCCTTGAGGCAGTCAAACAGGATAACCCGAACATTCTGGTAGGCACATCCACTGTGCTCAGGACCCTCACCGAAGATATTGTTCCTGCAATGGTAGGAGGGAAGGAGGGCCAATCATCCTTTCGCTCTCCAACTTAACACGGCTGCACGAGGCAGTACCCAAACACTTGCTCCGCTGGACAAAACGGCAAGGCATTGGTAGCGACGGGGAGCCCGTTCAAACCGGTCAGGGGTCCTTGGAAAACATATGAAAAGGAGGTTTAACTCGAGTTGGCAGAATGCAATAACAACATTCTCTTTCCAGGCATAGGCCTTGGCGTTGTTTTGCACGAGCAAAGCTCATCACTGACAAGATGCTCATCGCGACTGTGGAGAATGGTCGAGCTGAGCCCTGCACTGTGGGACGGCACTGCACCCTTGCTGCCAGGTGTGAATTATGTGCGTGAGGTAAGTTTGCGAGTTGCTCAGAAGGTAATTCAGGCTGCTGTTGAGGAGGGCGTTGCAACGGCAGAAGGGACTCCTGAGGACGTCGGTGAGTTGGATGCTGGATCAAGAGCAGATGTGATATCCGGTTTACCGGCCGTTGAAGTATGTCGAGGCTGAGGGCACCAGCTGCCAGGCAAAGGGCGAGCTGCGTGTTGTTAGTAGCATACTGCATTAAGAGTGAAAATGAACTGATACCAAACAATAGACTGCTTGATGACCTGAGTTCGCTCTCGCGCCTATGTCGCTGGTATCGACGATGGTAACGGTGGGGCACACATGGTATCCTGACTGCTAGTTAGGGTCTTGAGGGTCTGCCCCACGTGACTACCCACAGCCCACTGCAGCCAAGTGAAAGCACTGACCACCCAAGTAGGGTTTCCGATCCACACCAAAAATTATCGCGAGGTGCCGCCAATTTCCATACTTGCCCTTGTGTCTCCCGAAATTTCGACCTATCGTCAAGTCGCCTTTTCCGCAATCAGACAGTCACAATGGCCAAGCAAAAGTGAGTCGAGCGCGCCGTGATGCTTGTCTGCGATTTCCGAAGCGCCTGCCGGCCTTCTCGAACGAAACGCTGCCGCACGGGCTGCATTGAGGGGAGTAAGAAGAGGAAACTAGGATGAGCCAAAAACATTGCGAGGGAATGGCCAGCGGAAGCTATCGAGGAATCGCAGAAAAATTCCTTATTTTGGCCCCTCTTGCTGACCAGATGTCGAAAATAGGCGCGGTGCCCCCGGTGGCAAGCTCAAGATGACCCTCGGTCTGCCTGTGTACGTGAAAACCCACCTAACGTTTCCTAGATAGAGCCTTCCCCGACTGCCTAGCCAAGAATTGCTTCCGAGAGACGCTAACTCGCGACGAACAGCGGCGCTATCATGAATTGTGCCGACAACTCGGGCGCCCGCAACCTGTACATCATCGCCGTTAAGGGTGCTGGTGCTCGCCTCAACCGCCTGCCCGCTGGCGGTGTCGGCGACATGGTCATGGCGACCGTCAAGAAGGGCAAGCCTGAGCTGCGGAAGAAGGTCCATCCCGCCGTCATCGTCCGCCAAGCCAAGCCGTGGAAGCGCTTCGACGGTGTTTTCCTCTACTTCGAGGACAACGCTGGTGTGGTACGTATTGCTTGGGGCGGCTTTGCTGGTTCCACCTGATGATTTCTCAATAGAGGGATGGCTAACGTCTGCAGATTGTCAACCCCAAGGGTGAGATGAAGGGGTCGGCCATCACTGGCCCTGTTGGCAAGGAGGCTGCTGAGCTGTGGCCCCGTATTGCCAGCAACGCTGGTGTTGTCATGTGAAGGGTTACTGGGGCAAGTGATGGGTTTTTGGCGCTTGGGGTTTCGAGGGACAAACGATTCTGTTGACCGGTAATAGTCTTCCGCTATAGACGAGGAGGACACGGACGATACTTCACCATGGGCTGGTTGGGTTGGCTGGGTTTTGCCACGGAGTCATACCACTTCTGCATGATACACAGGTCAATGAATCAGCTCTTCGATCCCAGGAATGGCTCGTGTCAGCTCGGTGTTATGATCGGCGGTATTTAAACCTTAAGAGAAGGGCTGTTCCAGTAATTGCCGACGGGCGGGAAGCTCTATGAGAGGCAGCGTTGCAACGTTCGGTCATGTCATCTTGGACAGCAGAATCAGGTTTTTGCCAGAAACCCTCGGCAAGGCTGGATCTCTACTAAATAACTATGTGCATACTAATACTTACAGAACATAGCCCCCCCTCTATTCACAACGTCCTGAAACTCAACATCCTCCTTTCCCTGTCCGACACCCTCCGATTGACCGCTAAACTTTGCCATTACTCACTTAACTAAAGGTAACACAGAAAGCCTTTTGGTATTCCTAACCACCACCATTGTATTGTCTACAGCAGCTATTCTGCAGCAACTCCTAAGCCCCTAGCCCCGTATCTTGTCAATTCCGCCCCCTTCTCCTTTCCGGACTCTCAATTCCTATACTTGGACTCGGCTCCAACTTCAGTCAGCCGCAGTGCCCTCGATTGACTTGCGTTGGGAACATTGCTCCTTTATATAGATAGGATCTCATTGCTTATCACCGCCGAGCATCTTGCAGTTACTGTGATGGAAGTAGGTTCCAATGTGAATTGTGTTGTGGAGGGGGTGTTGGTGACCGCAAATGTGATGGGTTTGGATGGGCCGGCATATGCTTGGAGTTGCAATTGCTTGTAAATGTATGGGCTATGAATCATGGTAGTTGTTGAAGGTTAGGAAGAGGAACTTGGAGGTGACACCTGCAGTTTAGAGTGCTTGAAGCCTGGTTCTCTATAGGTAAACAGCCCTGCTTAACAAACAATAGTGAATAGGACAAAGAGTCGCACACTGTTCTCACAGTCAGCAATAATCAAAGAAAGGTTTCAGTTCAGGGGCTGTTTCAAGACTGCTAATTCACCACGTTTCAGGACTGCGACCATTATTTCTTGTGAACAGGATAAAGGCATGATAGTGGCTGCATAGGCAGTTAGCCGGATTTCTGCGCACCTCTTTTCTGATTCTATAACTCCACCTCTATTGCCCTTCAGGAACTTTGGCTACTTTGACTATCTCAAAAATGGAAAGAGAGATGACTTGGAGAGAGGGTTGGGAGTAAGCACTAGTTTGAAATCTCCTTAACCACTGGAGGTAACCTTCCAGGCATGTACAGCTCAAGTTAAAATTTAAAGTTGTACCTTACCGCAGTTACTTAAGGTGAAGCTCCTTGCTAACTAGCACAATCAGTCCATCACTGCATCTCGGCAACACCTTCCTACCTTTCTAGGAGTTTAAGAAGCAATCCCTGCCCTGTACCCAGAAGACCCAACCATGCTTCCCTGATAGGCGGTGGAATAATATGTCACTATCCGGCTTCTTGGTCTTGCAACTAGGGCATTTATCGGTCATATAGTGCAGAGCAGTTAGGTCCACGGTCTTGCAGTTGTTGCCAGCCTTGGAAACATCGCACTCCTCTTTGCGGATGTTGTAGATTGCGTATTTACAGCCACAGGCGTAGTAGACTGGGGCGTATCTGCACATGGTTGGTGATAACAAATGATGGATGTGCAGATTGTGTTGGTTGTGGTGGGTTGTTGTCAGAGCGGTCATGCTGCAGACTCTTCTGTCTTGATTCCAATGACATCAATGCTATGTTACTAGCCATGAAATTCTGTGAGAACTGCGAGAAAACTGCCAGCGTGGCAACATGACGAATTTCAGGTTGGGATATTGGACAGTTTATGCAAGAACAAATTGATACATCTGCATGATATCCAGTTAGGTCAGAAAGAATCGCAATGCACTTTACGTAGTCTTTGTCCTGGTCGGAGTAACTTATTTTAAGCTAGACATCAGAGAGTGTTCATTAGTTTTATGCTTTTATGGACTTGATGCAACATACAATAGCACGTCACAAGCATGGATTGTCAAGCTTTTCGCTACAAAGTCAAGGGGCAGTGTATCCCATTTCCCTCGTAGTTTTCTTTTGCCATATCCATCTTCAAGGATTACGACACTCAGCCCAGCCTTAGATGTTCCCTCACAGTCGCCCAAGCTGGGTCCATAGCTAACAGGTAGGCTTAAGAGTTGTGGAAACAGTGATCAGGTGGATTAAGCAGCATGAATGTTGGGCACCAATCACCAATCTTAGCTGGCTCATTTATCTCAACTTGCTAGTCGGGTGGACAGTCGTCGCTCTTCTCGAGAATTTACTCGCAGCGGCAAGCCACTCTTCTTCGTCCAGGATGTGTATTAAACTGTGCGCTTTCTGCTTGTGCTTCCAGCACATGTCTCCTCAAGTGAAAGTATTGAGTAAGGTAATGATCGAAAAGGAAACCAAGTATCCGTTTAATGTTTGTTCAGTGATTGTCACATGGACACGGCAGTCCAAGGAGAAGATGTATCACTGACAGCCAGCATATATAACACCGGTGACACAAGAGCTGGGAAGGGCAAAGACATATCTGATTGGTAGAGCCCGGGAAATATAAGGTGGTAACAAGAATGAGTTAGATAACCTTGCCACGCTGAGGAACCCCTGAAGATTGCAGGAGACTGCGAGGTATTCACAAGGGCAAAAGGATTTTATAAAGGAAGCTACTGGGACACGATGAGGGATTTCTCTTGGTTTTCCTCTCCCCAACACAAGGACACCGAGGACCAGGAAAGATTATTACACGTATTACTTGACTTCGCTGTGCACCCCACATCCGTCAGTGGCCATCATCTAACCATTTGACCCATTGTTGGTCCCTGCCTGCACCAGACCAAGTCACCCGTTACAACATTGCCCTCTTTGATGAAGTTCCATGTTTGGTAAAACTTTGTGTAAAATAGATCTTGGTATATTCCAGGCCACGGTGCCATAATTTGTTTTCGGACTTGATACTGTCTTTGATTGAAACAAGACGTTATCATGGCTTTCTCTCAATATCTTGCTGCAAGCACTGAGAGTGAGCAAGGAAGATTTTAGACTTTGGCGCTAGCTTGTACTGCTGCTTCTCGCTGGACAGGATGACACAATGGTAATGTTTATGATGTGTCCTTTTCCACGGCATTTTTCGTTTGCTGAAAACCTTGTGTCTTGCAAATTTGGCCCACATAGGTATATGAGCAACTCTGTAACATATCATTAAATTCCATTCTTGCTTCAACAATGTCCATCCCTTTGCTATACCACTTTAAAAAAAGACAAATTACAAACTCATGCCCTGACAACCCAGCCCAATGCAGCCCATACAAGTTCTATAAATACCAACATACACACGAAGAAAAAAAAAAACCCGACCCATGAAAAACCATATCATAACCCGGGCATTCATCAACGTAACATCATACCGATCTCCGCAAAAACCTAGACCTTATCCGGCGCCATCCAGAGCATGCTCGTCATGCTCAGCTCCATCAAGCCCTTCTTCTTCCTCTCCAGCTTAGCCTGTACTGTTCGCATATACTCCCTCTCCCACATCTCCACAAACGTGCAATTATCAAATACCCCAAGCTTAGCACTCTGCACGGTGCTCCAACCGCCCTCACTCAAATCCAGCCCTGACACGCCCGGCTGATACCGTTCGGGATGGACAATTTCCATCGTGACCATCTGCACCCCGGGTGAGCCAGTCAAACTTGGGATCGTGACATCTACGCTCCCTGGATCCTCCCACAACCTTTGTGCTTCCGCACATATCTGATCCTGAGAATTAATTCTTGGATCACTTGCCAAATCAACCCAACACCGCCCCCCCTGCCCCGATGGCGTGACTTCCACCAAAATCCTTGCAATAAACCCAGACTTGATATGCTGCGACCAAAATGCCACTACGGCCAACTGACACACCACCAACCGATACAACGCCGCCCGATTCTTACTCATCATCCTCCTCACCTCCTCCTCATCCATCTCTGCGCCTCCAGCACCCGTGACCGACACCGCCCCGACCTTAACAACATTCGCCTTGCGATCAAACGTGGCAAACTTCCCTCCTAACCCACATACCTGGACAATCTCATACCCAGGCGAAAAGACGTCCGTCGCCCGCAAGAAAATGATCTCCTCCCTCTGCCGGAGTCTCGCAATTTGCTCCGTTACATTTGGGATGTATATCCTCTTGTTTTCACACTTCCCCTCTTTCAACACCGATACGGGGACAAGCAGTGCCTCTGACGAGGGGGCCCCCAATGTGCCGGGCTTGACGCGCAGATAAACATTCGGAATAGCCGTCACAGAAAGTGGAATCGCCAGCCGATGGGACGGGTCACTCGATAAATGGCAGGGCAACAATGCCAAGACATATCGTGCCCCCCCAGCGGGGTCGGGTAGAAGCGGCAGGGTGATGTGCAAGCCCTTGTTGGTCATAGAGTAATCTGCCACGCCGGCGGGGGCATTGACTTCGGGAGATTGCGGGACGATGACGAACTGCATATTGGCGAAATCATCAGGGGAGCGGGCGAGGATGGGGGTTGCGCCGGCGAGATTTTCATCGCTTTCATCATCCGCTTCTTCGTCGAGGCAGAGGGCTGAGGGAGGGAGGGTGTTTGTATGCCGGGGTTTGGGACCTAGCAGTTGGTTGAGGATGCCCCATGCAAAAATGGAGTGGTCGTCGGAACGCTTAATAATCTCCTCTTGCAACCGCTGGAACGCTGCCTCGGCACCCTCGCCGTAGACAATAGGCATGTGTATTCCGAACAGGCCCAGCAAGGAATACGCGACATCCTCCGGCCTGGACGCCTGCCTCCCTGCTGCCCAGGCCAACCGCTGCGCGATACTCGCCTTATGCACCAATTTCGGCTCAATGAGCGTCACCTCATCAATCTTGGTCACCCTCGCCACATGCTTCACCAAACTGGACTTCGTCCCCAACAGTTTCCAACCCTTCGCATAAAAAACCAATTTTTTCGGTGCCAATAACTCAGGCAACGTCCACGCGCGCTTGAACCACCGACTCATATTAAACAGATCCAGCCACGTGCGATATCCCTCAATGTTATCATCTGCTTGCACGTCGGCCAAATAGGCGTAGCATATCCCTGCGCGCGAGTACCACTGAAAAGCAGAGTTGATGGCCTCAGACACGTCGGTGCTGCTGGTGCGGTCGATACACGCAGTGTCAACCCAAACGTATTCGAAGCCGTCCTTTTCGGCTTGCTCGACTGCGTAGAGAATTTTTTGGTAGCCAGGCTTGAGTTCAGCGGGATGGGGGCCAGTGTTAGTGGATTGATGGGTAGAAGCTGATGCTGCAGCTTGGGCGAGGACTTCGAGACTGCTGTACCGCTGGTGATGACTCTCCCCATTTCTATTCGCGCGCTCAATTTCGTAGGACTCGGAGTACCCGTTCGTCGTCGTGCTCGTCGTGTCTTTCAGGGCAGGCAGGTTCCTAAGAAGATTATTCCCGATGCTGGGTGATGTTTTCCCCCGAAAGGCCATTAACATGCTAGTCAGCAACATCAAACGCATGGTCTCGGTGCTGTCGAGCGACGGACGTCCTGTCGAACTATGCCCGTTGACGCCGTTTACCCCGCTGATCGGCTCATGGTGGTGATGGCCTTGTGTCAGTAGAGGGGCGTTGTTCCGACGGGCTTCGCGCTGGGCCTTGCGGTGCTGGGCGATGCCCTGCAGGTCTTGGGCCGTGACTTCATCATTCTCTGGACCCCAGACGTGGGAAAGGATAGCGTAGGGCGGGACCTTGTCGTCGTGGAACTCCTCGACCTCGCGAGTCAGCACGCTGATGAGCTTCATTGTGGTGTGGATGTTGTTGATTCGATCTCAAACTGGCCGTGACCAGTTGATGACCAGAGGGTGGTTTTTTTTTTGAGTGTGTGTCTGTCAGCTCCAGCCTAGGTCATGATCTGAATTCAGAGATGGCGGTCTGGTCTGATCTGTAGACTCCAGTCTCTAGAAAGGTGGTGAAGAACTTCTTGACTTTACGGACCCGTCACCGCCCGTGGATCCGCCTTTTGGTTAAATATGCCCCCCCTTCGCCCATTCCCCATCTCCCATTCCCCTCCGCCATTCCCATTCGCGGAGACGTTTTCCTGCATCTGCAGTCTCCAATGTGCCCCATCATAAGTCTTCCGGCCGTCATTCGCCTCGATGGCCGGTCTGCGGCTTGCGGGCGGCGAGCAAGCGGTGTCGCTCGCGTGCCCTGCCCTTGCCCTGCCCAAACGCAGTGGCACTAAAAACACATGGCCCAATCAGACATCGCTTTGTCTGCATCGCTGGCGCAACGCCGATCCCATTGAAGAGACCCAGCAAACCGGCCAAGCAGCACCAGTGTTTGGTTGGGCTTGATCGGGCATCGATTCCATCGCAAAGCGGGTCCACTTCAGTGATGAGGAGCATTCAAAGTAGGCGTTGGAGGATGCGGAGAACTGAGAGGAGAGCAGGATAGCCACCCGAGGGGAAAAAAAAAGAAGTCCTTGCCTTCTTGGGAGTGGGTCGGGCTGTTCTTGCCAGGGTTAGCATCAAGCCCTGTTCATCAGCCGGAGAACTAGATCTTGCCTTTTCTGTCGAGTCGAGGGATGGATGCTTCCTTCCTGCACTTTCACATGCATACAATCACCCCTAGTCGCCAATGTCGATACCACCGGCGCCAACGCTTGCTGACTTGTCCATGTCCTTATCCATTCTTCCATCCCCAACTATGGAAGGAAACCCCGTCACATTCCGCATGCACATCAACAAATTTCCCTCTGCCTGCTGCTGCCTCGCTAGCGTCTACTTAGCGCAAACTGCAAAGTGACTTTTTTGCGTGCCGATCCCGTCCAGTGGTCACTGTCGTTGAGGGCCTGCGCAAATCGATGGGTGACTTCCAATTCGAGCGTTAATCTGGAGAATCGCTGCGTCACACTGGTCACACTGGGGGGCTAATGGGCCATGCCGGCTGACGGGCCGCTCGGGAGCCGCTCGGGAGGGGACAGATGGCTGAGTTCCTGAGCGGAAGGCATGAACTGATGGCTGCATTAACTGCAGTGGCCCGTTTCTAAAGCGCTGCGCCCATCACCCACCGAAGGGAACTGGACTGCAGGTGCTATGGTAATTCTACACCTAAGTGCCCTGGATTGATAAGATTGATGGCTCCAAGTTCTGGTAGCGATAGATTGGCCATTGGCTTGGGATGGCAACTCACTAGAGACATAACATGTGGGTAAATAAGGATCTCGCTTGTGAGAGGCAGAATTGGCTCCCAAGTTGCACATCCATTTCCCGAAGACCCAGCACCCTCTTCCTCGTGTCTCCGTCCGGTTGCTGCGGGACGACAGATTTGTTGACTCGAAATTTGCCCCTGAGAGTCCGAGACACTATACCGCTACATAGGCACTCACACAACAGCATATCTTGTACACACCAAAAATGCCTTAGTGTTTTATCTACTAGCCCGTTGACAATTTACATAGTTAAACTGCCACTACAAATGTAGCCTATCGTACCTGAATGTTAAGTATGCACGCGCAAAGAAAACCCAAACGCCACTCATTACGGATCTATCCAGTCTTTTCCAATTCATGATCCCACCCACCAACCAAATCGCTTGCCATTGACATGCTTGACAATGCTTGAAAACCCTCCAGTCCATGCCATGCGATGCAGTCCGTAGCAAGTAGTCAATGTACATGTGTATCGTTTTCTTCTCTTATCCCAGGCCAGCCAATTCTTTCGTACTCCTTTCCTCTTTTATAGTACTCAATCAAGCCCTTTTCAACAGAAGTAATCCAAACAGAAAGACTCAAATGAAAATGCAACTGTAATGAATAATTAAGCCGTCACTGTGAGTACTGTTACGTAGCTGTTGTTGGGGTTGTCCATGGCGAAGAAATCTCGCTCTGTTGCTCACTCCTCTCATTGGGACTGACCTTGATCAAAGTGAACTGTGGTAGGTAAGCGAGACATCTTGGGTGAAGAGGTAGAGCCGTGATGGCTCAAGGTGCTGCGCGTCATCGTCGTCTAAACTCGAAGCCCTTCCTAATCTAAGGCATTCTCCCAATACCAGGGTGCTGCTGTCCATGAGGTTGCTGCGGTTGCATCGGGGGAGGAAGTTGTCCATGCTGCATGCCATACTCAAGCATTCTCTGGCCGGGCATCAGAGGTTGCTGCATAATCCCATGAACTTGGTGCTGAGGAGGGTGCATTGTCAGCCCGCCAACAGAACCCCGCGGAAGCGCAAGCGGACCACCAGTCAACGAAGCAGGGGTAGTAGGATCAGAAGGGCCGGCTGAAGAAGGGGCGCTGTCGGTATTGGAAGGGGCCTGGTTCGTGCCGTTGCCGTTCTGAGAGGTGTTGTTGTTAGAGCTATTGTTGGCGTTAGCAGCTGCACGCTCGGCCTTCTTGTTCGCCAGGGTAGTGCGACGCTTCTCGACGGCGCCTTGCATTTCGCCCGAGGCCCACCGACCTGTTCAGTGTTAGGATTGTGGTCACAAGGTCAATATAAGAGTAAAGGAGGAACTTACGTCTCATCGACCAACTCATCTTCTCACTCTTGGTCATCTCCGCATAAGGCTTATCGAAGTCCCCATTGACGACGCCACTTCCGGCGCTGGCACTAGCACCAGAACCATTCTTCTCACCAGTAGAAGCGGCAGCGGAGCTCTTCCTGCCCTTACCCTTCCCACCAGTACCATTAGCAGGCGTCTGCGCGCGCGAAGTCGACCCAGACGCAGAAGCCGACCCATTCGAAGTACCGTTCCCAGTCTGGCCCGGAGGATTGGTGATCTTGATCTTAGTAATCGGCTTCTTGACTGATGGCGGCGGAGGAGGAGGGGGTGTAACACCGGGAGGGAACGCGGGGCTAGCATTAAAGGTATGTAAGTAGGGACCTTGAGCAGGTTGATGGGCAGCTTGTTGCGGCATGTGCTCGACGACCATGGGGCCGGTCATGAAACTGTGGTAAAACTTCGATGCTGCAATCGGCTGTAGGTGCGGGCTGCCGGGGGCAGACTGAGCTGCAGTCTGGGCAAGTTGTTGGTGTTGGGGGTGCATCGGAACTTCAGGTTGATCTTGAGCAGCCGGCTCCTTGCGACGCTGACGTCTGCGAGGCTCGCCGTTGTTCTCGCTATTGGTGTCTTGCTTAACTGTGCCACGACCACGCCTGCGTGGTTCTATCTCGGGGTCATTTTCCAGCGCAAAGTTGCGCCTCTTCTTTTCTCTCAGCGAGTAAGTCGACTCGACGGTATCATTCGTGTGCTCTGACGACGCGGTGCTGGGTCTCGACTCTTGCTGCTGCTCAACAGTCTGTCCATACAAGGTCTCTTGTCCAGCGTTGGCCCCCCGACCGCGCTTCCCAAAACCAGCCGGAACAGAAGTAGGCGCCTCTTGCTTGGCAGCAGCAATACGACCGCGTCTGCGGCCCTTCGGCTTGGTCTCAACCTCGTTCTCATCCTCAGTCTGGTTTGCGTCTTGAGCCTCAGCCATGACAGACTCCTGATCGTCACGGTCAGCCTGGGCCTGAGCGGCAGCGGTGGCCGCAGCAACAGCAGAAGCCGGCGGACGGCCTCTCCTGCCCTTGCGAACGGGCTGCTCAACATTCTCAGCCGGCGCATCAGCCTCTTCACCCTCACCATCCAGCGGCGTGGCAATCCTCTTGCGTCTCTGCCTACGACCCCAAGGGAGACTCGGCAGCGGTGTACCTGCGCGACTGACATCCTTGCTTTCATTAACATACCGCGGCTTGCGCGTCCGCTTTCCCTCAATAACGTTATCCTCAGCCAGTTCAGCCCCCTTCTCAGTCCGCTTGCGCAGGCGATTTTCGGGCATCTCCCAGCGCTGCTCCTCGGGATTTTGCCTTCCGACCATCGACGGGTGGTTGTTATGCTTGAAACCGTAGATCTGGGCCATCAGGCGGTCCTCTTCACGCTGGTGTTCCAGGACAGGGTCATCGACATACGGCTTGGGGGCGCGCACGCCACGAATCTCGTAGGGAGTCGGTCCCTTGACAACATCGTCGAAATGACGGCGCCAGTGCGGCGGGTCGTCAGCCTTCTGGCGGTTCTCCCAGTTGACGATGGTCTTGTCGTTGGCCTGGCGACGTTTGGCGTTATCCTCGTCGTCGAGAATCTTGCGCAGCTCGTTGTACTCGCGCTGGTAGACGTCCATAGTCTCAACGGCGGCAGCAAGCGTGCTGTAGAGCTTGTCTGAGTCCATTTCTTGGTAGTTCTCGAGGGCCTCGACAAACTCGTTTGGATCGCGCAGCTTGGGGAAGAGGTACTGCTTGCGAGGCAGACGAGTGACTTCGATCGGTTCCACCGGGCTGTCGGGCTTGAGGGCGGGGCTGTTGGACACGGTCGCGGTGTCTTGTTCCTCGTCAACAGCGTCTTCTTGGTTAGCTTCGTCCTCAGCAGCGGCAGGGGATGGAGCGGCAGTGGGAGCTTGGGAGTCGTCCTGAACCGACTCCTCGACGTCTTTGCGTTTGGTTGCCGACTTCTTGGGCGCAGGGACTTCCTCCTCCTCGTCAGCCGGCGAGATCCCACCAGGTTGGTCAAGGTTCTTTTGTGCCTCGCGATACCGCTTCGCGCAGACGTTGTTGAACTCGACCAGTGAGATGGGCGGCTCGCCAGCCTCCTCACGGCGCTTCTTCTCCTGGCGCCACAGGTTGAAAAACTCGCTGACTTTTAACGGCCGGCGAGCATCCCAACTGACAACAGGCTTCGGCTCAGTCGAGACCGAGGCTGCGGTGGGAGTAACCACCGGCGTGGGCTCGACAGCCTTGGCCTTGTCGGCGGCCGGGTAGACCCATTCAGTGAATGGGCCGGGAAGAGCAATGTCCTCACTCTCGTAAGGGGTGAGCTTAAGGAGGGTGCCAAACGGGGTCGGCGAGGAGTAGATGGGTTCTAACGCTCGCATCCTCGCCGGCCCCGTCGACTTGGCAGCCCGGCGCAGCAACGGGCTAGACACCTCGGCCTGTGCAGCTGGCGCAGCGGCAGACCCCTCAGAGGGCTTTGCTTCGGGCGCAGGCTGGCCGCTGGCAGCGGCGTTTTCAGTAGTCGGCCGGGGGGCCGACTCGGCGGAGGGGGAAGGGGAAGCCTTGGGCTCGCTCGGCCGGGGGCTGTCCTTGGCGGCTGCAGCGGCGGCGGGGGGCTCGATGGTCAGGCGCTGCTCTTGCGTAACTTTGGTCTCGTCGACCGGTGAGTTGCTCGCGAGCGTGGCCGAACTGGCAGCTGACGTGCCCCACGACGCGTCAAGCTCTTGCTGGGGCGCCGGAGAGGTTTCTTTTGTCCGGCCGGCGTCCTTATCCGCTGACCGAATCGATGAATCAGAACGCGAATCCGTCTTCTGAGGCGACGACTGGGTCGATTCGGCACCAGTGTCGTCCATGGGCACCCCGACCAGGATGGTGTCTTGCACGTCGTCAGCCAACTGACCGACGACGCTGGCGGCGAGGGCGGGGGCGACTTCGGTGGCCGGCTTCTTGCTCGCCGATGGCTGCCGGCGGCGGTAGGAGCCCGCTGTGCGGCCCATCGGAGCAGGAGACCCCTCGGCCCGCCGGCGCTTGTTGGCGGAGCTAAACTCCTCGCGGTCTGACTCCTCCTCGGAGTCGTCGGCGGCACCCCTCCTCTTCCGACTGCGGGTGGTCGGTGTGGCAGCCGCGGTCTTGGTTATCGCGACGCCGACCTCGTCATCGATGACCTCTTGGGTGTAGTCGATGCGGGCTCGCTTGCGCAGTGAGTGCCCGCCCTTGGAGTGCCCCTCTTCTTCGACCGTGGCATCTTGAGGGGTCTCGATCAATGCCCGTGACCGCTTGCGGGTCGAGGGCGCGGGAAGGACGGCCGAATGCATGGCTGTGGATGATGTCGGGGACGGGGGCTGGTCATCAACAGCACTTGATGTCAAATTGCGGGCTGACCGAGCGGCAGCCGCAGTGCTTTGACCCGCGGTGGATTTTTCAGACGCGGGGGAAGAAGGATTGGATGCTAGCGGGGGGAGAGTCGTAGAACTTGATAATTGATTTAATGTGGTGATCGTCTTGGTCTTGCCTCCCTTCTGCGGCGCCGCTAAAGCAATTTTTTGATGAGGCATGACTAAGCTAGATGAGGCCGGTAGGTTTGGTTGAGCAAGGCTGGCGTCTGATTGTGAGGGAGACGCCGAGCTCTGGTCTTGACGCGGCGGGTCGGCAGGATTAGAGTCAGAATAAAGCTGTCCTTGAGAAAAGTCGTGAGCGGGAGGTTGAAAATGGAATTAAGGTTGAGCCTCGTGAGCTGCGTGACGTTGTGAGGCGCGTGTGCGATAAAATGACCGACTGTCGCGGTGCATGAAAACTTAGGATAAAGTCGAAGTAGAAGATCAAGAAGTCGCTAGCTCGCATAAAAAGTCCGAGACAGAACAGGTCGACGTTGTTGATGTTTGAGAGGTGTTGAGTGAGAGTCGTGAACTGAATGTTGCCGCGAAGGCTTGGCCGAGGCTGTGGTGGTGTAATTGGCAGGCCCAGCGAAGCTTGGGAATGGGGGTGTGTGTGAGTGAGATCAGCGCTGGGGCGAACAAAGACCCACGGCGAAGCAGGAGTCCAGTAGGCTATCAGGTATGCTTGTTAAAAGTCGAAAAGCAGCTGCAATGCCGTTCGAAGAATCTGAAAAGGTCTCTCTGCTTGGTTGGAAGGGCGCTGGCTTGGCCTGATGCGATAGATCCCGGCGAGAACAGCTGGGTAAGGGCGCGTCGGGACAAATGTCGACAGTAAGAGAAAATGCAGTTATTGTGGCTGGCTCGATCCGACAATAGGAAAACGCGTGCCCGGTGCAATGAAGGTTCTGCTCGCAAATCGAGGCTCGGGATAAGAAAAAGCAGACAGGGAGCGCTGCGAATTGCGTAGGCAGAGTGATGTTGACTGAGGTGTAGATCGACCTGTAGTAGATTTTCTTCACGTCAATTTCTGGATGTTGCCGAATAAGCCAGCCTAAGGGACCCAATCAGGATGCCCGACCAATCGTGGGCCATCGCCCGACAGTTTTCCCCTCGAGTTCCACCCACGCCAGGCGGTGCTGCCACTTGGCTCGCGTTTTGTTGTGCTATTGTAGCCTAAAAACGGCGAAATAACTGCTATTGAACTCGACTGCTGTTGTCTCCTTCCAGTTTGCTCAAGACAATTGCAATTGATTGAATCCTTTGGGTGTCGAGCCTTGCTTTGCGTAGGCGATGACTTGGGCTCAGTTAATTCAGGGTTAGGGTTAATCCAGCACAGCCGCACGTTCTGTTGCGGTTGGCGGCCTTGTTCCAGCCAGGTGGAGCAGCCGTGGATCTCGCCCGTGACGCAACTCGCAACGGCGGGCCGGGGTCCATCTCAAACGCCAAGCACCAAGTAGAGAGCGCAGCATTCGAGTTGTGGACCCAGAGTGCTGCCTCAGTGCCTCCTGAGGGAAACCAAGCAGAGCTCCGAGACTAAGACAGCCTGGCATCTCTTCTAGGCTCGTAGGACAAAGCTTGCTTCTATTTTACGAGATTGATCTCTGTATCCATCATTTCCTCCATTTTTGGAACCCTTTGCTTTGACCTTCCCCGTCATGTCCAAACGAGCCAAGGACAACAAGTCAGCGCCGACCGACGACGAGCTGGGTGAGCTCTTCGAGGGTATCGGCGACGACGCCAGCATCCGCAAGTCCTCATCGTCCTCGACTAAGCCCAAGACATCCAGAGCCAAGGCTGTTGAGGACGACATTCTCGCCGACCTCGAGAACCAGCTGGGCGAGGCCGTCGCTGACCTGCCCAAGCGTCCCCACACTCCCCGCGTGCGCGACGCCGCGGCGACCAAAGCTTCCCCCGCTTCGAAGGCTGCCCGCTCCCAGGCCCAGGAGGAGAAAAAGACACCGACGCCGCCTCTGCAAACTCCTGTGGCTGAGGGCGCCAGTTCGCAAAGCCAGAATGCTACTCCTGAGCCGCAGAAGAAGCATTCTGGCGGCAGTTGGTGGGGTGGCTTGCTGTCGACCGCCACAGCAGCTATGAAGCAGGCCGAAGCCGCCGTCAATGCCGTCAAGGAGATTCAGCAAGCTGAGGAAGCAAAGAAGTGGGCTCAGCAGATCACCGGCAATGTCGGTGCCCTGAAGGGACTCGGTATGTTCCCCTTCTCCCCCCCCCCCCCTCTCCCCCTTTGATCTGTGCCCATTAGCTGACCGTTTAATGAAAGGCAACGAACTCCGCCATCGCGCCCTCCCAACCTTCACCAACATCCTACATACCCTCGCACCCCCCATCTCATCCCACGAACGCCTCCTCATCCACATCACCCACGACCTTGTTGGCTACCCCTCACTCGACCCCCTTATATACTCCGTCTTCAGCCGCGTCATGTCGCAAGTCGAGGGCGGCGATCTGATGGTGATCCAGCGCGGCCAGGAATCGTCTCACCGCTCATCGTCCGAGCACCACAAGTCATCCTTCTTCTCCCAGCCCCCCTTCGGCTGGCGCGACGGCCCCTGGTGGAGGCAGGACGATTCCCCAAGGAGTATTGGTATTGTACCTGGGCTCGTGGAAGGGACTAAGCTGTGCCGTGCTAGTGCCGAGGCGTATGCACATGAATATTTTGCTGCCAACGGGGGGATCGAGGTGGCACGGCAACGTGCCTCTGAACCACTTAGCGAGAGTAACCCCGTTCGTAGCTCGGATATCTTTCTCTCTGTGCAGGCGATCTCTGTCCCGAGCGACGGAGCCCTCTTTGTTGGGTCGGCAGCCGCCGAAAAGGAGAAGGCAGCGTCGGACGTCAAGGAAGAGCAAGAAGACGCTGAAGGCGGTGTCTGCTTCGCTGTATACGTCTTTGACCCTGTGCACGAGATCCGCTACTCGACAGTCAGCCAAACCGTCCCAACTCGCTGGATCAGGTGGTTGGATGCCCCGCCCGCTCCTGCATCCAGGGAAGAGGAAGGCAATGAATACGAGAAGGAGTTTGGCCGGTTGCCGGAGGAGATCCGGGAGATTGTCGAGACAGGCGGGGTTGATCCGCGTGAGTGGGTGTCAGAGTGGGTTGAGGAAGTGCTAAGCTTGGCTGTGGGAATTGTCGCGCAGAGGTATGTGGCGAGGAGGATGGGTGTGGGCGAGGGGGGCATTGGGAAAGGGAAACAAAAGGTGGAAGATGTGGTACAGGAGGGAGGAAATGAGGCTGCTAGGGCTGGGCTGATTTGAACGAGAGGGGAGAGGAAAGCAAAAGGTTGAGGATGTGATGCAGGAAGAGAAAGTGAGAATGTCAGGGCTGGGCTTATTTAAATGGGGGGGGAAGGGTTTTTTGTCTAATGTTGGGACGATGCATTGAGCAAGTTTTGTTCGGTGCCATTATGGCGTTAAGGAGTAATGCCAATTGACTGGACTATATACCATGAGACTTTTTCTGTCCTTAAGAGGATTACTTCTCGTCACATTCCTAAAGTGAATTGTTAGTGTTCTACCACCCGAACCTGGTATCCAACTAAGTCTAAGAAATCCAAGACATAAGTCCATTACACTGCAAGGTCAAATACCTAAAACTCCCCACCCGAGCTTCCTTCATCAACCATTACTCCCCTTTTTTATTCTCGACATCATTCTCCATTTCCCCCTGCTCTCCTGACCCCTTCACCCCGCTTATCTTTCTGTTTCTCTTCCTCCTGGCCCTTTTCGCCCTTCGCTTTCTCTCCAATGCTCTGCTGTTCCTTATTTCCAACCTCGTTCTTCTCTTTTTGAGTCTCCCACTCCCTCATCTCCTTCTGCGCAATTTCAATCTCATCCCCCGCCTTTTCAAACTCCCGCTTCATCCTCAAAAAGTCTTCCTCACTCCTCTTAATGGCCCACGTAAACTTCCCCTCCACCTGTGCGATCCACTCCTGCTCCCACGGCTCCCTTCCAGTTCCCAAGTCCTTGGTAATATCAATCCCTACCAATAGCCCTCTATTCCCATCCGGATAGATCACGCTCTCGATCTCTACTACCGTATCGGTGTAGCACCTCGTACAACACAACGTCGATAACTTGGGCTCTGCAGAACTCCACTCCCTTTTCACCTTTTTACCATCGGCTGTTCTCAGAGTAAAGTTTACCCCGTCGGTACGAATCCTCTTTTTTCCCAGTGCCCATTGGCTCGTGAAAGAGAGTTTGGTGTGCACGCACGGGTAAAACTCCTGGAATCCCCGGCCGATGAAGGCGTTCTTGGCAAAGGTTCGACTAAACACTCCGGGAGGGGGTACACGGCCATTGGACCAGGCGGGGCCGAGATCGAGTTCGGCGAGGGGGAAGCAGAAATAGGTTTGGAGAAGAACTCGGCTTTGGATAACCAATGTGCGGGTGACCAATGTTAAGGGGGGATTGGTCGAGGGGAGGGTTGCTATGCAGTGGAGGGGGGAAGAAGCAATTGACTCGAGTGTGTTTGTAGGAGGATTATGGGAGAGCCACTTTCGAAATTAGCATTTCTCTGCAAATATGAAGCTATTAAGCGTCTTACCTTAACGTGGTAATAACCTAGATCCCAAGGAACTTCACAATGCACCCTCGGCAGTAATTCCGTCCATTTCGGCACATCCTCCCCCATATGCACCTCCGGAATGCTATATTCCTCAGGTATATCCCCACCAAGCCGCTTTTTCATCACCTTCCCAACCTTGCCCTTATCTTTCTCGGGAAAGAGGGATGCATCAAAGAAGATGTCGTGGTTCCGCGGGTTGTGGCGTTTGCATCCGTGGCGGGGCGCGTGCACGCAGGGGAGGTGGGCTTGCCATGGTCCTGGGGGAAAGTTGGGTTCGGGGTCGTTTTGAAGGGGAGTTACGATGGTTGTGGCTTCGCCGAGAATGGATGAGGAGTCCTTGGGGCGTTTGAGGAGGGCTCTGAGGCGGTTCATGGTTGGTGATATTGGTATTGGTGGTGTATGTCGAGTTCTGGAGGGGCCGAAGACCGTAACTTTCTAAGTATGCTCGCAGAACGAAGTTGTTTGCTAAGCCAAAAATATGGAACGCTGAAGAGATGCTCGTTGGGAGAGAATCAAGTTTTACAGTTAGCAACGAAGAATGTAGAAGCTAACCTGCATTCACATACGATGTCCTATCGAAGAGTTTTCTTAACTAGTCCTCCATCATCCCCTTATATCTCCGAGCCCCAACCCATGCTACGTCGCTTGTTCTTTGACCTCCTACGAAGAGAGGCCCGAACAGGGTCCATAACCACGAGGTTCGGTCAAGCCCAAACTCAATCGGGCCAGCTTGGCGAGCTGAAAAGAAATCTGGTGTTATGAGAGGTCAATCTTTGTGCACAGCCAGGAGGTTCTCGTTTTGCACAGCCTCTGCTTAGGGCCAAGCCACATCAGGCAAGGAATCATGAACGGGTTGGCCGCCGAGGGCTTGCTTGTATTAAGAATTGATGTCGCATGCTTTCGTCTCCTTTGGGAACACTTGAAGATTGCTTCGAGAAGTATATTGTGGCAGTGGAAAGAGGTTTAACGCCGGCAACGCCAGTCTAATGTCTAACGGGAGGGGACACACGTGACCGGGATACTTGGAATCGATGCATTGAGAGGTAACCAGCATGGATGCCAGCAAATGCTTGTTATTTGGTATCATTGTTGGACAGTCTATTGAGAGTAGCGTAGGCTAGCTCGTGTGTCAAAGACACAGCTCTTTAACAACCCAGAACTTAGGGCTTGCCAAGAGATTTCATCGAGATTGTTGAACATGTCACCCAATTAAATCATGCTTACTCGATCACCCAACATCCCAAAAACACAGAAAACCCAGTCAATTAACGCCACCTCTACCAAATCCACAACCAAAACAGATATCTACACTTATATTCCAATATGTATAGGTTCCCCTCGCATGTAAATTCAAGCAAAAGCCCCGACAACAGCCATCAACGCCGCTCCCCCGGCAACCGCGCAAAACGCATGTACTCTCCTTCTCCCCCTCAACACTTTATAACTCTTCTCCGACAAAAAGTCCTCCGCCAGAAGCTGCACCAACCCCGCAAAGAGTAACAACCCAGCTGAGATGGCGTTCATCACGCCAACCATCAGCAGCCCGGCTTGACTTTGCGGGTCGTAGAAGCCGTGTACTAGCAGGCCGATAGCCTGCCCTACGGGGGTGGTTGCGCCGAAGGCGAGGACCATCAGCCAGGGGCGGGGGGAGGAGCGGGGGAAGTGTAAGGCTGCGATGCGGGTTCCTAGGGCGAGGCCTTCGAACGATTCTTTATTCAGATTGTCAGCTTTGAGCAGGAAGGGAAGAGGAGAGGTATGGGGACGTACGATGAAAACAAATCGCGATCAAAAACACCACAAACGCTGGCCCGGTTGCAACCGACAGCGCCATGCCGATGAACACGCTATGGAACAAAATCCCTGCCTCGAGAAGCATGCACTGCAGCATCATGCGTCGCTGTTCCTCGGGCGTCGTGGGCACGGGCAAGCTACTCCCTGAGAGGGACGACAATGTTCGTGTATGTTTGCGTGAGGGGCAACTGCCGTTACCGTTCGGGCGTAGCTCTTCAAGGGTGACGTCGAGTTCTTCAATAGAGTCGCGGTCGTTAACATCGTAGGAGGAGATACCTTGTTCAGGCAGAAGTCTCGCTCGTGAAGGCTTGAGCGTTGGTGTTGATCCTGCTAGGGGAGACGCCCCTGCTACCAGGCCCTGTGTCGCTTCTAGATCATCAAGTGCTATACTCCTTCTCCCTGGCCGATGGTCATGCCGTCGATGGTATACCCTTCCCTCATCACTCTCCAACCTCACTTCCGGCGTCCTAGCCCCCTCATCAATACCATCGCCATCCCAAGTATGATGATGCGCACACGAGTTTGCAACCCCCCTCGTAGTCAAATACGACTCTAGCGCGACCACCACCAGCGCCGACACCATGGCAATCAGCCCCGCCAGCGGGGGATACTGTTCGTTAAATAACGGTGGGAGGCAGGGATCAGTGAGGGAAGTGAATGCGGTCGGGAGCAAATGGACGAAGGCTGTGGCGAGGAGCACGCCGGTGCCGAAGTGCTGGCAGAGGAAGATAAGGGTGCGCTGGAGGGGGGAAGAAGTTGTGGTTGAGAAGCGTTGGGAGAAGAGAGGGAAGCCGCATGCTGAATACAAACATCTCATTAGCTTTGAATGTTGATATGTAAGAGGGCAGAGTAGGGGTGACGTACCCAGTGTGCTAATAACTAGTACCAAGAACAAGGCAAAGACATGTATGCCCGTGTCGTAGGCGCCCTTTTCGCTGGAGCCGCAGGCTGGCCGCTCGCCGTCGGCAGCGCGGCGTGCAAGCTCCGCGCGGAGCAGCGACGTCGGGATCGAGGACCATAGGGAATCTGCGACGAACTGTTAACTCTTGAGTTGGGTTGAGAGGCCAATGAGGAGGGTTGGAGAAGGAAGAAAGAGCGCACCGTCTTCCCGCACGTTGAAAGTATCCATAGCAGGAATGATAACAAGGGAAGAGAAACTATTTATGACGGACTCTGTGACAGCGTCATTGTGGACTTTCGAAATTAGGCACAAAGGGTTGTTGGGTTAAAGATATCAAGGCTGGCTGCGGTGAGGTGTCAGATTTGAGATGATGCAGCTCGGAGCTCAGATCGAGCCAACCGCCAGCCGGCGATTTCGCAGTCCCATCTTTGAAATGGAAGCTCGCCGGTGGGCCCTGGAACGCTTCTGGCTAAGGTTGCCCGGGCCCATCAGCAACGCCTGTGCAGCTGAAGGTTGCCCCGGCTTACAGCCAGGCGCCCCGCTAATTTTAGGTGAACATGTATATCTGCAAACATTGGGATGACGTCGGATTTCAATTTTCATCAGGACCACAACGGTCAGCAAAGTGCTCAATGTAACTCTGCAACGTCCACATATTTAGGTATTTTCGACACATATTTGCATCAGAGTCGGATCAGCAGCCTGCTCATTGACAACCCCTCGCAGCTGAAAAACTCATAACTCCATCACTTGCGTCACCGGCCCTGGATGTCTCCACAAACAACCGACCGTTCCGACAGCATCGCTCTTCCTGCGTTTTCTCCCAGGATGCATCTCCATCAGCCCAAGTTCTCAATTCTTTCCCTCGGTCATGCCCTTGGGGGGCTGGTCATCGCCCGCGGGAATGCCGTCGTCAGCGACGACCCGTAGCTTCCCAGGCTGTTGAAGTCCTTGGTCGGCTGTGTGTCAAAGAAAATTTTTTGCACAAAGGAGAGGATGAACGAGCTGATCCAGCAATACCTATCAAACACCTAAAAGTGGGATAGGGGACTCACTATCCACTCAAATCGCTGTGACCTCCTCCCCTCACACTGATACCAATCCGCCCCGGAACTCCCAATCGCTCATAAACCGCCTTCACCGCAGGATAAATTTTTGTCGCTGTCCCCCTCTCGCATTAACAAACGGATCCGTCCCCTCATTAATCACTAATGCCCTTGGTGCAATCTCCGCAGCAATAACAACATGTGCATCATACGGCACATATTCATGCCTCCCGACAGAGCCCCCAACTTGCTATTACTCTACCATGGCGCCCCCTGCTTGCTGTTGTCCAGATTTTCGCCCTGCCCGCTCATGGTGAAGTACCGATAGGGCCCAAGGCCTTGCACGCTAGAGGACACGGGCATGGTTAGGGTGATGTGCTTGTCGAAGAGACCGGCGGCGAGGGCGGCTTTGCCTAGACGCGAGCAACCTATTACGCTGACACGCGTTTGGGTCGATCTCGGGGACGGTGAGGTTGATGGCGTCAAGCACCTGGTGGAAGCCCCAAGCCCATGCGGTTAGAGTGCCTTGACGATCAACCTCTGCCTGGCAACAACTCAGGGGGGTGGAGACTTACCAACGTCCCGTCCATTATACAAGCTCCATAGCGCGCCACTCTTCCCATTACTATCCAGCGCCACACTAGTATAATCAAACGTCGCGACCGCAATTCCGGCACTCAAATAAGGCTGCGTCTGCATCCAATATAAATTACCAATGGTGCCGGCTTGTCCCTCGTCCCCCCCGACAACATCACGCTTGCCCTAATTGTCGCCCTCTTCCCCCCCGCCTTAACCTCGATGTTCAAATTATTCCCGCTCCTCGTAGCCTGAACAGTCTCCTGATTTCTGTCTGGGTAATAGCCATACTGGTATTCCTGCAGCATTTGGATGATCTCGGGCTGGCGGCAGCGGTACCCTTCTTCGTGGGTGGTGATACGGTGGGGGGTTGGCCGGTCATGACTTGCTGGGCAAAGGCTTGCGAAGACCGACCGGCGGTGTTGTCTATAGTTGTGCAGAAGAGGGGGGGGTAGGGGTCGGGGTGGGAGGATTGTTGGGGGAGTTGTTGGTAGGTGGCCAGAGGGACGGGAGAGGGGGGTATTGGATCATGGTGTTACCCGCTTGGCTGGCGTCTAGGGGGAAGTATGCGACGCCACTGAGGGCGGCGAGGGCTGTAATAGTGATGGGACGGATTTGAGTGCATCTGATCCCACCTGGAGGTAAGTCCTGATCTCCAATACCCTCTCAGCAGCTCCTTGGCCAAAAGCCTAGGAGTCCAGCAGCCATATACCACTCCCAGTCCAGGTCTGATCCAAAAATATCCTCCGAACAGCGCTACATCTGATCACCCGGATCCCACCACACATGGTAGTTCACCATCCGGATCTTGCGGGGTAAAGTATCACAGCAAGGCACAACCGTCTATATTCATAATAGATCACTGTCCAACTGCCGGTCAGGCTTCAACTTGGCAAGATCTAACAATAAACACCCACGCTGTGGGATAAGGATGTAAAATGTAGCGTTGCGCCCAGGGCAACCACCAGGTTGTGATAGGAGGCATCTGCCATCGTGGTTGTCGCTGTAAATGTTAGAGAAGCCTGAGGTAGGTCTTGGACTGCAGCCAGCGGTCTTTGGTCGTTATATCTTGGGTTTACAAAGCATGTACTGCCTTCATTCCACCTGTGTATACTGTAAAGTTATTGTACAAAGATTAAACAGCAACGATTATAGGGGGTAACATGCCGTCCGGAGTCATTGGCAACTCGCTGGATTGACAATCGGTTAAATCGAGATCCAGTGTTTGGGGAAACTCTTCTGTCTTGCGTGGAACTTGGCAATTCTAGGTTGGGCTCTCATTTTGCCGTGCAAGTGGACTCCAGCCGGCAGTCTCTTCTCTACCGCCACACTGGCCCCACCAAAGGCCGGAACTACAGTCGAAAATTACAAGATTGGTTAAACACCGTTATACAGACGGTATTGCAAGCCTGCTTTCAGTATTCACTCTTCTCTTTGTGCCTTGCTATGAGTGGAATCCAAGACCGAAGTGCTCATTTAAGAGCCCCTCTATACAGTTGATCCTTCTACGGCGTTTGCTTCACCGTCATTCTTTAACCACGCATCCAAACCCACGTAAAAAAGAACATCGAAATTTCCCAAGCACCGAGAACCAAAAGAGGAAAAATGAGAGAGCACTGACAAGGGTGAGATTCGAACTCACGCCCCTTTCGAGACCACGGACTTGAATTAAGGGTTTAAATGCCTTAACGTGGCGCCTTGGACCGCTCGGCCACCTTGCCTATTCACCGTTTCCTGATGTGAAGCAGCGTCACCTGGAGTGAAGGGTGCATGGCGCAATTCATTGTGGAAAATATCTACAAACACGATGAACATCGCGATGATGGAGTTGTCGGAATAGTGTTTGAAAGTAATCAGACGCTAAATGTGCTTAGCCGCGCAGTCTGCGCGACTTGAAACATTGATCAACTTGCTCACTTTCTCCCTCCCGCTGTGGAAGTGGTCAATTCCTCTCCTACTCAGTTCTATGCGCGCTCGAAGACCGGGTACAACATTTGGACAGATCGTGCGGAATCTCCTCATCCACGCAACATCCTTCATCCCAGTATTCCGGCTTGCTTTCCGGCTACTTAACTAAGACATGTCTCCAACACTCGTAGCTTTACCCTCTTCTCTCGAGTCGTACCAAGTCTAATTAGGGCATAACAAGTTTGCAAGAAGCGCTTGAGCAGCTTATTTGGTTGGACAATGCGAGGGAAATTCCGTGCTGAAAAAGCTCGGAGAAGGGGGATGTCTCGGGGGTTTGTGGGTAGGGTCTTGCTGCTACTCGGAAGAGAATCGGGAGCTTGGAAGGGCAAGGGATGTGGATAATTGTTGGAAGGCGGGTAATTCTGGTATTTAGCGCGCCAACGTCGGTTTCTACTTGTCGATATCCAGGGTTCAGGGAAGGTTGTACTTCAAAAACTTTCTCCTGGACTGTTCGCCGTTGAGTAGGAGCTTGAGCTGTCAATCCCTTCATAGCATCTACTGTCAGATCCTTCAGCCAGTCAATATCAACCGAAATATGTTCGTATTACCGTGGCTTAGCTTTTGAACGATCTGGCAGTCACCACAGACTGCCTTAAAGTCCTAGCTAATACAAAGTGAGGAAGATATAGCAGTACAGCGTAAAATACTGTCAACGTGAATGCAGGCACGTGCCAATACTTACATGTTTTCGCAGATATCTTCGATTATTCTGATGAGGATTAAAGTTTGGCATCATCAACTAATAAGGGATAAAAAGAAGACATAAGTGGTAGGCCGTGGGAGTCTATCACAGTAAGCTGGTGTCCACAAAAAAGGAAAGTTCATGTTGGAGATGGCGATAGGCAGGTGAGACTCGTCGAGCTTGTCCAAGTTGCTTTTTCTCATGTCCAGTTTGAGAGCAAGTTTGCCTTCATGACCGGCCAAGTCGGGTTCAACTTCTCCCAGTGCATCTTAACATCGATATTATCATGAAGTTGAGAAACTTGTCCGAGCAAACGCATTGGAGACATGACAGCAGCCTAAGATCCTTTGTCACTGTTGATAACCTATGCAGCTCTCCCAAAGAGGCAATATCGGCTTTATGTAGACTGCCAACAGCCGTCAGCCATCAAGTAGTACGGTTTCACGCGGAACGCTCGGGGCTCTTCTAGGTCAGAACCGATCTTATGCGATATGGCGATCGGCAAGCTGCAGCACGGAACCAGTGCGCCATCTAAACAAACGCCTTTTTGAGGTTCATGTTAAAGCACAGGTAACTTTGTGTTGTGTACATGGCCAGCTAAGGGTAAGCTTAACCTCTGGATTCATGGTAACGGAGCTTGTTCTGAGTGGGCAAAATAGAGATACGCTGTAACGCTGCGCTATATTGCGAAAGAGGTCTCTGTAGAGCCTTAATGGCTGCATCTACCTCTTAGTGAGGTGAAGTTCAGCCAAGCATACCAAGCTCAGCCGCCTTTATCACAGCTTCTTGTTAGGAGCAAACAAGGTACGTCTCCAAGCATTGATGTGCTTTCCAAGACCCAGATCATCAACCGGCGCTCTTCGGGAAAGGTTTATGTGGATTAGCCCACCACTTTGGATACAGCGAGAGCTAAATGTGTAAAAGATTGTTTTCTTCCTGCTGTCACCTTATAGCACGTTTTACGAAGTCGAAATGACCATTGGACTGCGCGTGGTGTTGACCCGCAGTTGCAATTCGGACTGATCAGAAACTGAAGACAGAACCTGCCCTCAGCTGGTGTCAGATAGAGACAACAGCTGTATGGAACTGGTCTAATTGGTTGGATTAAACAGAAAGCCTGATGCTCTTGCTTATCTTCTTTGCGGAAGAGCCAAACCGGAAGACAAGATCCGCTGAGACATATGATGGATACCAAACACAACTTTTGGTGTGAAAGAACAACGTGCCTGCAGATCATCCCCTAAGTAGACCTTGCATCGTGCAGGGAATAGCCTAAGTCACCAAGCCAATAGAATGAGGTAGGATTCTCCCAGAGAGGAATGCCAGCTAGCAAGATGGGACAAGTCATCTCACCCTACGATCAACGTTGTGCAGCGATCACAAACACAGATCAAGCACCATTTGCAAGCCCTCCGCCAGTCTGTTGTCTGCTCGCTCGGGATATGCAAGCAGGCAGACCTGATGGCCAGCCAGCAACGCCATCGGGTGTGTCCCATCCAATCACGTCTCCTGCACAAGCCATACCGGTCTCTCATCTCAGCACCTGGACAAATCAACGTCCTCTCTCCATGAGTTGCTTTGCCGCCACTGCACTTCATCTCCCATCTGGTCGGCAGGCTCGGTTTAGTTGTCTCAGTTCCATGTGCTGAGTGCGTGTTGGCCTGGCCATACCTTTCGTGTGTGCTGTGATGGACGGGCGTCCCATGTATACAAAAGCTGTTTTGTCCCTGCCCTCGGATGTCTGTGATGCCTATGTTGGAAACTGTCTGGACTCTTCATATCTAGGAGACTGTCCCCTTATACCGTCAACATCAATCCATCTTCATAATCGGCAGACGGTAGACACAACATCATGGCCCTCCGCGCGGAGTCACCCGACTCCAAGCCGCCTGTCCTGGGCTCAGAATTCGGCACAACCCCCGACACCAAGCCTGAAGCGCGTTACGATGTCGTCGGCATCTGGTGGCTCACTTGGTGCGGTGCCTGGACACTCATCCTGGCCTGGGGCATGATCTTCCTCTACCGAAAGCGTCATACTCCTCCGATCCGTCTGCGCAGTTTGTCACTAACCTTCGCCGGTATCATTCTGCTCCATCTGTACTGGGTCTCGGTGATGATCGCGTACACGTACGGCCCGCTGGCTCCAGAGATCGCTGAGTATTGGGTAATGGGGATCTGGTATCCGTTTGGGATTGCGCTATTCCAGGCGAGTAATAGTCAGTTTTTGCATGTGGCGAAGGCACAAAGTCGGTTTGCAAAACCGATGAAGATATCTGAGAAGTTGGATGAGAAGAGGGAAGAGGAGAGGAAGGGATGGTTTTCGAGCTTGCGGGGGATGGAATATCCGAAAAGGATGTTTTTGTTTGTGACGATGGGGATGGGCGTTCAGGTGAGTTGTCACCGTGATGGTGGTTTGACAGGCCTGCTGACTTGTTGGTTAGCTTGTCGTTGTGGTAATAATCTACCTCATCTCGCGCAAGTTCCATCCCGAGTTTGGCATCCCGGGCACCGAAGTGTACGGCAGCACGCCGCAGGAGATTGCCATGAAGCAGGGTCGCAGCTGGGAATGGTAGGTCTTGTCCTCCTGATCCTGACAAAGTGGTACTGATTGCCCAGGTGGCCATCCATCGTCTGGCAGTTCATATGGGCGTGGATCTACGCCCCCATCATTCTCTGGAAGTCACGCGGCATCCGCGACACCCATGGGTGGCAGCACCAGACCGTTGCCTGCTGCATTGCCGGCCTACCAGCCGCCCCGATGTGGCTCATTGCCCTTTATGTTCCTGGCATGGCTCCAGTGAACCGCTACTTTGTCCCTCCTCAATGGTAAGCCCCTCTTATCCCCGAATCATTAACCCCACGATGCTAACCGGGTTGAAGGATCGCCACCTCGGTCTGGTTTCTCGAAATTTTCACCATCTTTGTCCCCTGCTGGCAAGTGCGCAAACACGAGCGCCTGCGCCACGCCTCTCTCGAATCCATCGCCAACTGGGAGACCAAAAAGCAATACATCAGCTCCCGCAAGAGCAGCACAACCGAGTCAACCTGCATCCCTCCCTTAAGCCCGACCTCCACGAAAGTCGCCGAGGGAGGACAGCAAACGGGTCCCGATGCATGGAAAAAACTTCCCTCCGTCGAATCTGGCGATAAGGAAACTAAACACCTCAGCTTCGACAGCCTTGGGCTCAATCTCCCAGACGAAAGCATTCTAACCATGGCCGCCCTAGAAAAAGTCCTCGACCAAAACCCCGAACCACTCCGCGAGTTCTCCGCGCGCCGCGACTTCTCCGGCGAAAACATTGCCTTCCTAACTGCGGTCTCAGAATGGAAAGCTTCTCTCCCGAAACAATTTGTCGACAAGCGGTATGAAATCAGCCCCGAGGTGTTGCGTCAGGTGTATACCAAGGCGTTGCGGATCTACACCGAGTTTATCTCTCCCAAGGATGCAGAATTCCCGATTAATATTGCCTGGGCGGACTTGAGAAAGCTGCAGGGCATTTTTGAGCGTGCGGCGCATGCCATGGCCGGCGAAAAGAAATCGTTTGTTGATGCGGCGACACCGTTTGCGGAGGATGATTGGAAACCTTCTGCGAGGACGGCTGTTACGCCTGTTGCCAACCGGAACTGGAAGGACTCGGAGTCTCTCATCCTCCCTCAGAGGGGCAACTTAAACAAGTCCGAAGCAGTTGGCGATGTGATTGCTCTCGGTTCGCCACAGGGTAACTCAGGGGAGTCTCTCTACCAAGGCGATATCCCTCAAGCATTCGACGCAAATGTGTTTGATGCAGCCCAAGCGAGTATCAAGTATCTGGTTCTGACAAATACCTGGCCGAAGTATGTGAGGGAGAGGAGAAACTCGGAGAGTTCGTCACGCAGTGGGGGTAGCAGTAATGGGAGTGGAGCAACTGAAAACGGAGAGAGGGGGAGACGACGATTTAGGGGATTCGGGTTAGGGTTTCTGAGGGGCCGGGGGGAGATTGCGGCGCATTGATGGGAAGTAGGTATGGTGCGGTTGTTCGGGCAGTTCGATTCATGTCAACGTGTGAGCTGTGAGTTTGCAGGCATTCATTGCTGCGATCGCCAGCCGAGCTGCCAGTTTATACCCGTTTGTACTTTTGTACAGTATCTGTTGTGTGATAACTATTCGAATGAACCAGGGTTTTCATTGCGTTATAGAGAAGAGGGCTGTGATTCGGGCGAAAGGTCCAATTCCTATGTAGGGTTGAGGCACTCAGCGGCACGAACTCACCAACAGTATACCAAGTACTGGATTTGGAAAATGGCGGTATATTGCTTCAGAATTGGCCGGTAGCATCTTACTATCACCTGCCCAGGAAACCCAATCTGGCACTAGAAACAATTCCTCCCCTAACACTTTACATAACAAACAAGAGGTTGACATCTAGGGAAGTCAGTGCACGTCTTGCATGACAAAGGAGATGCAGGCTTACCAATAGGATGGCTAGACGAGAGCTGAGGCTTCTGGGTATATTTCTCCTCGAGCAGATCGCGAATGCTGTTAAGCAGCTGCAGGTAGCTCGGCTTGGGGTTCTTCTTAAGTGAGGTGATGAAGGCCCAGGACATGGCACCGGTCGCCTGCGAGGAGATGGTTGCATCGGCCCTGTAGCCCAGTTAGTCCCTGTACAACATAACTGCTAGATCCAGTTAGATAACATACGAAGTCTGATCATCCTTGCTTCCACTCCACATAACAACATCGGCCGGACTTGTCTTTGTCCTCTTGGTGTGCTCATAAGCCTTATTCCCTTGAATCGCCGACTGAGCCAGCTTAAACACCGATCCGAGCGCACTGCCCACATCGCCGCGTGCATAGTGCCCAACAGCCTCGAGCAGACCCTGGCCAGCTTCCTTCGCCAGGTTTGGCTCTTTCAACACACCCTTTGTGCTGTAGATGTAGGGAAGGTCGAGCACTGAACCGGAGTGGCACGAGTCGAAGATGGCGGTCAGACGCACGCCTGCTTGCAGAGGGCGCACGACATGGTAGTGGATCTCGTCATCGACGATATGGCCGGCGGTCTTGAAGTCGACAGGGTAGATGACCTCGTCATAGCCGTCCTCTTCGTCGCCGTTTTCGTCTTCTGTTTGGCCGCCGTGACCTAAAAGCATCGTGTCAGTTCTGTCCTGAAAGGCAAGGAAGACGTTGGGGCATACCAGAGTAGTGCAAGAACAACGCATCATTCGGCTGGGCATCCGCCACAAGCCACTGCATCGCTCTGATGATATTCTCCCTCGTCGGCTGGGTAATGGGGTTAGTATTCTCGGGATCATCCGTCAGGATAACCATATCCTCCCGCTTATACCCATAATTCTCAACCAAGAATGCCGACAGATTCTTCACATCGTTGATGCACCCTTTCAACTCAAGCCCTTCCTGCCCATAGTAATTGATACCAATCAGCAGGGCACGGCGACGGCCCGTGCAGTTAGAGTACTGGAAGGTGTATTCCGAGGGAGCACCATGGCCGAACTGCTGCGCTCCGGAGGGTGGCGGCGGGGGAGAACCGCCCGAGCCACCGAAGTCACGGGTGCCGCTGTGGCCGGACGACTGCTTCGGGTAGCCATACTGGTCGAGATGTTCCGGGGGAGGATGCGATGGGCGCTGGTAGCGCTGACCACCGTGCTGTTGTTGACCGTAACTGTGCTGGCCGTAACCACCGTACGGTTGCTGACCGTAGCCGCCGCCGTACTGAGGGGCAGGAAGGTGATGGCCCCCGCCGCCGGGTCCGTAGCCTTGACCGGGGTAGCCGTACGACATGTCGATGGGAGATTTGGTTCAGAAGGATTGAGAATTGAGTTGATGAAGGAAATGTCGATACGAGAGTTGAAGCTGAAGAGATCAGCTCCGAATTTGGGGTCAGGCAGCGTCCAGCAAAGAACCCGAAGAATGCCAACAACTGATTCCAGGAGGGGCACTTGCGTGCGGTTGATGGTTGGGTTTGTGTTCCTTGTATTGGAAGCCAATCAACAGTGGGGCTCAGGGACCGACAGGGTGGAACTGTCACGGAGCCGGGGACAGGGAGCCCGGATCCCTGAAATACTTGACCAAGATGTTGGTGGCCAGTGCTGCAGCAAAGCGGGTGGAGACAACCTGAGGCTGAACAGGTCGCCAAGAGGGTCGGCTCAGCGCCGTCAGCGGCTTGGAGCAGGCATTGGAGCGCACTCCAGCACACTGGCGGGTGTTGCTGCCCTATCGGACACCACTGCATGTTATTTATCATTCTCAAGTTATCGGGCTGCCTGACTGGATGGCTTTACACGCTGCGAGACTCCTAAGAAGGACAGTAAACAACCCCGCATGGAAAGAGCGTGTGTGACATCTAAGCTGTTAGTGAGGGAATGATTCATTGCCATACCGCTGAATTGAACCATTAAGTCTCATGCCAGACAAAAGAGACAAATGTGACGATCTGCTGGCTGGGCATTGTGTATGGTACACCAATTCCTTACGTCTTACGTGTATTGACAGAGTGGCATCACACCAGTAACACCGCCATATCTAACCCCTCCAATTATTCAGCGGCGCCATCAAAGCTCCCCTCATCACTATCTCCATCGCGGCTCCACTCAAGAGGGAGCCAACAGGGTCCCGCCAGACAGGCAGCCGCCGCGAGCACTTACACCCCACCCACTTTAGCCCCTTGCCCTTGCACTCCTGAAATAAAGCAGCTTGGTTGCTACGAAAGTAGAAAGCGCTCGGTCGACTCGGACTTTCATTTGTTAACTTCCCAAAGCAAACTTCTCAACCGCCAATAGCCATCCTCGATCACTGAACCATCGGGATCTAGACATGTCCTTTTTCAAGAAACTCGCCGATTTGGGCGACGATCTCGCCCGTGACCTGAACAAGTTGGGTCTTGGGAAGGACAAGGACAAGCACAAGGATGAGGCTCCTCCCCACAGGGATTACCAAGGTCAGTAACCGACCGTTGGCAGCATAGATCCGATCCTGATTCATGGGATTCGCCACACGGGAACCAACCCATCGATGGTTCATTCAACACGTGCATCGCTAACCAGGCTGTCCAGGTTACTACCCTCCCCCTCAGCAACAGCAATATCCCCCTCCCCAAGACTCCTACCCCCTTCCTCAAGGCGGCTACGGCCAGCCAGCGCCTCAGCCTTACCCTGGCCAGTACGGCCAGTACCCCCCCCCTCAGCAGCCCTACGGCCAGCCCGCGGATTACCAGCAGCCTCCTCCCCAAGGAGGGTACTACCCCCCTCCGCAGCAGCCCGCTTACTCCGGCTACGCCCCCCTCCCACTCATCAACAATCTGACTATGGTGCCCCTCCCTTGCAGCAGCAGCGTTACGGCTCATACCCCCCTCCCGGATCTGGTCCAGAGTTGGGCCATCGTGCCCCTCCCCCGCCTTACAACCCCCCTGCGGACAAACCCCCCCTCCCGGCAGGCTGGATCCCCCAGTGGGACGATTACTATCAGCGCTGGTTCTATGTTGAGGAGGCGACGGGACGGTCGCAGTGGGAAGCACCTGGGTATGAGCATGCTGCTGCTGCTGGCTATGGAGGGGATACACGTGGGCATGGGTCGGAGCAGTATGGATATGGTGGTTACGCGGTGCCGTATGGGGGTCATGGCGGGTATAAAGGGGAGTACGGGCATGAGGGGGAGTACATGGAGGAGAAGAAAAAGAAGAAGATGAGTAAGGGGAAGATTTTGGGCGCTGCGGCGGCTGGTGTGGCTGTTGGTGCTATTGCGGGCGCGGTTATTGCGCACGAAATTGGTATGTTTACGCTCTTCTTTCAAGTCTCTTCAGATACTTGATACTGATGTTCTTGCAGCCGAAGGAGACTCTAGCGACTCTGACCATGAAGACGGTCATCATTACGCCCCTCCTCCCCCTCCTCCCCCGGTCGACCATGACTCCTCCGACTCTGAATCTGATCACGGCTATTACCCTCCTCCTCCCCCTCCCCCTCCTGTGGAGTATGACCGTGAATCCATCAGCAGCAGCGAGGCCTCCGACCTCGAGGAAGCCCGCAAGGAGTACGAGGAGAGCGTGCGGAAAGCAGAAGAGAAGTACCAGGAGCGGCTGGAAGAGATTGCGAGTAGCAGTGTGAGCAGCAGTGATCGGGAAGAGTTGGAGGAGGCTCGGAAGGAGTATTACGAGGAGTTGGAGGAGGCGAGAGAGGATTATGAGGAGGCTTATGAGGAGGCGTATGAGGATTAATCTCAATCCAGGAAAAACTAGAGGCTGTTCTTGTGTCGGGACTCTATTGGTCCTCTGGATTTGTGAGATTTAGCGCTAAGTTGCATCTCTTTTCAAGCCTTTCAAGACATGCTTCGGTGGTTGTAAATTTCATTTTACTGAGGGATAACATTTCTGTGCCTTCATTATCTTGCGATTTGATCATAATGTTTCAGTCTCAGCATATCAACGCAATCTAAGTGCAATTGCATCAATTGTGTGGGTGACACTGTAACCAGCTCAACCTTTAGCCGGATAAGATAATAGAGAGGAGAACTATTAACTCCGGGAATGTACCGTGGCCAAACTGTACCATAACAGCGTTATCCCATCAACGTTTGGCATTAGCCTCTCCGTTTGTAATATGGGAGTGGACATGGATAATATACCGTGGCAATTAGAGAGCACTGTGCAGCCCGTATAAGGGGGCCCTGGACTGGTCAGGAGAGGACATTGTCAGGTGCCAACCCTCCCAACAGCAATTGGGGTCATCTTGAACGTACTCACTGCAGAGCAACCTGTTAGTCGGAGAAGTCAGGTTCACAACACACATACACTATGACCGTCTCAAAGCTCCAGCACAACTATCGCCACGGATATGATAGACATAGCCACAGTCCTTAGGAACACTGCCTTAAAATGGCCCGCCGCGAGGGCAGCTCCCCCTTATGGGCAGATTTCCCTGAGCCTAAGGCAATCTCACCATGAATTGAGTCAGCAGAAGTGTACCAGTTACTCCAGGAGCAAGAACAAGAACCATCCAAGCCAGAGGGCTTCCTGATCGTGGACACGAGACGGACAGATTGCACAGGAGGGACCGTCCGTGGGGCAATCAACCTCCCAGCACACAGCTTCTACTCCACACGTAAAGTACTGTACGATCTGTGCGTCCAGGCAGGTGTCATGAAGGTGACCTTCTATTGAGGCGAGTCTAAGACCGTAAAACAGACTCCTTCAATAAACTGATTTCCCACGTAAGCTTCATCCCTCGGCCGAGGCCCTCGCTGCGCAGCTTGGATGCAAGATCACATCGACTCCATCGGGATGACCACTCCCTCACATCGCAGGTCATGGTTGGCGGTATTCGCGGATGGGTTCGGACCTATGGAGGGAGCATGATGGACGGGTATGACGAGGTCTAGAGCAGAGCAGAGGAACTGTAGTATAACCGTGTGATGAGCATCCTGACCGTGATGGGGGTATCTCTTCTGCGCTTTAAGTGGGTGTTTGCTCTGACCGGAAAGCAAACTTGCCCTCGTCCTGCCCTGTCCTGTTATATGCAATAAACCTTTACACGTTTCCGCGATCATTGGGTCTTTGAATCAAAGCTTTCAGTTCCCATATCGTCGAGATCGAACGCCGTAACCTTTTTAGCAGGATCCCATTCCCGATTATCCCGGGGTAAAACGCGAAATCGAGGGCAGATTAATCGGCCATTGTGCAGTAGGGTAAAGCGAGGGGTGGCTTAACGGCCGGGACGATCATCGCCGATGCGCTCGAGAGGCTCCAGGATGACGACCGAGTTGCCACGGATGGTCTACAAGACTGATCAGCAGGAGCTCAGAATGTAACTTCTAAGGTCGAGTAAACATACCACCATGCCCAGCTTGACCTTCTCTCCGTTGGGCCTCTCCTCGACAGCATCGTCCAGAACAATGTTCAAGAAGACCTAGACGCGTCAGCAGCTGCTAGTTGTAGAATGCCTTGGAATTGAGCTTACGTCATAGCCACGGAGAACGCCAATAACCCTGCGGCTGCCGTTCAACTCAACAAACAGCCTTTTGTCAAGGTACTGCCGGCAGTTAGCATCGCAATTGAGGCAAAGACACGGTGCGGAAAGACACGATCGGTCGCGCCAATGCTCGGTCTTGTGAATTGCTTCTTCCTTGTAATGCATGGGGAACACACCTTCTTAAGTTCTGGTTGTGCGGGCGCCATCTTGTCTTATTGCGTCTCAGGCAAGATTGGAATGGGGATGCTGGCGATGCTGTCAAGGTTCCTGTGTTGCTGCGGTTGTCCCATATCGCGGCGCGCTGGCTTGCCTGGCTCCTCGATTCTTAGCCTCGATTGAAGAAGTGATGTCACGTGTAATGAGATAAGATAAAGTCTGCATGCTTAGATAAGATAAGCTTAGGTAGAGGTGGGTCTCCACATGCGCTGGGCCCTGCAGTGACATCGCCCTGGCGCAACTTCGCGCTTCGAACTTCTCGTTTGCTTGCACCTCCCAGTAACAATTGCTTGCTCGCCAACCGCAAAAATGGCCGCCTTCGGCGCGAAGCGCAAGCCGCGCATCATCAAGGCCTTCGACGACGATGACGAGGACCTCAGCCTCCCGCTAAGCAGCGGCGGCGAGGACAAGCAAGCAGGAGAAGGTAAGCTTCACCGTCTAAGTACCATCCCATGCCCCCGTCCCCAATCCAGTGTCCGTCCCTTGTCGCTGATCAGTCGAACCCGCAAGACACATGAGTCACAAAGAAGGAAAGCTGATGCGATCTTCGCGGCAGAACTACCGCCCCCGGCGCGCATCAAATTCGGCCGCACCAAGTTTACAAAATCGTCGGCGCTGCGCAAGAACGCGATGATAGGCAATGATGATACCGATAGTCCGAACGCTACTTCTGCTCGAGACGATGATGACGATGATGAGAATTCCGGTGCTCCAGTCGTGGTGCGGCCGTCCTCTGTTAACAAGGGCAGTTTGTCGAAGATCAAAAAGCGCCCCGCGGCATCCCGTCTCTCCTTCGGCCCAAGCGCAGGCGCAGAAGACGACGATGAGGAAGCCGAAGTCGTGATCCAGCCCCGCAAGATGCTTAATCAGCGCGCCGTAGAGAACAGCGCACTTCGCGCAAACAGCAGCCTCCCTACGCGCTTTGGCGGCGAGGAGAACCGACCCAAGTACAGCAAGGAGTATCTAGCAGAATTGCAAAGCGCAACGTTCAACACACCGCAGAACCTTGCCGATCTCAAGATCCACGATGATGATGAGATGCAGTTGGATGAGATGGAGCTCGAGGGGGCATTAATTGTTCCGTCGAACGAGGTTGCCGTCCCTGGAGCATCGACAACACAAACAACACACATCCCCACTGAAGCCGAAATCCGCGAACGCAAGGAACGCCGCGCGCGTCTCGCTCACGAAGCCAAATTTATCCCCCTCGACGATGAGTTCAACTCCGATAACGAAGGTGCACAACCCTCCCATCCCATCCTCAACTTACCGTCCAAGCAAAAACGGAGAGACACCCGTCTCATCCGCGAAGATGAAGACCTCTACGAAGGCTTCGACGAGTTCGTCTCCGACGGCAACCTCGCCCTCGGCCGGAAAGCCGAAAAGGCTGTTTTGCAACGCCACAGGCAGGAAATGGCTGAGCTGATTGAGGCCGCACAAGCAGAGGATAATGATGAGGCCGCAAGCGACGATAGTGAAGCTGAGGAACGAGCGGCGTATGAGGAGGCGCAGGTTAGAGCAGCAATGGATGGGTTGAGGGGGAAATATCGCGAGGAACATCTCGAGCGCGGAGGAGGGGCAGATCTATACGAAGGAAGAGGGCCGGATGATATACCCCGGATGAAGCCCCTCCCTAAACTGGGCGATGTTCTGCAAAGGATAAGGGAAGCCATTCAGGGCTTAGAGGGGGAAGTAGTGAGAAAACGGAGTCGGATTGAGGGTTTGGAAAAGGAGAAGGCCGAGATTCTGGTCAGAGAGAAGGAGGTGCAGGAGATACTGAACCAGGCGGGACAAAAGTATCAGGAAGTTGTGGGAGGTCTTGGTGTACACAATGTGCCGAAGATTGTCGCTGGGCAGTCGCCGTTGAGACCATTCCCTCCGGGGCTGGCCCGGGAGATGCCTACGGAAAGAGGTTTAGAGAGCTACGGCGCGACGCCCATTCGGAGATATGGAGGTGAGGAGGATGATGGCTGATGGATAGGGAGCCAGTTCATAGAATGTTCGGGTAATACAGGAGTTGATGAATGGGGCTCAATAAGTAATGCATCATTTACTGCCTTCTACCTCAAAAACCAACCAACATACCCAATACCAGCCGACGCCATGTACATATGGTACATTACCCCGTCCAGAGCCGTAACACTACCAGCCTTCATATTCTTATGTCCATTTCCATTTCCTTCATACCCCATTACCTTGACCATTCATTCCCATACAACCTTGGTTCACTTTCTCGCTACACCAGCCCCAATAACTCCCGGCAACTTCTCCTCCCCAACCTGGAACAACAAGCTAATACAGAAGCTGATCGCCCCAACCATGGTAACCGTGAAACCCACAAACAACAAAAACGGTACACTGATATCCTCCCTGTGGCACATGTTCCCCCCCCAGTGGATAGTTTTCTTGCCCTTGACCTTCGCGTCCTCCCCACGGTCAACCCGCGAAGCCTTGCACATACACGTGAAGCACGTCGGGCCCTTGGAATCGGTGGTAGTCGAGCTGCTGCCATACTTGTTGACGCACTCGCCGTGGCCAGAGCAGTTATTCGTTTGGTTCATGCAGCTTGCGTAGGAGGTGAAGCAAGACGGGATGGACTTCTTCAAAGCAAACGCGGTCGGAACAGGGGACGTGTTGCCTGAGGTGTTGGATGATTCGGTCTCGTACTCGTCGTCCGAGTCGGACTCGGAGTCAGTCTCAGCTTCGTTGGAGATGACAGTCTCTTTGGCGCGGCGTTTGAGATCGGCCATGTCATTGACTTGCAGAGAGGTGGGCAAGCAGGCGGCCGTGCTCCAGTGCCTATTCCAAGAATAGCGGGTTGATTCGGGGAGGGCAATGAGCAGAACTTCGATGTCGCCAGTGTTGACAAACTTGTGCAGGCGATGGAGGTTATCGAAGAAGGCGTTAAGGACCTTTGGATTCTACCTGTCTGTTAGCAGACAGATCCATGCTTGTCAGGTAGAAGCTGAGCACTGACAGTCTTGAGGTCGTACTTGACCACCGAGGAGGTACCGGACCAGCAGTTCTCCTGGTGGGGGTTGAAGGAAGCGGGGATCTCGCACTGCTTGGAGCGTGTGATACCGAGGTCCTGGAACTGGATCATCAATTCGTTGTTGGCAGATGCGGAGGGCGGGTTGGCGATGGTAAAGGCAAGGTAATCTCCTGCTTCCTTTCTCAGCCACTTGGACCCCTCATGAGACACGCCCTCCAGTATGATGACGAGCTGTAACGGATCGGCAGCGGGCTCGGCCTCGAACAAGGGTGTTGGGTTCTTCCCATATGTAGTGATCTGATCGATTGCGGTCTTGATATTAAGGCGGCTGGAGAGATCACACAGATCATCACCATATGGTTGCCTTGATGTCTACAGCCAGCACCGCATTAACGACCAGTAGAGCCTCTCCAAAGCAGAATCATTCTACCTACCCTTTGAAGGATGATGTGACGAACGATCTCCTTCTGGATGACCGGGAGCTCTGATGGGGGCTTTGACGGCGCATAAGTCTTAGTAAAGAGAAAGACGTCGGCAGACTGGCTCGCGGCAGCAGTAAGCCCCGAGAAGAGGGCTGCCACTGACACCGCAATACTGCTGAGAAGCCTCATCTTGTTGAGAAGTCAGACCCGCTGTCAGGGACCGGAGGATGGTATGAATGCCGCAACAGGAGAGCGGCGCAGTGCGATGCCGATCGATCGGCCTAAGTGGTTATGGCTGGCAGCAGCGACGGTTGTTTCTTTCAATGGCTGGCGAGAGTTCCAGAGGTCAAGCGGGAGGTCGAGGCTCCGTACGATCCACCTGTGTTCACCTGTTTGGCTGGCTGTTGGTTGGCTTGGCACCCATATTGCAATGGGTGGACCCATCTGCCCCGTTGTCGACAGCAGACCCGTGCGTCTTTCTTGGCGTTGATAGGTTTGTTTGGACCTGGCGCATAACCCTTGTTTTTGCGCTTTCGCCTGTTTGGCGGGTCTTGTCTTGGCGCCCAGTACCCGTTGGCAGTAGCCAGTCAAGTGCCAGGCAGCGACTGGCCGTTCCACCGTCGGCTGTGCTCGTCATCCAGATCGCGATGGGACCAGAGACCAGGGTTTTGAGAAGCGGAAGCAAGTCGCTGCGCTGCAGCATCAAGATTCTCGATCTACATCTGTCTAGAGGTCAACTGCCTGTAACGTGTGCGATACACAGCCAAGATTTATACTAGGCAACCGGCTTGCCCTATACATACAGATTTCGCACATACAGCCTTTGTCCCACCTGATCGCCGCATTCGCCTTCCATCCTCAAAGAATATTCCAGCGCATTGGCTTCGGTATCACTCCTCCTTTCTGATCCTTTCCACAGCATCTTTCCGGCGACTTAGTCTCCCCTCACCTTGCCGCGTCCACCACGCTTCCTGACAATTTCGCAGCTTTGTTCGCCCGCCGCTCGGCGCGGCGTCCCCTCTGGCCACCATGATACGCATACTGCGGTCCTTTCGGGTATTCAGGCCGCGCTGGAGCCGAGCCACGCGCGAAGTCAACGGTCAGGTCGTCCGTGTTGAGAAGGTCCGGATCCGTAAGGCCAGGCCGTTGACCCGGAACTTGTACGTGTCTGTCTTCTATACTGGAGAGCACACGGCATGCGCTGACCAGCAGCACAAGGGGAGCCCTTACAAAGCTCGTCGCCGTTGCCCCGATATTCCTCACGACTACGTTTATTGCCGGCTCCGTGTTGCTCGACGATGACGATGTCAGCCCTGATGGGGAGGAAGGGAGACCAGAGGAGGGGCCCCGCAACAGCGAGGGGAAGCATGGTGACCACTCTCATGGTCAGGAGGATGATGACGAGGAGGACGTCGAAGAAGTCGGTGTGTTTATTCCATTCCCCTTCACTATAACGCAGTTGCCCAGCCGGCATTACACTAGGAGAGAGCTGGAAGAGATGGCGAAGGCGTTTAAAGAACCCGGCTTCCATAAGAAACTGCAGGGTGAGTACCCTGCTTGTTCTCCTTCTGTATTACCCTTACTCACCTTCATCTTCAGAGGAAACAACGCGTATTGTCCAAAATGCCATCGCTCGTAACGCCTTCATCACATTAAGAATGGGGAAGATCGTGGGTGTATCCAAGACATGGCTGGAGGTTAATGTGCCCCCGGCGCCGCCGCCAAAGTATGAGGAGTCGGGGTAAGTCTGTCTCTTAACCTTATGTTGTGGTGACCCTTGCTGACCATATCGTTCCAGTATCTGGATCGGTCCGCACGGAATAGAATGGACGACAATACCTCTTGACTCTACCAGCGTAAAAATGCTACAGCGCGTTCTATATCCTCGGCCAGCCGCCCTTGCCACTTGGGCTTTCATCAAAGCCTCGGCTCAAGAAGCCAAGGACAGGTTAGCCAACTTTTTAGGCTTCTCAGGCCACCAGCAACAGTCAGCATCCAACGGGCAACCAGACAACAGGACTTTTCCTCCGACGATAGGCTTCGTAGGCAACCGTCTTCCCCCTGGCTTCCCCGGCAGACCCCACAGAACCAACCAATCCTCTCCGCAAAACATGCGCCAGTCTGCATCCCCCATTAGCGGCAGCCCGCCCGGTCGCCCATCCGACGGGCCTGTTAGCACATCCGAAGACCAGACTTCGTCCGACCAGCCCTTCGGCGTGCCCCTTCCAAGCCTACCTGAGAGGGCGAAGAGGGAAGCGCTGGAAACGTTCAGAAAAGAATGGAGACCATTGCTAGCTGACCCTCCGCCCATGAGCCTGTCCGTGCGGAACACCGTTCGTGTTGAGACGACTAGGGGGTGGGTGACGGTCGTGATTCAGGCGTGGTATAACACCAAGACGAGGCAGCTGGACATGCCGTCTATTCATATGCATTTCGCGAGCATTGCGTTGAAGTTGCAGTAGCTTGGGAGCTCCAGACGTGGTTAGTTTCCCGTCCTCAACGTCTGATTTTGCCCAGCTGGCCAGCTGCTCGCAGTGCTCGCCGTAATGCAATAGTGCCTTGCAACTTGGAGCATTGCATGGCTGGCTTGAGGTTACACAAGTGAAGGAAAGAAGACAAAAAAGAAGAGCTATTGCATACAGTCCGCATCCGGGCAACCGAGGAACCGTTCAGTATAACAGAGATACCATAGAAGCGTTGACATGGCACTTCCTCAGCTTATACATATTCTTTTTGTGTATATACATGCCGTGAAATTGTATCTTTGAGTATACATACACTCTTACTCTTGTCGTACTTTTCAGCATCAATTCCGTCTTCTGCTGAACAAGCGGGGCTCTCCGGTGAATTCAACGGGCTTGTGCCACCGGATTCGGTCCCACTTCGCCGAGCCCCACACGGAATCCGGACAGCTTCCAACGCAAACTTCACCAATGCTCTCCTCAGTGGGTATGCATGTGAATGAGATCAAGTTAATCTGGACTAGCTTAGTGCAGGGAGCAATTAAGATGAAACTGGAAGCAGTTGTCTACTCAATCTTTGTCTAAACCTTAGCGCTAGTGCTTGGGAAGCTGAAGTTTACAGCATTATCATGGAGTTACTCTTATGAGATGCATGTTCAAGATGGCAGATTATGATGTTACATGTATATTGTGAATTTCAAGATGAGTTTCTCACTTATACACGGTAAATGGACAAAGCATTGTGATAATATCACTGAGCGTCCTCTTGGTCCTGTTCATGATGTTTCATGACACTACTGGCAAACAGTCGCCGGTGACTGCTGATTCCTGAGTTTGTTCTTCCAGAACAATTGGACAACAAAGCTCCTAAACAATGAGCATTTATCCTATTTCAAGTCTTGTCTTGGAATAGCCACAAGTATCTTGCCTTCTGGGTGCTCCCCAATAAGGTCATGAGAAGCTCTTTGTTTTTCGACTCTACTATCTCAACTGGAGCCATTCAACCCAGCAATCTTGAGAACAGGCATCTTCAACCTATACCTGCTGGCTCACTTGTACTCTTAACCGCTGTGTAACCACTGTGAAGTCATGGCAGATCCCCCATGTCACACAAACTCTCGGCCTGCTAACCCTGACCCGACTCCCTACACACTCCTTGATTGCCCCAAATCCCATGCAGTCATCTTTGTCCCATCGCAACAATGGGATTATATCCATCTCCTACAACGGATATGTTCTGTCTTGAAAGCATCTGTTGATCATCTAACCTTGCCCCCATCACTCACCATCATCCCGTATATCTCAAGAGCCCATCATCAGCCTTGCCGATATGGCTTATGTGATCATCGCGCTCATTTATCAGGGCATCGGGATGGAATGCGGATAACTACACTCATGAGGAAGCTGTTCAACCATCCATCACTTACACGACCCTCCGCGCCTGCATCGGACCTTTCGAACGAACCTATCCCCTCGAAGAAGAACGTAAGTGGCTGACCTTTGGGCAATATGTCTCCCATGCCTATGCCTGTTGTCAGTAGAAGACTCAGGTTCTTCAAAGCACTAAGAAATATTCTCCTCTGGTGTGGCGTCGTCGCTGCTTTCCATTTTATCTTTGCCTACGTCAGCGAAAACGAGCCCTTCCTCCATGCTTTCCTCGCCCTCTTCACCTGGCGTTACTTGCGCCTTATTGGTAATATAATCGGTTTTTACTACTACCGCCCCGCCATCCCTCTCTCTAACAGGCTCCGGTACATTCCGTCTAGAGATGTCACCGTTGTCATCCCCACTGTCGATCCGAACGACAAAAACTTCACCGAGTGTGTCGAGTCGGTGGCCTTTAATCGCCCTGCTAAGATCGTGGTCGTTACTGTCGGCCAATCCTTGCATACTGTGGCCCAGGCTAAGGTTAACGCCCTGCGGTATCGGTTCAGAGACACTCAGTTTGTCGTCGACCACAGCAATGTCGCCAATAAACGTCACCAGATCGCCAAGGGCATCTCCAAGGCTGCGACCCCTATCATCACCTTCATCGATGATACCGCTGTCTGGGGTCCCAACATGCTCCAGTCCATCCTCTATGCCTTCGAGGAGGATCCCCACGTCGGTCTTGTCGGAACCAACAAGTGGGTGCGTCGTGTTTCTGGTCTCAGCCCCTGGGCTCGCATCTGGAACGTCCTTGGCGCGACCTACCTGATTCGGCACAACTTTGAGATCCGTGCGACCAACGCCATCGACGGCGGTATCTTCGTTGTGTCTGGTCGCACGTACGCCATGCGTGCCGAGCTATGCAAAGACCCGGAGTTCCTGGCCGGCTACACCAACGAAATGTTCTTCTTCGGCCTGCTGGGCCCGCTGAACCCGGACGACGACAACTACAACACGCGCTTTGCCGTCCGCAGGGGATGGAAGATCAAGATCCAATACACGCCCGAGTCAGAGATGATCACGACGATCGGCGTGACGAACGGCATGAGCAAGTTTCTGAGCCAGTGCTGTCGCTGGGCGCGCACGACCTGGCGTTCCAACGTATGCAGCCTCATTACCGACCGCTCCATTTGGGCTGAGCAGTGGTGGTGCATCTACGCTGTGTATCTCACCTCGCTAACCAACTTTGCCCTGATAATAGATCCTTTGTTGATCACCCTCGCTGCGATGGCGCCCGCCCTCCCTAACGTCATCACCCTCCCCTGCCTGGTAGGTTGGATCCTGTTCACTAAGGTGATCAAGGTCTTTCCGTATTACCGCATGCACCCGCAAGACCTGTGGACGTTTCCAGCGTATGTGGGCTTCGCCTACTTCCACAGCCTGATTAAGTTCTGGGCACTCGTAACCTTCTGGGACTGTGCCTGGAGCGGCCGCAAGCTCGAGGACGTAAACAAGCAGGCTGCTAATCCGCAATCCATTGAGCTACGCAACCTGTCGCCGCCGACTGACAATGCTGTCGCTTCTTCCAATGGGCATACCAATGGTCATACTAACGATTTATGCCAACAGCACAGTGGGCACTCCTCCTCGGGCTCGGCTGTTACCCCGGGTCAACAGCAGCAGCTCTGGTAGGTTGGGTCCCGAGCACCTTCTATCCGTTTGATCCCGACTGTGATCCCGACTGTCAAAGCTTCAGTAATAGGACAAGCCGCACTCGTGCCCGGTCAACGCAAAGTCTGCGACAAGTATCGGCAATGGCCGTAAGGAGGTCGCTGTGATTCGATCACTCGCTAGTCGTTTCCAGATGACTTGTGTAAGACCATAGGACAGGTAAGCCCACCCTGTTCGGTGTATCATAGACAATGGACATTGAAAGTGTTCGACTCGCTTGATGTCGGTAAGTTCCCCTGTTTTGTGCTTAATGTTAGTGTATGATCCCACGTCTCATCTTATGGTTGCATGATCCAACCCGATGTTGGATGAACACAAGACATCAGGCATCGAATTGAAGCAGTTATCTACGATTATTCATTAGTCCTGTAGAGAAATTTACACTCTGCCAAACGTCCGTTCCCGACTATGATCTGTATCTTCGCAGAGCGCCACCCATATCGTCAACGGTACAATTGCAAAGCAAGCATTCATAAAAACCAAAAACTTTAGACAAAGGCGCGAAGACTATCTGTCGCATCGCCCCTTAACCGGGCATGAATGCTGATTGGCCCGTATTCGGGTCCTGCATAGAACGGTCGGACAATCCATACTGACCGGCGTTTCCTTACGGGTACTGCAGTCGTTATTAGCATTCATCGTTCATGCAGGGGGCGTGGTAAAAGCAATACTTACTACCAACAAGAAACTCTGGTTCCAATGACCGAGATGAAGATGTGATTGGCCGGTGAGGCTCTTCGTGAGGAGGAGCCTCTTTCGGTGTGCTGTCTGGCTGATCGAACATAGCGTACCACGACTGGGGATTGTCTGACCATTGCTGCTGTTGCGGTTCAACAGTTGCCGGGAAAACTGTTGGCGGCGGGACCTGATCGAGTACGGGAACCGGGATTAAGGGGTTCGGGAGATCCGCCCATATCGGATCTTTGCTGCCTCCCAAAGGTCCCGCCCGACTGCTTCCTCCACATTCATCACTTTTCCTCTTCGACGAAAACCCCGATAGCCCAAAAACATCCGGCGGAATCTGCTCGTTCGACTTCATCTGCAGCTCTCCCCACACAAACAACTCGGCCTTATTCCACCTCATAGTCGCCGTATCAATGATGCGCTGCTCCAGCCCCTTATCGAGCTCAATGCCCAGCATCGAACCAATGAAGATAAGGTGATGCGCTAGCATCTTGCACAGCTGCGCCTTCATGGCAATCCACCGAGTCGGACTGCGTTGTGACTCAGGGGTAAGCGAGTTCAGGAGGAAGGACGGAGAGAACTCGGCCATTCTTGTGGGTGAGTAATACCCGACTCCCAGAACAGTCCCTAGGACAAGCAGAAAGAGCACTTGGCACGATTCACGATCGCAGCACGCCAGGAATTGAGGGGTGAGTATCCGATCAAGGCGCTTGATCAACCGGCATCCCGAAATCTGCGCCGCCGCTGTGATATCACGGAGCTTCGTGGACTGCCTGTCACCGTGCCATCCACTCTGCACCAGCGTCGTCGCGAGCAAAAACCGTTGGAAATCTACAATTAACCCTTGCTCGCCAACAGTCTCATCCTGGAATTGCAACCCCAACAAGCTCGAACAGCACAAGCCGACAATACTGCCACTGGGGAGTTGAAGATCGGGATCCGTGAGCCACGAGACCATTGTCTGGTTGAAAGAGGCCGAGTGAGATTGAAGTTTGAAGCAGGCAGGCGCAGCGACCCTGCTGAGCAGGTCGCTCGCCATGAGCATGAGCGTTTCCGTCCTCATAGCGTCTGGCGGTCTCGTCTGGGGGGACGAGGCGAAGATGTTGATGTCGCTGAACGAGGTCCTGATGCAGGAGGAAAAAGAGAGAGGTTGTCTCTCTATTGACGGGCCTCTAACGGCTGCTAGTTGAAAACGATGTTGACAGGGGGTAGCGTGAGAACACTATGGTTCGGTCAGTAAGGGGGATTAACACAATAATACAACGCTATCATAAACGTTTGTGGACAAACCTCTTCTTCCGGTCGCTTGCGCCGCAGACAAGTTTCTTGCCGTGAATCTTCCAGAAGTTCTTCGCGGTATTCTACTGTGAAGTCGACCCTAGTCAAGCGCCGCGGCTCGATACTTTCTTGGGAGCTAGGCACAGATGACTGTTGCGTGACAGCGTGGGGATCGGCGTGGAGAAGGGCAGGAGCGATAGCAGGATGAAGAGGTTCGGCCCGGGGAATTGCCATTTTTTTGCAATTCTTTAAACGGACAGACCCGAGAGTTTGGATACGCCACCCTCCAAGTTATGCAGGTGGCAGTGGCTGAGTTAGGGAGATGTAACTTGTAGAGCTGATCACTTGGTGCAAGGTAGCTGAACTGTGGGATAAATTTGAGAAACCATATCACATACCCCCCTGAACGCCATGTTGCCCAAAGTTCTGCACATCGGACCCACCGCATATGGCTTTCTTGTGGGAAATTCATCGAAATCCCGTCCGACTGATAGGCAATTGACCTGTGGTAGCTGCATACCTAGTGTCAGGCGTAAGCTTCAACAGACAACGAAGCAAACATCCCAGGGCTGTAACTTTGTGCCCCAGGGCGGAACCCACAAGTCGGAGCGCGTGGCCATCTATCCAGACATGGCGTTCCTTGGCAGGATCAGCAGGTCAGCCATCAATGCATGCATATCCGTTTTTCTCAGCGCCTCACAAAATGACCACAGACGACCAGGAATTATGTTTGTTGGGAAGGAGGGGCGCAGTTGAGAGCTGAGGACGATAGGTTGCCGATTTGGACTGGCACCCAGCGCGATAATCCCCACCCGCGGGCGGCGCAAGCCTTTCTGTTGTCGGAGTCAGAAAGAAACAAGCCTCGGCAAGGTCGGCGAATGTGCCGGAGACGGGTCCACATTTCGTGCGTGTCGTCACTGTTGCGGCTTTCTCATGGCAAAGATGTCAAAGCTTGGGAGATTTGGGCATGCGGCTCGGGCCAATGAGCGTGAGGCTCAGCCCCCAAAAGAGCTGAAAACAGGTGATATCCCACCCACGAGTCACCTTGACCAGCTGAAAAAACAGGCTCGAGATGTTGGTCCCGTGGTTCTGGAACCGCAGTTTTGGTCGGGGGAATACAGCCTAAGGCTGATGAACCTGGACCTTAAGCCGAGCAAATCCAGATCACAAATGTGGCTTCCCGCTCACTCTTTCTTTTCCCGCATCATTGTGGCGGGGATCGTCCGCAGGCCCCCGAAAGGCGACATATTCGAAGCTCGAAAAACCAGCTTTTACGCCCATGTGCGAACACAGAAAACGGAGAAACAAATCTCCTGTGCCCCCTGGCCATGCAGCAGGCAGCGGCGGCGACCAACAACAACCTATTTGTTGACGCAAACTTGCTGCAGCCCAGGTTGTTCAACGCCCTATGACCAGTCTGCAGTTATCTACTTTTTTAGGCTCGCCGCTCCCAAAGCAGCTGAAAATCCAGCATAGCATTTCGCCGCACGTCAGTGTTGTCCAAGTCGTTTTCGACCTTGAGCACCAGCAAAACACACTGCCATCTGCCAGAGTTGTATCGGCGGGAGGCTTGCCAACAAAGCCCTGCCCACGCCACACCACTTTATGCGTTGTATATCCGCTGGTCCGCGACCTCAAGATTTGCAGCTCTTCCCTCTTCGAGTCGGAAAGAATGATGTAAACATGTCCGCTCACACCAATGAGGATTCGACCCTGTGTGCTGCTGATGATTCGAAGGATTTTCGTTGCAATCCACTTCCCTATAGCGACCCCGGGGTTAGCCTCTCGGTTACAGCACCCCCAGAAACCCATTCATTCCCATGTTGACTCACTGCCAGGAGCCCTATAGTAATTGCTTCCACGAAATGTACGTTTCATCCTCAGCGATATCGCGGTCAACACGTGGACACCTCCATCTTGGTCGACCGTCTGAGCTTCCTGATTCATGAGGCTGGAATTTTTGGGGGAGACAAGAGCAATGATGCGTTCACCGTCGTTCGTGATGCTTCCTCCCGACTCCAGCTGCGCAATGACGCCCCCCCTGTACATTCTTCCAAGTATAGCCCTTGTAGTCCCTGTATACGTAGTAGGTGTTGTAGTTGTTCTCAGGGCCGTTTGGTCCGGCCTGTTGCTTGTGCTTTGTGTTCCTCGGTTCATCCCAACCTTTGTAGTAAGTACATAACATCGCGGTATACCCAAGTGATGTGGGGCAGGCCGTGTTCGTAGTTGATACCATTGGCACAGCGGCTGCTCTGGATGTTGGTCAAGTACGTGCCAACAAACTTGTACGCTTGAGTGTGGGCTTCTTAAATGTACAAATGCTCACTGCCGAGCTCTGCTATATCACCACGAAAGGAGAGGAACATGCCATCTCCTACAATTCCGAAGCGCGGGTACGTCACTTCTCCGAAGAAGCGATCATCGTGGGGAAGACCTGGTAGGTGATGCTCTGTTGGACTGAAGGCATATGCCTTCCGAGGAAAATCTTCTGGGTTCACAGCTAGCTTGTGCCTGTCATCGGTTGTCTGTGGATAATCGTTAAACACCATGACTTCCCAGGGTCCGTTGGTAGCTGTCTCCTGGCAAGATGCACATAGAGGGGCTCTCCGGCATCGCTGGATGGAAGGGAGCCGTAGTAGGTAACGTACGGTCAACCATTGAGCGTGATGATCGTATCTTGCTGGACGCGTAACATTTGATACGGCACCTCCGATGATCCAGATCAGGTCCCACGACCGAGATGACGGGATCGAACAAAGCGGAAGACATGGTGCTTCACCTGGTGCTCGAACAGGAAAAACCTCGTCGAGCGTTCACGTCGAGAGCTTGCGCTTGCAATAGTTTTGGGGTCCCGAGCTATCGTTGCTCTTGTCGTTATGCAGTTGCCCGGCTAGATATCCTACTAAGATGAGGTTGTTGATTCGTGGATAAACTGACTGCACGATAGATTCGCAATTCCAGGGCTTTACCACGAGTCTCACCAGCTCCTCCTGGGAGCATCTGACCTTAGGTAGCATATTTGTTGTGAGTAGCACTAGAGAAAACCCGCCATAATGTATACGCCAACTTAGCAAACGACAATGGCAGTCTGCACAAAGGGTTCAGCTCTGTCAAGAGCATGGAAGAAGAGCTGAAGAACCTACAAAAGGTAGACCGATGCCGAACGTCGGAATAATAAGAAGCAGGTTGTCACATTTGAAATGTTCGGTTAGATTGTTGGCTGTTGAGGAAACCTGCCACATCAGTTTCCTGTCGCCTGCGGATGGACTGTGCTGTGTTGCCTGACAGTGAACGTGGAGGTTGGAGGAGCCATGTCCGCGTTTCAGCCTAGGAATTGGGTAAACATCGCTCTACTCATCCTTCATCCTAATCCAGAACTACAAGGCATTGCATGCTGTATCTTGTCGTTCGTTTCAAGATGCTTGTACGTGATGCAATGGTCGGAGAAGCTTCCTGTTGTTTGATTCCCAACAATCCTTGGGTGGACTAGTGGAAGAGTCCAAGGGACACACATCCAAGGGTCCTTGCTCCCAGGGCTTAACCCCGCGCCCCTGGTTCTCCCCGCTGTGAAGTCCCACTAGGCCCCTCACCCGCTTTTGGCTTCCCAAAGTCTAACATTCGCACTGGTACTGGCTCTGGAGGCTGCATCATAGACTTTTGAACAGCTCCAAATATCCAAAACTACAGGCTAATCTGATAAATAAACACTTTTAAACTTTTGCTTCATTATGTTAATGTCGTGCCCGCCGGGATTGGTAATATGAAAGCAACTTGCCCTTGCGCACCATGGTTCCCTCTACTGTTCCTTAAGAGCTTGTCCCATCATGGCTCGACACCAACACTAGAAGTACACCTGGGGCAGCCAATTGTGTGCAGTGCGTCAAGGACAGCTATTGCAACTAGGTCGCACAATTGATAGCTGTTCTACGAACGGGTCGGAACAAATTGCTCTCTTGCATGTTCCCGCATGTCACTTCTTGACAACCTCGTGGCTTCCCGCCTTGGCGCCGGCATTATGGGCGAACGAAGCCGATGGCATGTTACAACAGTTCCTGACCATATCCACACCGATGATGCCAAAACACGGAAAGTGGATTAATGTTGCATAGATCTTGAGCACCCCTTGGGCGAGCATATTAGAACGGTCCGCCGGGTAGCTTCCAGCAAGAAAACCCGTACGTACCCTACTGTAGCATCGCGTTCTCTCCAGAATGCTCGGGACGTTTTAACGACATTCACGGTTAGCCTATTCAGAAATCATCATCTAATATGTGATGTGATGACAGTTAGGAACGATAATCCTGTCCAATGATTCCCCTCCTTTAGGACTATCCTTGGCAACCGGCGCAGCATGCTCATCAGTATTACCCTGATGATCTGCCAGTAGATGACGGGACCAATGCGTCTAACAGGTACCTCGACAGGCTTGTTCATCACAGGCATCTACGGCATCATTAAAGCAACGACGTGTATCTGTTTCCTGCTGTTGATGGCCGATTCTTTGAGGCGGCGGCGCAGCCTTCTCTGGACGAGTGTCGCGCAGGGGCTAGCGATGTTCTACATCGGCTTATACGTCCGCATTAGTCCCCATAGTGAAGAGGAGAGTGTCCACCGGCGGGGTATTTTGCTCTTGTATGTGTATTTCTCTTTGCTACGTAACTTTACCTAACCCTCCCCCATACCCGTATCACTAATCTTCTCTCCCTGGAACAGGTTGCTCCAATTCGGTTGTGGCCCGCCTGCTGGATCTACACAATCGAGATAGCCGCGGCCCGTCTTCGCTCCCTGAACGTTGCTAATGCAGCTGCGACGCAATGGCTCATCCACTTTGTTGTGGCGCGCACCGTACCCGCGATGCTGGTGACGGTTGGCAGTGATGGGTGTGGAACGTATTTTATAATTGGCAGCTTTTGTTTTTCCATGTTTGTGTTTGTGTTTTCGTGCTCAAGACGAAGGAGTTCACACTAGAGGCATGGATAATTTGTTCGGTGTTACGAAGGGGCCGAGCAATGAGGTTGAAGGGAGTGAGAAAAGTGCTATTTTTGCGAGGGAGGAAGGGGTGTGGTCAAGGTACGGGAAGGTGAGAGTGTATGAGCCAAGAAGACACCCAAGCCATGTATCATTTTCTTATCATAAGATATACATACAAGTCCAAAAATCCATGGCAACATTTTGACGTGGTATCATTAAGCTTAACAGTCATTGAGGTATCGTCTCTACAATATCCTAATCAACGAAACACAAAAGGTATGAGTAGTGGATCTCCCTTTCCCCTTCTCCATATAACCACCGAATATGCAGGCAATACTTGTTACTATGTTGTTTGCTATGTGCATTTAGCATTCGTTGAGCGGGCAAGCAATGTGCGTGCCGACAGTGTAACCATCGACCTTGAGAATGGTGAGTACGGCGTTAATGACACCACCGAAGCCCTCGCCAGCAATGAAGCCTGCATGATCTGTTAGTAATATGCTTAGGACGGTTGAGTAATAAAATACAAGGACTCACCAGCAGCGACGGCGTAGCCATAAATCTCCCAAGTGCGCATGCTGTACTTCCTCCAGAAGTGGGCGATAATGGCGCCGAGGAGGGCAGCGTTGGCGAACACAGGAGCGGGAATGACCCAGGAAAGGGCAATAGCACCCCAGTTGGGCAACCACTCGCGGTACTTCTCACGTTCACCGACGAGGTAAAAGTGGCGGACAACGACCTGGATGACGGAGATGACACCCATGACAATGGCGAAGATACCAGAAGACAGCGGGATGCTGACGTTGGGGTCAGTGACGGCCTGGGCGACGGCAGCCCAAGCAGAGACAGACGGGACGGAGAAGGCGCAGTGGTCATCACCGTTCCAGATGCAAGGATAGGCAGTAGTGAAGAGTACAAACAGACCGGGGCCGAGCCAGACAGAGACGAAAACACCAATGGCCTGGGCCACCCACTGCTTGATCGGGGGAGTGCCAATGAGGAAACCGGTACGGAAGTCGCTAACAAGAGCAGTGGCGGTATCAGCACCACCCGACGCGAGGGCACCAGCGACCAAGTTGAGCTTCTGGGCGTGCTCAACGCTGTAGTTGCCGTTCGAAGTGGCAGCACCGAAGATGAGCTGAGAGGCCTTGGCGGCAGCAGTAAGAGGGGTATTGTCCGTGACGGCTCCGATCTGGATAGCGAGGAAAGAGAAAAGGAAAGCGAGGAAGATAGCAAGGATGGTGAGACCGCCGTTCATCTCCCACTGGAAGTGGAAGATAAGGATACCGGCAACGAGGCAGGCAAGCAGACCAACAATCCACATCCAGTCTTTGACTTGCTGCTCCGGAGGGAAGGGATCCTCGACAGCGTGCTCGGACTTCTCCCTGGGGGCACCATGCTTGGCGAAGAAGGCGCTCTGCTTGCCGCGCTTCTCCAGAGCGTAATTGATGCCGCTGCAGGTGTGGTTCCAAAGGGACTTGACGCCGGCCCAGATAGCTTTATACTGGACGAAGAGCTCAGCCATGGAGGAGCAGACCATGACCATGACACCGGGCCAGAGAAGCCAATAACGAGGAGATGGGGTGACCTTGCCGAGGTTCTTCAGCGAGGCAAATGAGTAATAGGAATCCCACTTCGGGTCATCGGGAGCGAGCTGGATACCAATGCACTCGCCGTAGTGGACAAGGAGAGGGCCAATGAGACCCCAAGCCATGAGGGAACCGACGAACATAGAGATGGCAGGGTTAAGACCGATCAGGATACCAGAACCAATGAAGGCAGGAGTCCACTCGAAGTACCAGCCCCACGACTCAATGTTCAAGGCCCAGCTCTTGTAGCCGCTCCAGATGTGGAACCAGGTAAAGATGTGCCAGTCGTAGAGAATGCCAATTGCATAGGTCGAGACGACACGGTGAATCATCGAGGTAACGAAGCAGATAGCCAGACACTTGAGCTTCTTCATGGCCTCTAGGGAGCCAGCGGCACCAGCGTGCATGGAGCGGATGGTAAGCGCCACAGCGGTGGGAGTAGGAAAGAGCAGCTTGAGCTCGCGGGCGACCTGGACGATGAAAAAACGGCGAAGAGGAGTGACGTAGAAAAGACCAATGAAGGAAGCGACCAAGGTAATGGTGAAGATGGCGCCAATGTCATCACGAGGGGAGCGGCCCTCACCCATCACACCGAGACGGTACATGGCCGGAAGGGCAGCAACGAAGATACCACCAGTGCCACCGGCACCAGTGGCAGCAGCCTGAACGATCGAGTTTTCCTGGGGACCGAAGAAGCCACCAATGAGTGGAATCTTGCCACCGGCCTTCTCGAAGAACTTGAGGATGCCATAGCCGAAGATGGCACCAAAGATGTTGGCGCTGAAGGTGAAGCCGGTCTTGAGACCTGCACGAAGATGGTCAGTCTTTGCTCCATGGCAACTGGAGCCAGTGTCAGGACAAATAGGAGAAACGACGTACCAAGGTACAAGTTGGAAGCGCAGACGAGTGAACCAAGAATGCAACCGACGACAATAGCACGGACTGTGACGGGGTCATCCTCGTGGGGAATGTTGGCGTCCATCAGCAGGGGCTTGTAGAGGTCTTCTTCCTCGATTTCGCCCTCGGACTCGTTCTTGTCGGACTTCGCAGCCTCATCCTTGAGATCAGTCTTCTCGGTAGGCTGTTCATCGTGGGGGCGAGCCGCTGAGTCGGCCGCCCCCTGCTGGACGACCTCTTTCTCGCTCATTGTGTGTCGGTGCGTGATGGGAGTATCTCTCTGTCGGTAGAAAGGGGAAGCCCTGCGAGAACGGGAGCTCACTGCCGGTCAGGGGCTGGAGCGAGCTCAGAACTTTTGAAGGTTGTCGACGAGACAGACGTTAGGGAACGAAAACGTCAATGTAAGTAGAAGAGAAGGGAGTGAGCAGAAAACAGGCAGCCTGTGTGACGGGCAGGGAGCATTTAAGGGCAGCTCGTGGAGGGGCGGTCGCCGGTAGGTCTGTCAATGGGCCGAGTCCCGGAAAGGCTGTTGCAATGCAATGATGGGTGGATGTCCAGGGTGTATCTGCACGCCTGCAATTCTTCCTGCTGTTGACGGTTTGGTGCCACTTCACGGCCGCTGTCGGAGTAGTTCCGTGCAATTCTCCTGTCAATCTGGCCAACCGAAAGCAGCATGTGTGGGCAGTATGTGGGCAGCCTGGCCAGTCTTTGGCTGGATTCGGCTGGCAGCTGCCGTCGTGGGCAAGGTTCTCCAGAAATTGGCGTCATCTCCATGGTGCCATGTCTTCTCCAATGCTCACAATGCCTGGCGATAAGGGATGAAAACGTTCTGCCGGGAGCATGCCCCGTACGTGATCTGCAACTGCCCTGCACTGTGGCATGCTTGCCCTCAAAATACAGTGGGGATCGTCGGCTGGGTGTGATCCATGCACCTCCAGGCGGATGAGCTGCCGTGAACGTCTGCGCGCGCTGATTCGCCGGGATCAGAAATTCTTCCAGAAAAGGCAGGTGCTGGTGGCCGTTGGAGCCGCCTGGAGGCGTGTCAGTCCAGAGCGCAACGCTCGACCTTGCCGATCTGGCAAGTCCTTCTCGTGTGGAGAATTTTAGTCAGGCATCAGAATTAGAAACCATCAAACTTGTTTCATGCCCGTGTTTGCAGACAATCTTCTACTCTGGTGCTCCAGAAAAGCGAAGCAAAGCCACTCTCGAACATTCTCTTTGGAGCAGATGCCATGTATCATACAATGCCTTTTTTAGACTCTGCTCCTGCAGGTCCCAGAAGGCGACAGAGTTGACTGAGATACGATCGGCAGCGCGGGCTTGATTGGCACAGTGTGTAAGCACAGTGCCTGGAAACATCGGATAAATCTAAAAGCATCGGCGCGCCATATGATTGGTGCTTGGCCCGGCTGCGACTGTCGAAGAAGGCAGGTTGACAAGCAGCGACCGGTGCGGTCCGCAGATGCCACCATGCCGGGAACAGCAGGAAGCTTGATCAATGGAATAAGGATGCCCCGCTCAGTCTGACGAAGCCTGACGAAGCATCGACATCCTCGGATATCACCTCATTGACCGTAAAGCGACCTTGCACCCAGGCTACCTATGTGCCGCCCTAGCGAAACTCCCCACCTGACAATGTCTTCAACCTGGGTTGGCCACGTGCTGGCGACTTGGGGCATAAGGGTGTGTTTCGTCGGCAATAGGAAGAACGATGCCGGCTGAGCATAATGATAGCAATGTCGCCAACAACACTTGTTGGATGCTACCAAAAACTTGAGCTATTGAGCACCTTTGCACGTTGACTGCTTGATAAAGAGTATTATGCGCGGGAAACATTGTTCTAAACTGACCTCCATGATGCTTGACTGCAGTTTGTTTAGTCCGACTCTGTGCGTGAGACGCCTGTGAGAGATGCTACCGCAACCATCACCGTCGACACCTTGGCTCAGCTCGCAGGGTATTGTTGTGTCACATCGGACGATGCGTCGAAGACGGCACGCAGCTGTGATCCTTCGTTGCAGTGCAACTCCCTTTTCAAGCTGGGGAGGGACACCTGGCAGCTAAACGAGAACTGCCTAGCCTGAACGGCGATTCGGGAAGAAAATGTAGATTTGGGACTCCAGGTGTGATGTATCCAGGTTTCTGGTGTCATTTAAATTTGTTGTTACCGGAACTGACAACGAGAGGCTCTGGTGCTGCCTATTCTAGGTAGACCTACATCACCAGATCTTGACGTGCATCTAGTGGTCTCACCAGATCCTTCGAACAATGACAGTGGGGAGTGCGTCCCTTCAACGCTCCACCGCAGAATAGCGTTGGCTCCCACTGAGCCTTGGAGATAACTATCTCACTTGACCTAATCACTACTGAATAGATGCATGCAGGCTGCATGTGGACATCATGACTGACGATGAAAATCGATACAAGACTGACTGGTCAGCCTAAGCGGTGTTCCTCTGGCAGGTGGCTAGAAGTTAGGGGAGGTCTTCCAGTAGCCACATTTAAGTTGTGGAGTCATCCCACCAGAGATCGGATGACAAGAGGCTTTTATATGAGGTCTCGCGACCGAGCTGCAGAGATTTCGTAGATTGGAAGGATACCAATGTTTATGCGGTTCCATAGTGAGACTACCTCTGTTAAGGAGGTCGGTATGTTGTGCGATGCTCGTAAAATGACAATGTCTATTTACTGCACATCATCCAGGTCCTTTGAGCTGTGAAGCCCGTGAGATAAAGCTATCTGATTCAACCACAGCAGCGTCTAATGCGAGGTAGTCTACATTGTCCCTGAAATCCGAGCATCAATGTTGCAACAGGGAGATCTAACAATTGCCCAAGAGTCACCGAAGACCCACATCGGGCCTGAGCCCCAGACAAAACGGTGGCGTCGGTGTTCTAGCCAAGCTGGAGCCCAGAAAAGCTTATCTCCTGCCGTTTATGCGTCAAGCATGACTGCCAAGACACCTGCCCCGGATCCAACAGCCACGCTAGCCCGAACCTTCGCTCACGCCACCAGCCTGAGGGTCCACAAGAACTCGATCCTCCTACGAACATGTCCCCAGCAGCCACGACGCGCTTGTGTCAGGTGTTGATTTATTTTTGATCTAGAAACGACATCACACATGTCGAGAGAGCGCAGGCATGCGTTAATACATCGATGGCACAAATTTAGTGGTATTTTGTCATCCTAAACTAATCACAAGAACACCAAGCGCCTCATTTGAACCCTGGCCGAAGCAACGACCACAAGCGCCTTCACGAGAGATCCTTGGACGCCCATCCCAACCGTTTTTTGCCGCCGTCAAAAACCACAAAAGCAGCCTTGAGCGCCACGTCGCCAAAGATCGAAAACCCAATGCCCGAATCGGCCTGAATCCCGCCAAAGCACATCGTTCCGATCGAAGTGATGGCAGCGTACAGGATATACTCCCCAGGAATCGTGATGACTTGACCATCATCGCCGACGGCGAAGGAGAAGTCCGGAGGCGTTGGGCTGCACGGTAGCGTATACGCTCCCTGAGTAGCATCGTACAACGCGCCAGGAATCTGGGCATAGTACATTACCACGATGGTGCTGGGCAGAAGCAGCAAAGTCGTACCCGTGTCCGCGATCCCCATGATCTGCGTGCTGACCAACGCCCCTGTGCCAATTGCGTACCCCGGCGATGTCCATGTCCAGTATCCGTTGCTGTCATTGACCGACACATAGCTGATGTTACCAATGTGAGCGTTCTTATCGATGTACCCGAAGTTGTACGTTCCAGCTGGTCGTGTCAGTTCGAGATCGCACACGGTTCTGACGAGGTCGACTTACGTTCGCCGGCCTTGAGGTCGGCCGTGAAGATAGGGGAGTCCAGCTCTTGCATGATGTTCTCGAACCACGTCTTTTGTCCCTTTGGCTGCACCGTGTTGAGGCTGCCAAAGCCCAGGCCAAGCAACCCGTCGTTGTTGGAGTCCGAGGTGAACTCCTCCGAGACCTGGGTCGCGGCTTCAACTGCCTGCGAAGAGACCGTCAAGCCGCCCAACGTCACAGAATCGCGGTATACCACCCCGCTCGACGAGCTGCCATCTCCGTACGAAATCTTCCATGTATACCCTTCCAGCTTCTGCGCCGTCGAGCTCTTAGCCGGTTCATAAAGCGACTGCCCATTGACTAGGTTACTCGGGGTTTCGGAGCTGAAGACCCAGAGGTCACTTGACCCGGTATCAATGTCCAGGTGGAGGACCTGGCCGGGGGTGCCGATAGACACCGGCGTCAGATACTCGACATCATATGACTCCGGCTTTGTCACCTCGTTGCCTGTTGACCGCTTTCGCTTCTCCAAGCGCAGTCTTCCCAGTGCATTCTTGAGGTCTTCTGGGAGCGGCACGCCGAACTTCTTGTAGGCCTTGGCCAGCTGGTACGGACCCGAGCGGATGAAGTCTGGGTTGCTCACCTGGCGGACTGAGAAGGTCTTTCCGCCCCCTGTGTGGTGTGTGTCGTCGCTTCTCAGGCTGGTCTCTAGAGGAAACGTGCCGGTCATGTACCCCAACACTAGGGCAATTGTGAAAGTCACGCGGACCATGCTTTCGTCTTAGATATCGGAGTTGCACTCCTGTAAATCCGTCGAGATCGTAGGTCGAGCGACAACGGCTAACCAAGTGGGTATTTGGGGAGGGAGGAAGGGGAGAAGGCCCAGAACTGCCTCGCTTTCCATGATTTTAATTTTAACTCCTGCTCTTCGCAAGCGCTTCCAGCTCGGCTTGACATCTTTCTTACATCTTCTTCCATACGGGAGAATGACGTGTACATCATTCAAAGCATTATGTTGAGATGTTGGGGACGTCTACGACAATGTTAACTCGGGGGAAGATATAGACGGATCCCTAGCGATGGTAAACGATGCCTCGGTCTTCTCCGTCCAGTTTCATGTTGCTTATCCTTCATCTGCTAGTGTACTTGGCTAGGCAATAAGAAGTCTTGATGAACAAGGCATTGCAACTCTGGTTTCTTCCAAGCTATGATCACATGTTGAAGTTGGGGTGGAACTCAGGGGTTACTGTTAATGCAGCTGAGAAGCATGTGCTAGAGCTTCCAGCAATCTGTGCTTCAGACGAAATTCAAATGCAGATTCCCAACTCTCAACTCTAATGATGCATCTACTATCCAACAACTTGCAATTGTGCTAAGGGAAAGAATGTTTCGTCGCAGAAGTCATGGGGTTTCCAAGTTGTAGCGATTAACGAGCGACTTTGTCCAAATCTCATAGCTTTATCCCTCCTAAAAGCAAGCGAGAGACCTTTGATGGCAAAGCGCGCATTACAGTATCGCTGCCATAGTGCAACACATTTACTGATAACGGCTCTCATGGAAAAGGCCTTTCAAGGCTGGGTTCAAGTCGAGTCTCGCTTATTCCTTCAGCCCCGTGCAAAAATAAACAGGTCGTGCCCGGATTCGAACCGGGGTTATTGGAAGGCTGAGGAGGAACTCTTCAAAATCCAATGTGCTAACCACTACACTACACAACCTTCAGTGGTAGTGTCTCTGATGAGAGCTACTATGTTACTACATCGAGCCAGGAGGTCATCCTGGCTATCGATAACTTGTCTCTTGCACCGTTTAGGGTTCAGATGATTTCACGTATTTGTTTGGTGAAAGTCAGAAACTATCAGAAATTTTAAATGCATGGCATATCCTAAGATCCTGCCTAAAAAAACGGCGACAGAATGAACCCGTGTCGCAGCTCAGGAAAAGAATCATACATGAGATGGCAATCTTAAGTTTGCAGTCGCGGTTCAATACTGGGGTTCATTCTCGTCAGAAACAACAGTCTGTATGGTATGTTACAGTATTCAACTTGTTTTCTGCTTGTCTATTCATCCTCCAGCATGGGAAATATCACCGGGAATGTGTCTTTTTCGTTAGACGCTGCGGGGTCTTCCAAAGTAAACGCAATGATGCAACGGTCGTGAAACTGAAGAGACCCAAGAGTATCTGTCGCCTTTGCCTTCAATAAGGTCCAGCCCTTTGACGGATCATTGGGGGATTTCAGAACGCCGAAAATAAGTTTCAGTTCCCCTTCTTGGGGGACTGGCGTGGTCTTTGGGGGAGCAATAGAGGTCGTCAACCCGTTTGGGTAACGTTCCCGGAGGATGGAGACGAGCTCTTCAGTGAGCTGCGAAAAGCTCCAGTCACGGGTAGTGGACACAAAAATGGTGTGGATTCCGTGTTTGAAGCGAACCGTGAGGTCCGGATTGTCGTAATCGTTAAAGACTTTGGGTGACTGCGCTGGAGTTAGTATACGGTGATATGAGATATACTACGTCAGTCCTACCATATTGACTCCTCAGGGGCCGATTAAGCTAAGAGAAGGATCAAAATCTAGATAGGTAGGTAGCTGTTGCTTCCACGAGACGTTTGCACGGTACCACTCCGATCTGCTGAGAAAGCTGCGGTTGGTGGGGTACCTAATGGGGTCGGTTTGGGACCGCAGTGCGCTGGTAAAATACAAGTAGGTCTTGGTATAAGAATCGACCCCTCCAGAGGAAGTGTGCTCTCTAACTGTAGATAGACAACACAGCAATTAAAATCTTTAGCTACCAATACATCGTTTATTTTCTCAAGCATATCATGTCTTGATCGGGGGCAACGCGGCGCATGTGCTTCTCTGACAACTCCTCGTTACGTAAAGAATTGTAACAAACAGTTGAGACAATACCGAGCTGGAGCTCGGACCATCACCAGTTTCTGGCGGGTCTCAATTTTCGGATAACAATTTGAGCGTACGGCCCTTCTTCAAGCTGTCACCAACATTCCTTGAGACACTACGAAGTCTCTGGCCACGGTTGGGCATAGAACATGAGCGACAACAGCAAGGTGATCGCGACCGAAAAGGGACAGCTGGTCAAGCCGACGTGCTGGCGGGATCTACCCGCCCCGACGATGACGAGGGAGGAGATCGAGCAGCAGTACTTCGCCAATTCTCGACTCTTTCTCCCAGCTGTCTTGCGTATTCCCCTGGCCTCGACACTTTCTTTTCTCTCCGGATTTACTCTTGGCGCTGCGCATGGCGGCAAGATGTCTGGCTTGCAGTTCCGAGCAGAACATGCCCACAAGCTGCCCGCGACGACGACTGGTTGGTACCTCTACCACAAGAGCAAGAATTACTATGCCGCGAAGGGTGCTGTTCGCAACGGAATCAGGACGGGGATGCGTGTCTCCCTCTGGACTACGTCCATGTTTGCCATTGAGCAAATGTTCGACTCGTACCGAGGCACGGCCGATCTGCTCAACACAGTCACGTCTTTTGTCACGGTTGGAGGATGGTTCAGCTTGTGGAGTGCGTATTTTCCTCTTGTCGCGCCGGTCTTGTGCACTGTGGCTAACGCGGTGAACCCATTGCAGATCGGTTTTCGCTGCCGGCAACCGCGCGGACGGCTAAGTTTGCCCTTATTGGCGGCCTGATCTATGGCGGACTCCAAGATATTCTTGGGGCCCTTCGAGGCCGTCGGATCGGATACGTTGAATGGGTCAAGGACCGACTGGGCAAACAATCGGCTGAGCATCCCAAAGGCCAATGAACTGGCGGAGAGATTATTCTCCCGTCCTTCCGGTACACCGGTACCCCTCTGGAGCGGGCAGTCCTTCCTATGGATCGAAATAAACGTCCCCCTCCATCACCAATTCGCGGAGGGCCACCGAATGGCCAGGATGCGGACTATCGCCCCCGACCAAGTGGTATCTTGCTTTGGTGCGCAATGCATACCGCCTAACCACTCCGACGTGGCCCTCGACCAACAAGCACCGATATCAACCGACCTCGGCCCCCCTGCCGGAGTCCAAGACGCTGGGCCCTTTGTGAAGATCAATACTAACATCTGCCCTTCCGCTGCGCAAGCGTCGGCTCTTGCAACCAGCCAGGCGCCGGGTGACGCTGAGCCTCGTGACTAGCGCACCTGCGGTAGCGCGCCACAATCCCTTTCCTCCTTGCTCGGTTGGGCGGTTTAGCAGGGACTGCTCCTGCGGTGTCGGCAGACACTCGAGTCTCCACAGAGCGGCTATCTGCGGCCTTCCACAGCGCAGCGATAAGGTCAGCAGCATAGCATCATCGCCCGTATCCATGGTCTTGGACAAAGCAGTGCTAGGAAGACAAGATGCAGCTCAGATTGGCATCCAGGTTTCCAGCTCTTTGTGGATTGGCTGGGCATCGCATCTTTTATTCAAGGAAGCTGCGATACCGGCGCCAAGCAGCGCACAACTGCAGCTAGTTCGCGAGAGATTATCTCCACCTTGTTGTCTTATATACTCCTCTTCGCCTATATGTGGAAGATCTCATCCCGACTTTCAGCTCTTACCAGGAAATTCTGTTACCATAACCTCGTCATCGATAAATGCTCTTGATCATCAAGAGTTCTGGTGTGTCTAGAACTGTCTTACCTTTAATGCTCGCAATGTCCCTCGTCCTAAGACTCTCTTACCGAATGCCTTTGATCCAGCTTCTCGTTGTGCACATCCCTTCAACCAGGTCACCGTCCTCTGCTGTGTCCGCGTCTCTACACTTGCGACGTACTGTGCGGCTCTCAAGATCAATGTCAACTAGGTCTCTTCACTCTTCGTCCAATCAGTCATCACCTTCTGCCGGCGTTGCCTTAGACAGCACCGAGTCAATGCCTCCGTCGACTCTTGCAGACCCCCGTCCGGTCAAGATATCTCAAAATGCCCCTTTGGCTGTGTTACCATTGACCAATGTCCTTCGGTCTTTGCTGACCACAACCATTTCATCCTCGCCAATTCTCTTGCGCCCATCGCTGGCCATCATGTCTCTTCTCGCCAGCACAGCCCACCCAGTTCTCAACCCCGATGTCAACCCACTTCTCCGCGTATTCCTCAAGAAAACTTTCTATGCCCAGTTCTGCGCGGGCGAGAATGTTGCAGAAGTCCGGCAAACCATCGCTTCTCTCAAGCAGATCGGTTTCGCCGGTGTGATCCTTGGTTATGCTAAGGAGGTGGTGCTTACAGACTCGCAAATGAAGGGGCTGGAGTCGTGCATTTCTGGCTCTGTGGCAGAAGAGTGCGTTAGGAATGAGATTGGACCGTGGGCAGCTGGGACCAAGGAGACCGTCATGCTGGCTTCTCCAGGGGATTTCGTCGCGCTCAAGTTCACCGGCGCAGGTCGTCAGGCTCTCTATGCTCTTTCCAAACGCCTTCCTCCTCCAGCCGCTCTGGCATCTGCGATCGACGACATTTGCGAGCTCGCGGTATCACGAGGCATTCGTCTTCTCTTTGACGCCGAGCAACAGGCCCTTCAGCCGGGTATTGACGATTGGAGCTTGGAGTACATGCGCAAATACAATACCCTTGACCGGGCAGTGATCTTTGGGACCTACCAAGCATACCTGAAGGCGACACCCACAACACTCAGCCGACATCTTGCTGCCGCCAGCCAAGGAGGGTTTACTTTGGGTGTCAAACTCGTTCGTGGCGCTTATCTCGGCTCTGACCCCCGGCATCTTATTCACGACACGAAGGCCGACACGGACTCGGCCTATGATAGCATTGCAGAGGCTTTGATGAAACAGCAATGGAAGACTCCTCTTCAGCCTTCATCCAGTGACAGAACGTCTTCGCCCTTCCCCAACGTTGCCCTCGTCCTAGCCACACATAACCGGGAATCTGTCCTCAAGGGCCGCACTTTGCTCTCTGAGGGTGGCATCAAGACGGACGTGGCTTTTGCCCAACTCCAGGGCATGGCAGACGAAGTAAGCTGCGAGTTGTTGACTACTGGCAATGAAGAAGCGAATGTGGAGAGACCACGTGCGTACAAGTACCTCGTTTGGGGCACCACGGGTGAGTGCATGAAGTATCTGCTTAGGCGGGCGCATGAGAACAGGGATGCGGTGCAGCGGACAAGATCGGGGAGGGACGCCATGCGGACAGAACTGTTGAGGAGGGTTAAGGGGTTGTTTGGGCTGGGTAATTAAATAGCATGTTCTATCGAGGGTTGGGTATCTGCGGGTTTGGCTGATGTTTTGGGTGACAAAACTTCAAGGCCTGTTTTGCGCATGGTTTTTACTTGGCACGAGAGCCAAGAGCTAGCTGCTGCAATAGACATCTGAGCATTATTGATGACAATTGTACCTTTCCACGTCCAAACTCTGTGAATGACGGGGCTAGCGTTGCATGGAATCGCAGCACCCAGATTGAGAGCTGTATCCAGCCTTTCTTGTCTTTCTCTCGAGCTCAAGCCTTACCTTTCTTATAGATCGCAGCTGGGTGCAGTTCACCCTCTCAACATCATTGGCCTCACCATGTGCGGTTCGTGTTGCTGTACGACTGAAGCCAAAAAGCAACATAGACAAGCGCGATCACCTGGATTGAATTGCCTCAGAGAAGCATTTCATCATGATTACCAAGAACGCCTGCCATCATAAGCCGCGCAAGGCCATGCCCATGATGGCGAGCTGTTCCATTTTCCTCTGGTGCTCTGCCTTGTCTGCGACCTTTTCTAGTGCTGGCACGCCATTGAGTCTGTAATATTTGCGAACCTTAGGCCAGTCCGTCGCCTGAGCAATCTCCGAGTCCGTCACTGGCACGGGTTTGCCCATGACGTGTTCTGTTAGGTGAGCCCAGATAGCTTCTGGCGTGCGCGCTGAAGTTGCCGAGAATCCATTTTGTCCTTCTGCGGTGGGAGAGATGATCTTCACTACGATAAGGTCCTTGGTTTTTCCTGGCGTTATGCCCCATCTTCTGTACGCATCGGCAATCTAGAAGAAGGATCAGGGATCAGCGCTGGCTGAGTACCAACACCTTACTTTGAGGGCGCCCGTACATTGTTGTTTGTGTTGAACGACGTCACGATCTCTGAGTGGACATTTGGTGTCCTCAATGCCCCGACTAGTAATGTGTTGAGGGCGCTGTAGACGGCTGATAGGAGATGCAGTCGCGAGATGACGGAGGATGCGTCGATAAAAGCATACTCAAAGTCCCTGTTGCGGGACAATAATTGTTGGTGGAGGAAGTCGGCATTGGTGACATCACGGAAGAAGCCAACGTAGACACCGTATCCTGAGGGGACGTGTTCGAGCGCAACGTTTTCGAGGGCCATTGCGTTTGTTACGACGTCGAGATGAAGGAAACGGGGAATATAGGGACAGAATAGACAGTTGAACTTTGATCGCGTTTGCTGCGAAGTTGAACAAGAGTCCTCGACAGTGACAAATGCTCTAGTTGGCCAACAGAATATTGTAAGTACTTTTGTCCTTGTTCAGGTCGTCTGTCGGCTTCCAAGTTGCTGGTTGTGTACGGAATCCTTGCAACTTTGTCCGTGGAGGGGCAGCGCGAACCACGGGGTTTCTTGACCGGGCATCACTTGAAATTATGATCCAATGTGTTCCCACAAGGCTGTGGCAGTAAACCCTAACCCTGAAACTCTCGAAATTGATATTCTCCCTTTGTCACGTCACCCGGCGCTGCGCGTCTGCAGGACGCATCAATCACGGCGACCTGGCGAGGTACATCGGTTCTCCGCAGGCGGTCCCTGTGCCGCACCGTCTCATCACATAGAGTCCCGCTCAGACACGCCGCAATTGTATTATCACTGGCCCCATAGCATGAACTTCCATACACCGTTTTGACCACGACGAGAGCACGTGCAGATGTTGGTTGGCGTCAGGGTCATGCCATCTCGTCTTCCCAACAACTAGGGCATTGGGACACCAGCGATACTTGGTTCAGATTTCTAGACTGTGCATGTGCATCTTCGCTACGGGTCTGCGCCGTGCACCGCATCTGCGCCAACTCCTGTCGTTCTCAACTCGCTGTTTCTCCGCTCAATCAGTTCTTTTCCGCGCTGCAGCTGTCGCACTCCGTCCACAACAATTGCATTGCCGTCCCGGTGAGACGCTCCTCTTCGTCCCGTCGCCGCACGTGCTGGCGCGGCACAGCATCTGCCCCAACTTGCAACCTGCCGGTTGCCGACAGTCACCAGCATGCCTCAGTCCCGCCAAACGAACAAACGTCCCGGAACCGCTGGTGACACTGCCCTCGCCAACGCCGAGTCAGCGGCTCCCAAGCCAAAGCTGCCGCGAGTTGAGCGTAGCCCATCAGATTTCTCCAGCGTCGTCAAAAGCAAGCTACAGTCCTACACGCGCACTGGACAAGCATGCGATCGGTGCAAGGTACACTCCGCGTGTTCTGAAGAGGGATCATAAATGTGTTTGCTGACAAGACTTTCCTACCCAGGTTCGCAAGATCCGTTGTGATGCCCTCCCAGAAGGGTGTTCTCACTGCACGAACCAAAACATTGAATGCTATGTGACAGATCGTGTCACTGGCCGCACTGAGCGGCGTGGTTACTTGCAGCAACTCGAGCGCGAAAAGGGGGCAATGCTGGTGCATATCCGTGAACTGGAGAAGCTGTTGGAAAGCAACGGCATCGAGGTTAGGCCATGGCAATGGCCCGGGTATACGACTACATACCCTTCAGCAGTCACGTATGATGCAATTAGCAACCCTGTGCAGAATCCGGCATCAAAAGACGAATGGACACAAGTTGGGCTCGTGTGGGTGAAGAACTACCGGCAAAAGCCCCAGATTACTTTGGGCGATTATATCCCATTTTCTGCGCTAGAGTCACGGCGGACAGACAGCTACCTGGGGGTGGCCGAAGATAATGCCCTGTTGAGCTCTATCAAGGGAACCAAATTGTCCATTTTGGGAACTGTCATCGACATCGCATCATTCGAGTCTCCAGACACGGACGAGCCCCCACCGGAAACGCCCATTGGATGGCCGCTTTATAATAAATCCGTCATGGCTTTTCTTCAGTCTATACTGCGTGTTAACCCTCCTCCCGAGCACATTGAACTTCCCCCCAAACCAGACGCCTTCACCTATGCTGAGTGGTACTTTCTGGCTGTCTCGCCGTTTCTCCCTGTTCTCCATAAGCCCTCATTCTTTCGGCTTGTAAGTCATGCATACCCTGTGGGCGCATCGTTCACTCTCAAATGCCCATGCTGATTTGCGGCGCAGTTGACTCGTATCTATGATGAAGGTTATAAGCCAACAATACCGGAGTTGGTCACGGTTCATATGGTCTTTGCTACCATGTGGTTCCAATATGGCATCAGAAATCGTGAGGAGCCTGAGAGGTATGCACAACTCAACGAGCTCTCAAATCGACACTACCATTGGTGCCTGAGCAAGTTCTTCGACCTTGCCATCTCGCCAACTTTGACGGCTGTTCAGGCTTTGGCCATGATCATGGTCCACACACGAAACTTTCCCAAGCCCGCTTGCTCTTCAACGATTGCCCAGTACGCCTTCATTAAGGCCCTGGAGTTGAATCTCCACCGGAGAGTTAAGATGCCCAACAACACCACTACCTTGGAAAACGAGATGCGGAAGAGAGTTTGGTGGGTTATCCTGGCTGTCATGGTTACTCTCAGCGGCCGTCTCGGCAGACCCATGCCAATCTCTCTTCACGAGTTTGACGTCGACTTTCCTATTCCCATTGAAGACGAATATCTGGGCGAGGAAGGTATTTTGGATCACTCCCAGGTTGGCCGCTGCAGTTGGCACGTCGGTCTCATGGGCTTTAAAGTTGTACCACTGTATATGGAAATGTACACCAAGATCTACGGCGTGCGATGTGACCCGAGGCGTTATGTCCAGGTAGTCCAGGATCTTGACGCTGCTATGGATAAGTTTATCGAAAGTTTGCCTACCGAACTACGGCTGGAAACATATCGCGACCCGAACCGCCAAAATGACCCTGGTATGCTCTTTGCAATGTATACTCGAGCCTTTTGTCTCGAGTTCAAGTTATGTCTAAGACATCCTTCAGTCTGTATGTCCAACGATCCCAAGGTTATTGCTGAAAACTCGAGGATATGCGAGGAAACGGTCAAAGAGCTTCTGAAGGTCGTCAAGGAAGTACAAAGGAAGAAGTCTCTCGATACGACCTGGTATCAGCTTGCCGTCTATCTCGCTGCTCTTTTCTCCCTTCTTGTTGCACATTGGCAACGGCGCTTTGATGTTACAGAGGCCGAGGTAGCTGCTCTCCGCGAAGATGCAAGGGCGTGGTTGAGCATCATCGCCGAAATTGGGCGGCAAATGGGTATGTGTTTTACCCCAGCAGTCTTCGATCTTCTCAACTGACGTTACGGTTTCTAGGTGCTGGAAGCCGCCTTGCCGCGGACGTTGGCGGCATTATTGATCGTACAGTTGGCTCGATTGAACAGGATATGCGCAAGCCAGGCCCGCCGTCTGACTCGTCCACTGGCACGATGAAATCGGAGTCGCCAGCACCATATCCGCAACCAGTGGCAAGGCAAAACGATCCCCCAGCCAACTCTGTCCCATCCACTGCGACAGCTCCCATTCCCAGGCATCACGTACAACGTGACGCAATAGCAACAAATGGAAGCAGTTATTATGATTCGAACATTTCATCACCACAATACGCTTCTGTTGCTTACAGTTCCCAAGCAGCTTCTGGAACCCCCTCCCATCCAAACCCCAGTAATCAGGGAGGATCAATTGACTCAACACAGTACCTGTACGCAGCAGCGTCAGCTGCAACAACTACAGCAGCGCCAACGACTACCGCTGCAGTCAGCGAATCAGCAGTACAGGCGACGAACCCCCTTATTGCCTTTGCTTCGCAGGCCACGCAGCACGTCGCTGGACAAGCTGCAAACAACTGGTCCGCTCAAACTCAGTTCATGGCGCAGACTGCAGCAATCACAAACGCCTGGCACGACTGGGCTGCTGCCATGACCGACAACCGGGCTACGTCCATGCCCGGGAACCAAGATCGGTTCAGTGCAACTACCCTGCTCACTCTGGGGACGGGAAGACCGGCAGATGTGGGTGCCTGTACGATGGTTGAGCACGTCAACCAACCTCCAGATCCACAAACTGGGCAGTGGCCACTGCTGTTGTTTCATAACGGCGGTGGTTCGGTGAGTGGGTCTTGAAGTTTTTCCTTTCGGTTATTGAAATCAGGTTTGTCTGGAATAACCTTGCTGTGTGTTGTCTCTTACTCTGGGCTGGACCCATCATGTCTCTATACATTCCTGGGTCCCTGTTATTGACTGTTCTGCTTCTTCGTGGCTTTTTGCACAACTGGGATGTTGTAAGAGGAGGAGTTAAGGCGCTGAAGCAGGCCCAGGAACCCTCTGTTTCTCGACCAACAGTTTTGGGTAGATCTCTTCAGGGATGGGAAGGATGGTTATCTGGATAAATTCGTCCTGGGTGACAGGCATATGAGATGTGTATCACCTAATGTCAGCACATATTGCATACTAATTTGCTGAATGTTGTCTTGTGACAAGTTAATCTACTTTAGGTCTTTGGATACGTTTAACATTCAGGCATGAAATGCAAGGGTATACCTAACTCAATCCTCCCTAAACTTGCCCATTCCACTTTCAAAAGAAACAATAAAGCATGGAGAATAAGACAAGGACTACCAAAGCTTTCGCAATGATGTTTTGAAATCTATTGGATGTGCAACTTTAGCTATCTTTGCCATTCATTCATGGGGATCCCCGTGCACTGTTATGAGCCTTAGGCTGCTCAGCAGCCGCACTTGCCAGTAATTCTACAAGTAATGGCTGTTGAGCTCCCGCACATTCTGTGTTCTTTGGATAACCTGGAGGAGTGAGGACTTGAACACATGGAATAGGCTCCTTGCACGCCGGAAATTCTACGGGCTCGCTCTTTGCTCCAGGTACACTTCTGGTTGTCCACTCATTAGATCTGATGACGCTGGAGCAATACTGCGGACTTGGTTCTTGTTTCGACGGATCATCCAGATAATGATAATCGCCGTCATGCATATTAGAACAAGACTACCGACTATGCTATCGACAATGGCCCCAATATCCACTCCCTTGCTGTCTTTCTCATCCGAGTCTGGTAGTGGCGAACTAGAGGAGGAGCTTCTGTTGACCCCTGGGTCTGATGATATTGTTGCAACTGGAGAGCTTGTCAGTATGGGATCTGAGCTTGATGATGGTGACTTAGAAGTTGAATGCAAGGCAGTCGGCGATGTATATGGTGTTGCATACGCGAAGAGGACCTTCTCTGTAGGGCTGGGTCCACAGTTGTATTATGTGTAACGGGTGACTTGGTCTGGTGCAGGCAGGGATCGACAATGTGTCAAATGGGTTAGATAATAGCCACTGACGATGTGTGGTGCACAACAAAGTCAATTGCTACGTGTAATAATCTTTCTTGGTCCTCAGTGTCCTTGTGTTGGGGGAGGAAGACCAAGAGAAATCCTTTATCGTGTCCAAGTAGCTCCCTTTACAAAATTCGTTTACCCTTGTGAATACCTCGCGGTTTCCTGGGATCTTTAGGAGTTTTCTCATCGTGTCAAGGTTATCTAACTCATTCTTGGCATCCCTTATATTTCCCGGGCTCTACCAATCAAATATGCCTTTGCCCTTCTCAGCTCTTGTGTCACCGGTGTTCTATATGTTGGCTGTCAAGGATATTTCTTCTCCTTGAACTGCCGTGTCAATATGACATTTTGTGAACCTGTCAAGGTTGGAAGTAAGAGTCAGGTATCCCATATTACAACGTTGGCCTTCGTCGGTGCTACAAACCTGTTGGTAGGCCCATGATACATGGCGACTTAGGAAAGATAGAATGATTGGTTAGCATGAGGTACCAGAAAGAGTTGGCAATGACTTGTCCGTAGGTCCGAATATACCGCACAATTGAACCCATCAATACACACGCCCTCCAGTTAACAGTCAGTGTCCTGGTCATTACAAATACCCTAGATGTGATTTGGAAGTCGACTCTGAACTGCGACCCATCTACTGCTGTTATCATCTGTAACGAGAGACTTGGTCTGGTGCAAGCAGGGATGACAGTGGGTCAAATGGGTTAGATGATAGACAATTATAATGTGAGGTGCACACCGAAGTCAATTGATACATGTAATAATCTTTCTTGGCCCTCAGTGTCCTTATGTTATGGAGAGGAATAATCCAAGAGAAGTTCTTCATCTTGTCAGGGTACCTTCCTTTATGGAATCTTGCCCTTGTGAGTGCCTAGGCCTTTCAGGCTTTCCAGGGGTGTCACATGGACACGGCAGTCCAAGGAAAGGGATGTCCCCGACTGCCAACACAAGGGACACCAGAGACAGGATGATTGTGAGCGGCACAAATACGTGGTGATCCCGGAAGATGTCTAGAGCCGGATGACCGATGAGAATGAGCCATATGGCCGAGGCATGATGAGGATTCTATAAAGGAAGCTGCCCGGTCATGATAGACTTCCCTTGGTTCCTCCTCTCCCTGACACAAGGACACTGAGGACCAAGAAAGATTAATACACGTAGTAATTGACTTCGTTGTGCACCCCACATCGTCAGTGGCCATCATCTAACCCATTTGACCTATTGTCGACCCCTGCCTGCACCAAACCAAGTCACCCGTTACAAGGGGTCTTATCTTCATGCATTGGCCATCTAGCTCCTTCGGTCCTGTGGCTCCACATATCTTCGGGATCAACTACGTATTTGTGCCGTTCACAATCATTCTATCTCTGGTGTCCTTTGTGTTGGCAGTCAGAATGCCCCTTCCTTGGACTATCGTGTCCATATGACATCATTTGATCCCGATCGCCATTCTAACGCCTTCGATACTGGAGAGTGAATATTGGCTCTCTCGTCACTCATGCTGGAGCTGTCTCAGTATTATCCGAGGTTTGTGTTTTCGAAACCACCAGTGCGACGCCCTAAACAATTTGCCAGAGCACCAGCACGCTGAAAATGAAGCATGTCTTTGTTTGAATCAAAGTCATGGAGGTGGGCGAGGCTAGAAGGACGTTGTTGCAGCAGATAGAAGCAACCAAAATACTGAGTCAAGGTAAGGGCAGGGGTTCGAGAAACATCTTCAAGAGGAACTCAGAACAACAGGTCAAGTTTGATGAATAGGGCACCCGCTGAGAATGTAAGGGAAAAAGTATTTCGACCCGGCCACGTTGATCCTTTGCTGAGAATGCGCACTGCCAGTCATTGGAACACAAGAGCCTTATTCTTTCATGCAAAATGGCAGTTTCTGGCGAAGTTCCTTTCCAGACCGTCTGGTTTGAGAGTTCTGGTTGGCGAAGACCTTGCGGCTTTGGTCCGACGATATCTTAAGCATCACGCCTTCCCCTATCTTACCAATCACTTGGAGGCGTCTTCCATAGCCCCATAGTGTTGAGAAATTTCCTACATCGTCTTCAACGCGGAAAATAAGAAAAAAGACACAGGAACTACACAGCCGATGAGATCTCGATACGGAAAGAAGGACGTGGCGTCATGGCCAAATCCAGCATTCAACCTAGGGAGAACTGCTTCAGCTCAGAGTAATAAGGGTTGGATTAGCCCCCGATGCTGTGGACTGCTCCGATAACTTTTCCTGCTGTGAGTGCTGTGCAACCTGAGAGCCAGGCAAACTGAGCTCCTGGCCTTGCTCAAGCCACCTTACCTTGTAAATATTGCACACTCAGTCTCAACACCATATACATCGATCGCAATTTCTATCGTTACTACAATCACAATGTGCCCAATTTCAATGCAAGTTATAGCAGACTTGGCTAGAAGCTTTTGAAGTTATGGTGTGTTAGTCCAGGGGGAACTCGAGGTAGTTCAGGGGCTGTACTGCCGGCTTTAAACCCTAACCCTGATATCAAGGCTCCGGCGTATCAAGGGCGACGATTGGATGCCAAGGCGGCCCTTTCACCCTACTGCGGACGTTTTTCTCCAAAAACAACCATCTCGACTTTCGATTTCGGTTTCGTTCGCCTTCGCATCGTTCTGCTTCTTTCTGTCGCTCCTTTTTGGTACATAATATCCTCTTCCTTCGCTCCCTTCCGCAATCCCATGCCGGTGCCGCTGCCTTGATGACGCGCCTGTCCCCGACCGCGCTCGTCGGCCGCGTCCTTCGGGTGCTCGCGCCACTGTCGCTAGTCCTGACCGTGTATTTGTACCTCTACCCCATCTTCAGCAACTGCGCCTTTCCACTGCCGCCCTCGCAATCGGTACAATCGGCGCAGGCCACGAAAAACTATGGATCAACATCTGCCGCAAGCTCGAGTCGTGCCGCCTTCATTGAGACCGCAAAGGGTCACTGGGAGTCCCTCGCCACCGTCATCGATGCCAACTTGAACACGACATGGTCGCAACGAGCTCGAACCGTGTTTGTGCCCTCTCAGCCCCTTGCTCCCTTTCGCCTGCTCGTCTTTGGAGATCCCCAACTCGAAGGTGACACGTCGATTCCGACTGAATACCTTGGCGTCTTCCCCCATGCAAAGAACCTCTGGAAGCATGTGACCTTCCAGACAGAACACCCCTCCGTGCGTCAGCGAATCCGACAGTCCTTTCATGAGGTGGTGGACATACTGTTTGAGGATGCCTTCAATTTCCTTGAGTCGTTGCGCAAGCGTATCGACTTGGTCGGAAACGACCTCTATCTTTCCCATATCTACCGGACAGTTCATTGGTGGACGCGCCCGACTCACGTCGCTGTGCTCGGGGACCTGTTGGGTAGCCAATGGATCAACAATGATGAGTTCTACCGCCGTGCCGATAGATACTGGAATCGTGTTTTCCGTGGAGCAGAGCGCGTGCCGGACAGCCTTGCTGCATACCCGGCTGACGAGTACGATCTGGCCGGTTTTTTGGGAAGCGGTGCGTTCAACGAGTCTTCTCCGTGGTCCCGCCGCTTGATCAATGTAGCCGGCAACCACGACATTGGCTATGCTGGGGACATTAATGATGAGAGGGCTTCGCGCTTTGAGACTGCTTTTGGCAAGCTTAACTACGAGCTGCGCTTCGAGCTTCCCCTACTCGAAACTGCTGTGGCTGTGTTCGACGACGCGAAGCATCCTAATCCTCACTCGGACCGATTAATGCCCGAGGTGCGCATCGTTGTCCTCAACGACATGAACATCGACACCCCCGCTTTGTCTGCTAAGCTTCAGGATGACACCTACACGTTCATCAACAAGGTCATCAGCACTTCAGCCTCGGTCGACTTTAAGGGCCACTATACCGTGGTATTGACGCACATACCTCTCTACAAACCCGAGGGCGTCTGCGTTGACGACCCCTATTTCGACTTTCACGAGCACGACGGCACACTGAGATCGCAAAACCAGCTCAGCGCCGCCGCTAGCAAGGGCTTCCTAGAGGGTATCTTCGGCATGTCGGGCAGCACGGCCGGTCCGGGAAAAGGCCGCGGTAGGAGAGGCATTATCCTCAACGGCCATGACCACGAGGGCTGTGATACCTGGCATTATATCAATCAGTCCATCACTGAACCTAAGCATCGCAAGTGGGAGGTTAAGCGCTGGCGGCAGGCCAACGTTGCTGGCATTGTTGGCCAGGAGGGTCTGCCTGGAATCCGGGAGATCACGGTCCGCAGCATGATGGGCGACTATGGCGGCAATGCTGGTTTGCTAAGCTTGTGGTTTGACGTGGCTTCTTGGGAATGGAAGGCGGAGTACGCAACCTGCCCGCTCGGGACGCAGCACCTCTGGTGGCTGGTGCATATCTTGGATCTCATTGTTGTCGTCAGCATTGTGCTGTTAACTGTTGCTTCCATTCTCTTGCCTCTGGGCGTCGATGTGGAGGGTGCTCAGTTGCGGCTCATGTGTTTTGGGCGGAGGAGTCACAAGGTTAGAGACACTCATGGTGTTCCTAATAGTAGGGGATTTGGAAAGAAGGTCGGTTCTGGATGATACTTGTATATGCTGCCCGTGGTACTATTTTACTACTATATAATATCATGTTGTTGTAACCTTCTTCCGGCTTCACTTGATTCTGATGATGAAACGTCGGCATATTTGGAATACACATGCTCTTGAGAGCTGCCGCTAGGTCAGCCAGGTAATAAGGGTGAAGGAGCCACATCTGTGACCACTTTAGATCAGTAGCCACTGCAAAAACGCGTTGTTGGTCTTTTCCATTTCTGCAGCAGTTTTATTTTCCCCACCATCACTCACTGGTGGAACAAGTGAACTGGTGTCCATGGCGCAAGACATCGCGTCATGTGTAATCCAGATAACAATTCTCGTTGCTGGCTTGATAGGTCGGAAGGCCACGAGGTTACGATCTTCTAAGGGGCCTTTCTCGCAACCTGATAATCATCTGGAATACTTCATGCTAGCTTGTACATGTAGCTTTTCCAAGGGGGAATGTGACCTCAAATCTTAGATGCCTCAAGCGGGGCGCCATGTTAAAGGACCGGGGAAGGAAAATCCCCTGCATGTGCCATGCTTCGAGGGAAGACTAATTCCAGACCATCACCGAACCCATTTTGTCTAGAGTTTTGCTGACACAGCACAATATCTTCTATAACTCCTCCCATTTTGGTCAAAGCTCTACAACGTATGTGGATCTTGCGAGCACCTTGGGGGGATCTCTCTCCTGACGTGAACGCGAGTGCTGTCGCCTTCTTAAAACCACCGACTATTACCTGGAGCCCTACGGTCGCCCGGAGCAATAGCACAGATGGGATAAGCGGGCCGGGACCTTAGACTGGCTCACTCTCCCTCAAGAGTTACAGAGCAGGGTCGACAGCTTTTAGCGATGCTAATGGAACAAAAGGCCTAATGGTCCTCGTTGAAGGACGAGGGTCTTATACTTAACGATTATCCTGGATCATAGCAAACTCTAAGTCTGCACACACACCCAAGTAGTTGGAAGTCTTGAGTAAGATGTCTGGAAATATCGAAAAAGTAGATCATGTTGTGAATTGATCTTTTGCTTAGACTCATGGGGTAACCAGAATCAAGACAGTTCTGTTCTTCCAGAATGGCACTCTACTGCCTATGTTTTCCCGCATGTAACACTGCTCAGGTGAGCAGAGAACATCGCAGATCTTCTCAACATATCAAGTGAACAGCTTACGATGTTCAGCTACTCCTTCATGGGCCTTTTCTTCGTGCAAATTTGATTACAATGTGAAAATCCGGTTGGAGTGAAACATCGCGCCATGTTCTCCAATGGTCAAACAAAAAGATCCAATGGAACACTAAACGCGATCATGAACAGCAAGCTGAAGTGCTCGACGATCCGCGGAGTTCCGGAAGTTATGTCCAGTGGTTAGCGCCGACAGCCGAGCCCCCCACACTCACAAGCTGCGTCGAAAGGGACTGAGTCATCTCCACATTACGGAATCCGTCAATCCGAGGATAGCAATGAATGTATAAAAGGAATGATTGACACCCTAGAATCTCCATGCAGAGTTGGCACCCTGTTTTCTCCAACTAGGCATTCGGGGATTTCTGGACTACACCTCGCCATGGCCAACAAGCTGCAATCCATTGCTCTTCGTGGCGCCCTTTTGGCCGCCTACCCCTGGACAGTAGCCCCGCTCATTGTCAGCGCGCCGATGCGGGTCATGTCCGGGCCGGATCTTGCTGTGGCCGTGTCCCGAGCCGGCGGACTCGGCTTTATTGGCCCGGGAGCTAAACCAGAGGACACGGCGGCGGACCTGGAAACAGCGAGAAAACTCTTGGCCGCGTTTGAGCCTTTTACTGCCACGCAGGCGTCTGTCTTGCCGATAGGAATCGGCTTCCAGGTCTGGAACGGGAACCTGGATGTTGCTGCATCGACCGTGGCTCAGTACAAACCTGCTGCCGTATGGCTCTTTGCACCACGAAATGGCCAGGCTGATATTGACAATTGGACAAAACGACTCCGTGGGGTTTCTCCAAGCTCCAAGATCTGGCTTCAGATTGGCACCTTGAAAGAGGCACTAGACGCTGTGCGCAGCGCAACCCCTCCTGATGTCCTCGTTGTTCAGGGTGCCGAAGCTGGTGGGCATGGTCGTGCCAAAGATGCCATTGGCTTCATCACACTCCTGCCCGAAATTGCCGACGCCACGAAAGATTCGGGCATTCCCCTCATCGCAGCGGGCGGTATCGCTGACGGTAGAGGTGTAGTGGCGGCTCTGGGGGCCGGCGCAGCTGGTGTAGCGATGGGAACGAGATTCCTAGCTTGCAATGAGGCACGCATCAAAAAGGGGTATCAGGATGAAGTGGTAAGGGCAACAGACGGCGGGGCCAACACGGTGCGGACGCATTTGTACAACCACCTACGCGGCACTTTTGGATGGCCGGAGCAGTGGAGTCCACGAACCATCATCAACCGCAGTTGGCTGGAACAGCAGGCAGGAATGCCGTTTGAAGAGATCAAAAAGCACCATGACGAGGCAGTCAGCAAGGGAGATGCCGTGTGGGGACCGGATGGTTGGACAGCGACATATGCTAGTGCCAGCATCGGGCTAATCAGGAGTGTTGAGGCTGCAGGGACGATTGTTGAGAATGTCAGGAAAGAAGCATCCGAAATTGTCCAAATGTTACATGTTTTATTCCGCTAGACTGGAATGGAGAGGCTAGTGATACAATTACAGCCGATGCGTGAAGGTTTATTGTTTCAGCACTTGCTCCTAAGCGGTGCGTCAAGCAGGGCCAGTGCAGCCTTCTCTTTGTCTTGTTGTCCCGCTTCGTGCTGTTCGATTTCTGGTCCCCAGCAGACCCGTTTCTTATGCTTAGAAGCGACTTGGAGCAAGCCCTGAATCATGGCGCCCGATTTTTTGACGCCACTCCAAGCATCAAAACAGATATCGTCGAGAGAAGGCAGTTCCTTCAACACGCCGTCCAAGAGTTGCTTGGAAAAGGTTTCGTAAAAGCCATCTGCCTTGCGGAATCCCTTGAAATAACCATCGCTGGGATCAACCTGCACGAAGATGGTAAGCTTGCGAACATTGATGCATTCATAAAGTCCCAGGGTGTCATTCACGACCCAGCCCTTTGGAGGCTTAGCCCAGCCGGGGCCCAGCCGCAGCTCCAGCGAGGTAAGTTTCTGTCGTTGCCACGGCTTCAGTCGAGCAAGTAAGGGCCTCTTGGTCTTAAAGAAGCGCCCTGGTTGTGTGGGGAAGATGCGAAATGTGTGTGTGCTGTAGAAGACATGGGAGGCTTCTCGGTATATTGTCCTGCATGTCCAAAATATGCGCATCTTAGGGTAGATAATCTTGTAGTTGTCATAGTCGAGGTCAATAACGCGGTCCCCAAGGTCGAAGTAATGCTTGTAAATCTCCATGCGCAGCTCGATCGGGAGGTCCATGAACCGAAACGGCTTCGTAGTGCTGGTGGCCTGCTTAGGGGCTATATTGCCCCAGGTCTCGCCATTGGCGGGGCTGGAGAAAGTCATTGCCTTCGATGCAAGGCTGGAGAGCTCTTTGTCCACCTCATCCTCGGCATCCGAAGCATATGTGGACGGACTCGCAGAGCGGGAGGAGGGCTCGGAGGTGGGGGGCACGGGGGATGGAGCTGAGTGGTGCCCGGCTGCGCGAGACACCCTTCGTACGGCTCGTCGAGCAGCCATGGCGGTAATAAAAAGGAATTGGACTGGTTATGTGCGTCTCGAATGCTCTGAAATTTACAGTCAGTCGCTGTATGGAACGTATGGAAAAGTCAGGCATGCGCGATGTGGAACAAGTTACGGACTACTGACTTCAGCGAGGACTCAATGGCAAAGCGGAATGATGCATAAACCGGCCTGGTACACTTGAGTCGTGGTGGCGAGATTGTCAACGTCAGAGAGGGTGGTCCCATGGTGAGCATTGATGATACACGACAGTAGGCCACCCTCTAAAATGCATCCACTGCGGCCATTGTAGGCGAGTTCTTGATGGAAAGGTTGGTGGTGGGAACAAAGGGTATCATGGACCACGCAACCACGAAGCCACAAAAAGGGTTTGGAAGGTACCAAGGTAGAGCAACAGACGTTCCAGGCTTGTTGGCTCCTGAAGACAAGGAGAGAGGGACCCTTAGGTAAAAATGCCGCGCTGGTTTGCAGAGAGGCGATTGTGCAAAGGAGAGAGGGGAGGGGAAAGGACCGGTTATGTTTGGAAGATGCAAAGTGTTCCACAGCAGTTGGAGAGGTAGTGGAAGCGACTTTGTGTGTGGCACCATGGTGCCGTTTTGCGTTATGGTGTGCGCTGCAGCGCTAGTCTTTGCGGGAAGATGAAGCCCGCGACTCAACTGGGGAAGCCGAGCGGATTCTCCGTGCGGGGCCCAGCTGAGCCAATGGCATGACACCGATCGATCCAACATGACGAAAGATGGTTCCACTACTTGCGCTATTCCAGATATAGCTAGAGATAGTGGGGCGACCTGTGGTTCGCCAGTCGAAAAATCCACCGCCCAAGCAGCGAGAGTACGCCTGTGAGCATGCACGGCAACAGAAGATCGCGCGACGGAATTTTTTTGAGCCCAGCCCATCAACGCCGCACCCGACATCAACATCAGCGACAACAGTCGGGGCACATTGAGGCACCCACTGGATACTGCTTGCTGGACGTATATCGGGTCCCATTACCGTGTGCATATTCGCAGCATCTACCCTTCCGCACCATCTACGACATACTTGGAAGCCTGCCTCTTCTATCCCGTCAGCTCCAGCACGGTTACCCGGTTTGCCATCTCCGAGCATATCACCATTACCCTTTAACTCAGAATAATGCTGTCGCGAGCTGCAATGGGGCCACTTGGCCTGCGAGCTGCCGCTCTGGCATCCTCATCCACTATTCGCTCCTGTGCCGTGCCCGCAGTCTGGTCCCGGTGCATGTCGGCGACGAGGGACAGCAAATCAAGATTCTCCAAACCCCAGAACCCACCTGCTCAAAAGCCATCACAGCCCGCCTCTAAGCCGTCACCAGAACCTTCACAAGACGCTCCTGCTCAGCCATCTGCGGAGAAAGAGACTACTCATGACGCCCCGCAAGAAGAGATTCCTGACCTCTCTAAGCTGCCGGACCTCACACAAGGCATCCCGTCGACTCTCGAGTATGAGACCGCTGGTGCTACCGACAAGTCTTCACTGCACCCGTCTGAAGAAGAACCGCCAAAGACTGGTGGGAAAAGACCGAAGGGTGAGCTGCCTGCTTCTGCCTACGTTTCATCCACGGAACGTCGGCGTCAGAAGATGGCCTGGTGGGCATTTGCTTTGACCGGTGTTTTCACGGTTGCTGGCACGGTATACCTTGGCAGGAACTGGAGCGAGGAGGAGCTGGCAAAGAACCCAGAGGTGCCCAACGGCTGGAGTCTCACTCTCTGGTGGAAGCGTGCCATGGCTCGCATGACCGACACCGTCGAGTACTACCAGGAACCCGCCTTCGAGAAGCTGCTGCCGGATCCCGATCCGTCGTTCGAGCGCCCGTACACCCTTGTTATCAGCTTGGAGGATATGCTGGTCCACAGCGAGTGGACCCGGGAACACGGCTGGCGCATTGCGAAGCGCCCTGGCGTCGACTACTTCCTCCACTATCTCAGCCAGTACTACGAGATCGTCCTTTTCACCACTGTTCCCTTCGCTACCGGCGAGCCTCTTGTACGCAAGCTTGATCCCTACCGCTTCATCATGTGGCCGCTTTTTAGGGAGGCTACCAAGTATCAAGATGGCGAGATTGTCAAGGTATATTATAGGTCAACCTGTTGTCTCATACCCTTTGCGATGTATGACTTGTTTGAGAGCTAACATTGAACTCACTCCAGGACCTGTCGTATCTCAATCGCGATCTGTCCAAGGTGATCATCATTGACACCAACCCCAAGCATGTCCGCGCGCAGCCTGAGAACGCCATTATCCTCCCCAAGTGGACTGGTGACCCGAAGGACAAGGAGCTGGTATCTCTTGTACCATTCCTTGAGTTTATCCATGCCATGCAGTATAGCGACGTGCGCAAGGTCCTCAAGTCCTTTGAGGGCACCCATATCCCCACCGAATTTGCCCGCCGTGAGGCGATTGCTCGCGCCGAGCATAACAAGCGTATCCAAGCCAAGGCCCGTCAAAGCGGCATGAGCTGGCTCAGCAGCCATCTCGGCTTGAAGCCGAGCAGCATGAGCCTGATGGTAGCCCCTGAGGGCGAGGAAGACCCTCAGGAGGCCTTCGCCAAGGGCAAGATGCTCCACGATATCGCACGCGAGCGCGGTATCCGGAATTATCTGATGCTTGAAGAGGAGATCCGCAAGAACGGTGAGAAGTGGCTCAAAGAGGAGCAGGAGGCTATGGAGAGGGCACAGAAGGAGGCCATGAAGAACATGAAGTCGTCTTTCTTTGGCTGGTTCACCCCGTCCGAGAAAGAGGAGAGTGTCAGCACGCAGTCCAAGCGCAGTTAAACGGCTGTTGGGATAACATCAACCCAATACATCATCAGCATGTATCACCACGTTCATAAACTCCACTATTCATTCCCGGCTGGAACTGAGGTGTCTGCTGCCCTGATTAGTTTCGGAGTTTCACATATGGAGCACCGGGTTTAAAGAGGGAATGGGATTGTATCAAAACATTGCTCATCTTGGGCATAAAGGACAGGGGGTTTGTCAGAGCTCTGTACAATACAATGTATTCTTGGAAGATTGTTGGCACTGTGCTTCGATTAAGTAGAGGCTGTCAACAAGCCATAAAGACTATTGCCGAAGTGAACATGAACAAGTGCTCAGGCTGCGGAAGTTCTTTCCAATCTTTGCATGTGCTTAGAGACTGAACTAGGCTTGACGACGACACCTCAAACATTCTGAAGCACAATTCCGAAGCACGTCGCTGGGGAGCAAAGCGGCACGAATTCGAAATTGCAGCGAGTTAGTTTTGCCGGCGCGTCTTCAATTTTACTGTCCGGAAGTTACGGGCCCTAGCATGGCTACCCGAGGTAATAGAGAGATCGTAACGTCCACTTGTCCATCTACCGAAATAGAGTACCTCTCCTTACCGCACATCGCGTCGGCAGACCTTGAAAGAACACAGTTTGGTACTAATCTGATATGGTTTGCCATGATACATGCTGTTATGGTAGACTATCCGTCCAGCACCTTCAAGATGTTGAGTTGGGTCAGCTCAATTGTCCAAGTGCTAACATTGGCTCGTTATATGTACAATTGGGTGGTTAAGTAGAACGTGATGCTTCTAATTACTCAGTCAACACGGCTTTCCTAATGTTATACAGAGGTAGGGATCTCTTGGCGCTTGGCTCTACAAGTATACTTTATGCAGCAAGTAGGCCGTCTATTTATACTTGTTTACATTATTTTGCCTATAAAAGTTTCCTTCTCTACCTCTTCCCTATAGATAGAGTGTGACAATTCCACACCTTCTAGAGATGGGTGAGAAGGTAGTGGCCAGGTTGTAGAACCTGAGGGACCAGGGTCTTCACACAGTAGTAGTGTACGCTATTTACTGTGGTCACCAGCTGTTGGTTGGCAACTGTTTCTATTGCTGATTTAGAAGTCCTCATCATGGCTCTGGGAATGGGCGACTCTACATCCATATTAATGTTTACATCATTGAGGTGCTTGCCATGGTGTTGAGATCCTTGCCAAGCATCCTCGTCACCGTCGTCGCTGGGTGATGACGGTGAAAATCTTCCCTCCTTTCGATTGATCACTGCCCATTCTTACCTGTCTATTAGCTATTTCCTTTATGCCAAGTGGGCTCTCCATTGGCTTCCTATCGCACCGCTGAGGGGCAGCTGCTGAACCACACTTCTAACCGTAACATAGAGCATTCTCTAAGAATAAGATAGTGTCCATCTTCCATTCTGATTACTGTTTCAGTTTACTATATGTCCATTACGCTTGTCAATCCATCCATCCATCGGCTTGCGTGACACTAAACCAGGCCTGGCTGCAATGCGTTCATCCAGATCTCCTGCTCTAGAGTGATCCAGATATGTGCTTCTGTTCCTTCCTCAGCAGTCCTGGCACAGTTTTGGAATCCCGACTGCGTTATTAAGAATAGGAGCCTGTACGTTTGGTGCTGTCATGGAAGAGGCCCGGTTTATCAACCAGGAATCCGTGGCTGTTAGTACAGCGTTATCCCGATCTGCTACTGCAGCCGCGGATACTGAGGCTGCTAAGGCAGCCAGGGAGAAGAAGGTAAGATTGAAGAACGTCGTGATCAAGAACAAATGTTTTGAGAGCTTGTTGAGGGAAACGAGTAACTCTTGCCGTACTTTCCCCCTGTGAAAATAGAGGCTAGGAGAGCATCATATATGTGAATCGGTGCGTGCAGAAGGGATGAGGTCACGTCATATTAGACGCGAGTAAGAGGGAACTATACAAGCAATTTCACCAAACGCGCAAAAGTCGTAGCTTCTTGTCATTATCCATACTGTCATTGGGTGGTTGGACCAACGGTTTAGTGAGAATCCGAGTCATGACCTCAAACTGGTTGCGGCCGAAACATTGAGAATGCATCATGGGGGCCGTCCTTTCGGCTAGATTTGGAAGGCCAATCCAGCATAGGACATCTCTCAACAAGCGGAAGTGTTTGTTGGTAAGCAGCCATCATGATTGGATCAGATGTGTTCTCTAGCAAACTCCGTCAGGAATGCATGATGTTTCGGCGTCAAACTTCAAGGGTCTTCGTTCTACCTTTTCATTTTGGGACTCTTATTGTCTGCACTATCATTCTGCTTACATTCCCTTATATCTCCCCACTCGCTGGGTCATTGTGCCGTTATTTCGCCGATATTCGCATCAAGCCCAAATTCTGCGTGATCTCGCAGATACTGGAAGGAGGCTCCTTACTTTAGATGCCTTCTGTTGTCTCGACGATCTAGACTTGGAACACTGTTTGAGCTTCCTTCAACCTTCTTGCATTTGTCCTACCAACTTGCTATTATGCTCGTATGTCTTGGTGTGCATTGCTAACATTGGGAAGGGAGGGGACTAATTATTTGTTCAAAGTTCCCTTACCAGAGTCCCTCAGAGTTCATCCCTGAGCAACTCTTTCACCATAAGCGCATGTTGTGTCAAAAACACGATTGTTCCTGCCTCGAGAGGGTTAAGGGGGTGGAAATTGTATAAGGCGCTAGCTGCTTTGTATTCCTGCCTGGAATGAATGTAAGCAAGCAAAGGTAGAAAGAAACAAGAGAATGTGCACAAGTTTGGTTCTCGCTGCCAAAAAGCTTAAAAATGTGAGAGTGCTTTGGGGGATTTGTAAACAATTTCTCTACTCTAGTTGCATGAACTTGACTTGATCGGAGCGGTACAGGTAACTGACCCAGGAGAATTGTCTGACTGCTGGAGGATGGCCTGGCGGTTGCGGGTTGAGTTCTATGTACCAATACTCATCAACCACAAACGAGAACATTAGCTTGATAGGATGGGGTGAGAAATTACAATTCAATAATTCCTCAATGATTTTGGTGGCTTGTATACATAGTTCACTGGCCCAATAATAATTTAGATAAAGTAGTTTTGGGATCTTGATAAGATCTCTTGATATGCTGTCAATAATGGTTTCCTTCCACTGACACCTCACCATCGCTGCAGATGTGGATGAGGTGCTCGATTTGCGGGGGATCCGTTGTTGATCCCAGCCCTTGACCAAATACTGTCAGGGGTCAGTTACCAGCACCACTGCACTGCGACTTCCCAAGGTGACATGGAGGGGTGACATAGCGGGTGGGGTATGAGACGATGGGCATTTCCGGCCATTCGAGCTTCCTTTTGCTTTCTCCAGTGTGCGCACAAAAGGGCTGGGTGCCCACAAAAGATCCATAGGTGTGGCCTCTTCGATCGGCTTGTCAGCAAACACAGATTTGGTCTGAATAAATGGAAGATGCGTTTCTTTGTGGACACTCCGTCGGTAAGGCTTGTTTGCCGACGTGGCGAACCTTGCGAGCTTCTCCACCACACAGGATCTGCATGCGTGGCTATCAGACTGCATGGCTTGCTGCAAGGGTCCCGCTTCCCAACCGGCTGGGATGCAGCTTGAACCGTAGGATAACCAGCTCCGTTTTGGAAGAATCAAGCCGATCTCTCGCCTGTCTTTGTCCATGCCCACACCACCAACAGCGCTATCACCACACCACAATGCCTCCAAAAAGGGCCAAAGATCGAGATTTCAAAACACAGATTCGGTCGGGAAACTCGTTGCAGCTGTCTAGCTGTTGAGCCATCATGCGCCTAGCGGCAGTTGCTTTCACCGAAAACACCAGAGAATGCAGGATAATTTCCCCTGTGGGACTGGCGGCTGGTGCTCGGTCGTGCTTGTTTCCACCGGCGCCTTCTGAAGCCATGCCAAGTAGACCACGATGAGTCTCCTGCCCTTCTGTCAGTTTTTCCATGCCTGCATAACCCTGCCGGCGGGGCCTGTGAGCAGCAATCGGCGTTTTAGCTATGCGTGGAGCTTGATAGAGCTAGTGGGTTCTGGGAATAGCATGGGAAAAAAGGAGGACTCCATCTGATGGAGACTCGCAGCCTAGCACGGAGATCGTGGGCCACAAGGTATTTTACCTTTTGGGAGCCCGTCGATTTTTGTCCTCTGTTGAACTTCCGAGTTGATGTAGAGCTTGATCGCTGCCGTGTACCACGTCATACCCCTTGGCACCAGGAAACAGTTTGCTCGCTTCTCCTCCCATGGCTTCCGTCGACAATACCTCGAGACCCGAGCAGTACGCCGCGCCGGTCGACGTTGACCCGAATCAGCTCGCTGCCCTTCCGCACGATGATTCCGGCCCCAAGCTGAACGCCGTCATCTGGACCCTGACGGCCCTGTCAGGACTCATCCTCGCTCTCCGCATCTACTGCAGGTTTTGGAGACGTAAAGGTCTCTGGTGGGACGATGCTTTCCTTATTGCTGCTTGGGTATGTCAGCGTTGATGCTGCCTCACTTATGCCTTGTCTAACAAAAATATCAGCTGTGCATCACGGTCGAGTCGGCCATGTTGACCAAGGCCACTACTCTCGACTACGGCAAGCACATCTGGGACTTCGACATGGCAAATATGCGTGAGCTGCTGCTCTATATCAACATTGCTGGCAGCTTCTCGGTCACTGCCGCCATCTGGGCTAAAACTAGCTTCGGTATCACCTTGCTTCATCTCACCGACGGCTGGATCAAAATGGTCACCTGGGTCATCATCATTTCCATGAACATCGCCATGGGTCTGAGCGCTCTTTTCCCCTGGGTTAACTGCAAGCCGCTTAAAAAGTCGTGGGACTACACCATCGATGGCACCTGCTGGGCACACGAAGTCACTGTTCATTACAATATCTTCTCTGGCGCCTACTCCACCTTTATGGATTTTGCCCTTGCGCTGCTCCCATGGGGATTTATCTGGAAGCTTCAGATGCGCAAGAAGGAGAAGTTTGGCGTCGGCGTAGCCATGTCAATGGGTATCTTGTGAGTAAATTTTGCAGGTTCGGACTTGCTACTAATATGGTAGCTGACATTTTCTTCCAGGGCTGGTATTACTGGCATTGTGAAAGTCAGCAAGATTCCAAACATGTTGTCTAATGACTTTGGTGAGTATCCCGAACATAGCAATTTTTTATCTAACCGACATTGCTGACTCACGATTTTTGCAGCCGATGGTGTTGATCTCTGGTCCGTGCCAACCGTATCCTGATTTGTGGATCTTGTCATTCGCTTTTGTGTGCTATTACTAACTTTTCTCGCAGGTGCTGGGGCAATGCGGAAACGACTGTTACCATTATTGCAGCTAGTATCCCGATGCTTCGAGTCATCATTCGTGAGGCTGCCGGCTCCAGGCAGACCTATGGTGCCGAGTATTATAAGGAGGGCATGACCACCGGCAAGCGCAATGTCACTGGGAACGTCACCATTTCTCGCGGCGGACCTATGGGCAGCGACGTTGAGATGGCAAAGCAGATCAATGATGACAGCAGCAGCGATAAGGGTATCCTTGACAACTCCAACCAGGACACCTTCAAGATGGGGCGCATTGTCAAGACCCACAACTTTACCATCGAGTATCACTCGAGGGATTCTCATCAAGGTGGTCATTAGCATTGTCCAGCTTATTTACAGCAACAAACGGCGGTTTGGAATATTGGTCCTTCGGACGTTGTTCCCTTTGTGATACTTCTACGGTGTGTTTTACGAAGACTACAGTGTGCGCGGATAGTGTTCTGGCTGTACTGGCGATGATGCAGTTTCTGTTATGGTCATGGACAACTTGACAACTGCTTGGATGTTCTCTAACCAGCTAATCAATCTATTTTGGAAAAGTGCATGTTCAATCAACAGAACCTGACGGAAATATGGACATGGTGTACCATTGGCAAGGGCATGGCGGCTAATGACAGGTTAAGATACGACTGGGGGTTCAGAGATGCATTCCTAATTTGACTTTTGCGCTGATTGACCCGGTTTCAAACCACTAAATATCGCATTCAAAATAGAGAACAAGATCGAGAAGAGGCAAAGCTTTACCTACCTGGAACAAATGGAGACAGGATCGTGTTACTTTGCATGCAGGGGGGACTATGTGCCTACAGAGGTCTTGGCTTCATCATCGATGTCAGCCCCCACTTCCTTCCAAATCCAGCTTTGATGTGGATTCTCATTGGTTAGGCTCCCAAGGGCCTCGTTGCCAGGGTTGAAGATTGATGGTAAATTTAATGCGCAGGCAAGCTATCTGAGGTCTTAATCATCGATCCCCTTCTGTTGTCGGTACTCATAGACCATTTTCTGCCATACCGAGCAGACAGCTCTACGGGCGACTCGGACATGGCGCTTGAATCTTGATGGCCGACTGGCAGGATGCTCTGCTTTTAAGCCCGAAGCAGTGAGATCTAACTATCCTCCTCCAGGGAGGTTGCAAAATGTGTTCTGAACCATTAGGCAAGCAATTGCTACATGTGATATCATAACTGACGGAAACATCCCGCAAGGGAACTCCTCTTCCCAACACCTGAACGCCGGTTTAACTCGCTAACTATTGGATAACGACATGAGAGATTGTGAGCAGCGAAGTAGGCTAAGAGATAGTTAAAAACCTTGTCGAAACCTCTGGTAGTATCTCATGGCTGGGGACGGATGTGGCACCGAGTCGTACGAAATCGTCTTTCAGGCTAGTTAGCGGGTGCGGTCCTAGAATAATGCAAGCTCAGGCATGAACTTAAGGGAAAGTGATGATCTGGGAGACTTACAGTTTCGCGTCGAACCAGAATTTCCTCTTGCGATTCCGTAGCCTGAGACGTGCAGCTAGCACCCGTTTTAACACTACGGGCATTGTCATTGTGGACTGGAGTCAGAGCCACGCTATGTGCACTTCTCGCACTTTTGCCAGCACTTGATACTTGTTTCTTCTCAACACCTCGGTATTCCCCGTTTCCAGAACGGCTCTTGGAAGCGCGTGCTCGAGCGGTAATCAAGACTTTGAAAGCCGGTAGGGTACCGACAAGAACAGCTGCATTCGGGCGGTCAGCTAGTGCATAAGAGGAAAATGTCCAATGGACAGAACTCACATATTGACGCCGCCAATGTCGACCAAATAAGCAGCAATGTCAAGTGGACGAATTCATTCTGGGCCAAACTCTGGTTTGCCCTAATGATGGCAAATGTGATCATGACAAATCCAAGGCTGAACACACACGCCAAGCCCAGCTTCTGACTGAAAGAAACCCTGAGGTTGTAAAGCAGGCGAAGTGGCATCGCCATGATACAGAGGTCGGTGAAAACATCAACGGCGGTGCTGAAGTAGACACTGAAATTACTCCGCCGCACATTGTCCGATGCGCCGCACTTGTAGAAGGCAAAGAAGTTCCGGACATCGGAACCACACGACACGCTCAGAGTGGCAATACAGCCTCCATACGCCAGGAATGTGATGATGGCCAACACAGTCCAGGCGCGGCGATACCACACCAGGTCACGGAACAGCCGCCAGTAAAGCGCGAGGAAAGCGGCCTTGATGGACCAAAGGACAGTCCAGAACAAGATGACAATGGGAAACTGGTACCGTAGATAACGTTCTGTTTGTGATATGATGAGCTCGGCGGTGGTGATAGGGATGGTGCCTCGCAAGACGCTGGTGATGTAGTAGAGGCTCGGAAGCTGGATGGTTTCGAGAATGCAAAGGGCGAGAAGCGCGGCAAGCCCTAGGAAGATGAAGCAGTCTTCGAGGGGAGTGACGTGGTGCGTCGTCGGGATCCGGATGCGGATAATGGTTCGCAGGGCGACGAAGAGCAACGCGGCGGAAAAGGAGACCCAGATGAGGACAATGAGTGATTTGTGAGATGGATTGCCAGATTTGCCCGACGCCATTGTGAACAGTGAGATAGTGAAAAAAGCTACAGACTTGTCCTTGAGGCTTGAGCTGGTACCATGACGCTCTCCGTTCAAGTTGGACAATCCGTGCTGATCGGTGTTAAAGACGAATGAACGGTCTGAGGCAAATACGACAGCATCTGTCGTCCTTTTCTATATGAGCCACCGAGACAGATAAAATGTTTGCTTCTCTGAGATTTCCATGCTTGCTTTCGGCACATTAATAAATGACACGATAAGAGACCTGCGGCAATGGTACTAGTAAGGGAACTGAAAGCCAAGACCAATACAATGGGCCAACAGCGGCGCAGACATTGTGAATTGTCGGGTCTTATGGGGCCGTCACGATTCTTGACTCCTGTTTGACAATGCCATAGGTTCGACAATGTCCAATACTCGAGCAGTCAAAATTGCGGAGGGAGCCTTGGACTGACAGGCTACTGACTGACGGGACTGGGCGACTGCCCAAGCCGCGTTTGCCACTGACTGGCGGCCTTTGTTTAAGGCAGGCACACAGTCTTGGAGAATCGCGTTGCGGCCTATGATTGGCTGACCAGCGAGGTAGCAAGCGCCTATTAGAGTGCGCAGTGTAGCCCTACCAGACGCAGCCTCCGATCACAGGACATAGAGCGGCAGCCAGTCTTTGCTACCAATGTCTCTCGCAAACTATATTATGTCGCTGCCGTCGCTCTTTGCCGTTTGTCGACTGGAGTTTGTGTGTCGACCGGGACTTTGCAGGCAATAAAGGGTGGAGACTGGTCGCATTTGGGTCAATGCGGCCCAACCTGGGGCCAAGCTTGACCCTAATGGCACGTGCGTGGTTCCCATCGAGCCCTCCAGTCGGAGCTGTTCCTCGGAGTGGCGGAACCCGGTCGGTGCCAAGCTCGGTCAGCACCTTCTGCTTGGTACCTGGGCAACGTCCCACGGCTTTTGAATTTTCCGATCCGCTCAAGATCTTCGCTTTCCACCCCCGCGTCAACCCCACTCTCGGCATGTCGTCGCTGGCACCACGGCACCTCCGGATTCGTCCTCGGCGGCGTGGGAGCACTGGGACTTCGGAAGATTAGCTAAGTTCAGCCAGCCACCCGTCCGGCCCATTGGCAACCAGACCAGCCAGCTCACCGTTTTCCGATCAGGCTCGACATCTCTTAAACAGAGCTCCAGAATGCCAACCCACATCGCCTTTGGGGAAAGAAAAATGCACGGTCGGCTGGGCAGCAACCATGTTCATATTCACGAGACATTTGCGCTGCTGAACCTTGGCACTTGGGTTGTTCTCCCGGGGAAATTTTCTGATTTATCAGCCAGCAATGCCGCGATACCGCCGGTACGCAGCCTCGCAGCGCTGGCGGTTGCGTGACACTGCTTCGCTGTCCGTTGCGGCGTTTTAGGTTCTTTAATAGGACCCCGCGATATCGGCAGCGGAACCCCCGGACGCGTCGCTGAGTCGCTAGCCAGCTATGCAATGTTGACCATGATGACGCTCTTTTTCGCTACCCGTTCCATCATGCATGAAATCGTTCTCGAAGGTGGTTCGCAAATGGCGCCCGAAACCCTGGTGGATTTCGCCTTCTCGGACTAGCGCGCCGCGTCCGTGGAAACTGGAAACCCGGGGGTTGGGTTTTCCGTTGCCATGATTTGCTTGCTGGGAAGAGTCTGCGCTGCATGCTGTGGTTGACCGCCACGTTGCCGAGACGATGAATTGGGCCCAGTTTCGGGCCTGCGGTGAGAGACAGGATAAAAAAACCTCGACGTCGGCTGCAGGTGTCCATGGCGTTGTAAGTACATAAGCTTGTTGTCTTCCCTTCCGTGGGGCTCTCTAAGGACTGGGGAGCAAGCGAGTATTGGGTTGCTGCAGACAATGCAGATCGCGATCCAAATGTTTCGCCCAAACTTCATCCTTCTTGCCCTCGGGTGGGCTCTGCTGCAGCAGGTCCACCTCGCCAATGCCTGGCCTACACCTCACCAACTGTCCCAGTGGCTGCCGCATTTCAAGAGCCAACGGCCGCAGACCCAGCCCGACTTTGCACGCCGCAACTTCGAGACAATGTCGCGCATCTACAACCTCACTGTCTATCCCAATCAGCTCCCCATACTTGGTGGTGGCGGAGCTGCTGCCCCCCCCGGCCTCTTCACGCAGGACGTTCGGGGACGTGTTACTCCTGTCGGCGACTTCGAAGATTTCGAGCACTCGATCGAGTACTTTTTTTCTCTGTCGCCGGTGCCACAGGGAAATGCCGTCAAAGGTGCCATTACAGGCTACCGCATCGTTGAGTTCAGCTCTCAGTGCCCAGAGATTGCTGCCTCTGTGGTCTATCTCTACTGCTCTGTGGTAGATCCGGGCAGCCCCGATCATGGAAGGCCTTTGCCTGCCCTGAAGCAGGTCGCTTTTTGGAGATTTGATTCGCAGGGTACCGTGGCGTACTACGATGCTTGGATTCCCAATCTCCACAGCTGGGTCGAGTTGACGAACGGTGGTGTCCCTGTCTCAGATCCGCAATTCCAGGCCTCCAGTATCACGCAAATTTGCACTCTTACGCAACTCCGCTGCCACGGGGAGAACCGCCAGTGGGACAGCATCGAGCAGTGCATCGCGGATTTGAGCCAGAAACCATACGGTAATTATGATGAAGCCTGGGGCGACAACATCGCTTGCCGTAGCATCCATCTGGTTCTGACACAGGTTCGCCCTGATGTATGTCTCTACAGCCTCTTCTATGCACTTGCCATGTCGAGCATTGCATCTGACTGTGTGAACAGGTTCATTGCCCTCATGTCGGGCCCACTGGAGGCGGGAAATGCGTTAATGCTCCCTATGCCGAAAGGTATTTCTCTGACGAGTCTCTCTTCGGCTCCCCCTCGGGAGAGACGTTTGTGTGCAAATAGAGGGAAGACAACATGACCCCGACATTCTCTACATAATTAGACAGTTAATGTTATAGATTTTATAATCACTCACTTGATGTACGTAGACACCTGCTGGCAACGGGCCATGAGTTTTGACCGAGATATAGACATGTTGATCTAACAGCTAGGACATGTTGGTTAGACATTCTCTGCATGACGGGGTTTTAAGCCGTTTTTGAGAGAATGATATGGCAATAAGGGTTGGTTTTGTCTTTCTCAGAGTAACTTTGCTTCAATTTGAACAGCACCAACTACCTACTGTATCCAACAGTCTGTTAGATACCCCGTGACTACTGCATATAGAGCCTTGTGCATTATGTCTATCACTTGCTCGCTGGCAGGCCATGTCCTAGAATTTGCATTAGTGGTCACCATTTCCCTTTCCCTCCTTTCCAGACAATCACCGTGTCTTACCATGGTGCTGCACCAACACCGGTCCAGTTCTCGAGAGTTTGGTCAACCAACAGCCGAAAACCGGTGAACATGAAGTCAGTAAAAGGGCCGCGAAGCCCAAGGTAGCTGGCAAGGCCTCGGACGATAGCTGTTACTGCTCCTTGCCCATAATGCATGGTCATATTTAGGTACCAAAGTTGTTTACGCGATTCTGGGTTGACTTTGATGATCCGTGCGAGAGTATATCCCGGGACTTCTGAGCTTGGTCGCCTTGTGAAATACTGCTCAACTTTCTCACCAACCGTCATCCTAAGACATCGGTTAGGACAGGGCCAGTTTTAGTTTCCCAAGATTCAACACTTGAGGAGGGTAGCCTACGCAGCCACGCCTAAGACACCGGCGCATGCTCCATACATCAGCGCTGTGCCTCGTCCCATGTGGGAATAAGGACGAACTGCGTCTGTTGCCCGGCGAGACATATTGTCGCGTGAGCTAGCTTGGGAATGGTGATGATGTGGTGAAACTCTATGGGGAAACGTTAACGGGGTGCCATATTTCAAATAGCAGAGCACTTTGCTGTCTGTGATGCAACGACGTCATCGACTGGGAACCGAAGGAAGTGTGAGTTGGATCATGTGACTCTTTGCTCGGTTAGCAAGGGTCAATGTTCTTTCCACTCCGCCAAGATCAGATCAAGTCACCATCAGAAAAGACTAGGCAAAAGCCGTTAGAATAAGGCATAAAAATATTGTTCCAGGGAGCATATGGAAAATCCGAATTTTGTTGGCGTTAGCTGGAAGAGAGTGAAAATATGCTTTATTAGTTACCGGGCCCCTGTCAAAATCGAATGTGAATTTTTTCAGCAGATGTTAAAAGAACAATTCCGGTTAGTATTGCGGTTCCTAAGGTACTATAGGCCTAAAGCCTCGAGTGTAAAGAAAATTCCTCTTGCTATTATGGGATTCTAACTCCAATATGGCTGGTAATGTAGTGATGTGCTTTTACTGAAGTCTTGATGTTGTGTATGTGTCACGACCAACAATGACCATCTGGGAGAGTAGCTTCCGTGCAATTCACTGTTTGGAGTAGAAGGGAGTTGTGACCCATCAAAGTCGGATATCCGCCCCTAACAACCAAACATTGGGAAAGTGTTTCTCAACACCCAAGGATGTTGACTCTCAACTGTCTGCTGTTGAGGAAGAAGGAAGGGAAGCCACAAGAGTGCATAAGATGTATATAGATTCCAAGTAGGGCCATCTGGCCCAAGAAACTCTCCAGTCAGCAATACGACAGTTGCTTACCAACTAGTGACCACAACGGGCACTTTGGTTGTGTAAGAACTCCTGTCTCTCAATCCAGCAGCCTGGCAACCATCGAACCCATCTCAGGAGGTCTGTCTGGATCGCCACAGTATGGTTCAAGATTACTACCGCACGTGTGACTACACTCGTTATTACGATCTGTTAACGCGGTAATTCCTTGTTTCTTGTGTTACAGGGCGCGTTTAATGTTTATTCTTTTATAATTTTCTTCTCATCTTCTGGTCTTTCTTCCATTCCCATTTCCCTTCACTATCTATTATACTCGTTTCAACGAGATGTGATATCGTTATTTGACCATGATCTCTATACAGTACTTAGGGTCCAGTTTGTACAGTGCGAAGAGACTGTTTCAAAATCAATGTAATTGTTGGACAGGACTGTCAGTAGTTATCTTCAACCATGGTGTCACATGGACACGGCAGTCCAAGGAAAGGGATGTCCCCGACTGCCAACACAAGGGACACCAGAGACAGGATGATTGTGAGCGCACAAATACGTGGTGATCCCGGAAGATGTCTAGAGCCGGATGACCGATGAGAATGAGCCATATGGCCGAGGCATGATGAGGATTCTATAGAGGAAGCTGCCCGGTCATGATAGACTTCCCTTGGTTCCTCCTCTCCCTGACACAAGGACACTGAGGACCAGTAAAGATTAATACACGTAGTAATTGACTTCGCTGTGCACCCCACATCGTCAGTGGCCATCATCTAACCCATTTGACCTATTGTCGACCCCTGCCTGCACCAGACCAAGTCACCCGTTACACATGGCTTGTACACTGAAAGAACATAGAATGAACTTCCGGAGCCCATGAGTTGCCTTGTCCAATCAAGGTTTTGGTCTCAGCGCATAGGCATAATAGTAGATGTCCGGCTCGTATGGATTAAGCTTCGGCGTTGGCAACTTGCTGACAAGTTCAACATCGAAAAGTGTTTTAACCCCTTCGTAACGTGATGGAGAGAAACTGAGTGATAGCCACAAGCCATCGTCTTCAATGTGACGGCGAATCGCTTCAGCAAGCAGGGAAACAGCCTGGTGTCCACCACATGCGATAGCATCAGAGGTGGACTTGTCGATAAAGACTCTATACTTGTCAGGTAGATCCATCTTGGTCGCGTCGTTGACTATGTAGGTTGTCTTGACATCCCCAAACCGCTTCCGTTCAAGCTCCTGACCTCGCTCGAGAGCAAGTGGCTCGTAGTCGACATTTGTGACATTACTAAACCCACAATCTCTCAGATGGTTGTGCAAGTCGCTGGTGCCGGAGCCGAGATGGAGAATTTTCGCAGTTTTAGGAAGTGGTCTGAGATAGAGCGCAAAGAGCTCCAGAAATTGCTCAGACGAGGCCAGCCATTCGAACGATGTCTCAGACGCAAACCGCTGATGCCAGTAGTTGCGGTCTTCGTAGTTGGTGGGCATAGTCGGAATGGGAGGGTGAGCGTATATGCCATTCAATGGCTCGCTAGCAATTTATCTGGTCCGTGGCCGTGATACTTGCGGTTTGCAGAGCCTTGCCAGTGTGCAAACAATCGAAGAGGAGGGCACACTGTATGGAGTACGAATATTTTCGCCGTAGAGTTAGGGTTAGGGTACAGGTGTCTGTTGTGAATCGCATACAGAAAATTCAAGTAAACAAGGAAGCTGTGATACTGAGATCCAAGGATCCTACAGCGCTAGGAAATAGCACTAAGGACTCGAGTTTTCCGTGCAGCGACCATTATTTTGGAGCATGAGCTTGTCCATTTTCTGCTTCGAGCTTTGAGTTCACACAAGCAACTCCTTTCCTGCATGCCACTATTGTCTCCCGTTTCGTCGTTTGAAATGATTGGTAGATTCCCCCACTCTTTGGTCCAACCAACTTGGCGACCCCGAGGAGTCCGACCCTAACCGTACAGAGACAGCAAACCCGGCACAATTATTTTCGACCGGGACCACCCTGAGGGTGCTAGGTCGTGCCCACGACGACGGCGAGCAATAGCTACTGGACTACCTATATACATGTAATACCGGAGGAAAAGCCTGCACTGGGGCAAAACTGGTGTGAACCAAGTGGGCTGGGGCGTTGTGTCCTGGATTGGATGGGGGGGTTCACACTTGTACGAACCCGGGGATGTGGATCTCCAGCTCCGACTCCGACTCCGATGAATCGATGTCGCGGTCAATGCCCCTGTGGGGCTGGGATCCCGTGCGTAGGGGGAAATGGCGGGGTCTCGACGTTGGGATAAGGCGCCCCGTGGCGACATCACAAGCCTGGCCCCAGAGCTCGATCTGGAGGACCTGGATCTGAAAGTTGGAAAGAGGACCAGAACGTCCTCGGGCCCAGCCTGCTGGCGAGCGGGTTGTTAAAGGTAGCGAGGGGCAGGTGAAGAAGTGGCCTCTAGACACTATTCTGTCACAGGGGCACTTTTTCAGCGCCCCTGGGGGGTGGTTGAATCGCACGTGCTACTCCGAGAAGTCGCCATGGCCCGAAGCCTCCGCTAGCCAGCGGGAGAGACACTGCTGGAAGAACCTTTCGAGGAAAGGCTTGGCTGTGTGTCCATCCCAAAGAGTTGAGGCAGGCTTGTTAGCCCGCCACGGAATCAAAGAAAAGAGGGAAAGATTGTAGTTGTACTATAGCGCTGATAAAAAACTACATCATAATGCATTTTCACATTTATCAAGTTTGAAATCATCCTTTCTCATTGTGCTGCTTTTAACTATATACAAAGAAGTCAAACCATTGTATAGAGAAAAATCTTCTAATCTCCCCTTTCATGCAGTTCTATTCTTGCGTTTGTCTTCCACTCCTGTAAATGCTCACTCGACTGGCAGACAGTATTGCTGTGTGCATGCTCCATCAGCAGGGGCGCAGATTCCACAGCTAGAGTTGCAGCAGACAAGACCCTCTGCGCAAATTGTCTTTCCACATGGTTGCGTTGGTGTCTTAGGCGGGTTGACAACACAGAGCATCTTATGACAGCCCTGACCAGGCTTGGTGCAGATGCCACAGCTTTCGTTGCAGCATTCATACCCAGGAGCACAAAGTGTAGGTCCGCACTTCGTTGGCTTCACCGCTGGGAGTTCCGGCTCCTCAATCTTCACAATGTCCTCCCTCTTGTCGACCGTAGGAGCAGGCTCAACAGGCTGTAACTCGATATCTGGGCAGATTTGCTGAGTGCACACGCCGCCGGGCTTGGTGCAGATGCCACAAGAAGAATTGCAGCAAACGTGGCCAGGGGCGCAAACAGCCTTGCCACATTTTTGCTGCCTCGAAATGGGTAGGCATACGGGTTTGCCGTTGATGACATTGCAAAAGGTATTGGTGCTGCAGGTTACAGCGGCGCAAGGGCTGATGGGTTCGACAGGTGTAGCACTGGCGCTGAAAGCCAGCAGCGCGACAATGAAAGCGCTCTTTGCAGAAAGGTTAAACGCCATGATTGTCTCACGTCGATGCGTTGAGAGAGTTAAAAGGCGGGTGGTTTTTTTTGCGTCTTGACGGCTCTGCATAAGATCTGGAAAATCTCCTATGTTATATACTTTTTTGATTCATAATTCTGGGACCCTTTCCAAGGACTCAGCATTTGCAGTTCTCAACGCCGGGCCGACTACCGTTCAGCACATGCCTGAAAACTAGGAATGGTGAACAAAATTGAGCTCATGGTTTCCGGGTTTGGTAATGACGGAAGTTAAGTCCATAAATAGAAGCAGTGGGTCGAGAAAAGGTGTGATCTGCAACTAGCGAAATCGTCCCGTATAGCCTAAGATCAAATTCACGAGCGCCAAGCTGTCCGCCCAGAGGATTGGAAACCTGTCGGTTGTCGGAATGCTACACTGCGGTGCGTAGTCCGGTGCAAAGACCAGCCGTATGACAAGGAAAACTTGGTATGTGTTGAGCTGCATATGTATGCCGAGACTCAATGGCGAGCAAGTTGACAACTTGTTGGGGAGATATCGATCATCGGCCTTCAAACCTTGCCAAATTGGTCTGGTTGTGGAGAGAAATCACGGAGGGAGATGGCCATGCTCCGTAGGTAGTGTTACAGACTCAATGTGCGTGCTCAGCGGCTGTTCGTGAGTGTTCGGAGCAGACCACAATGAGGGAAGTTAGGCAATGGACTCTTTCCCTCCGCCAGTACATCATCAAATTCTCTGTCGGATGATTGGGGTGTAATGCTGTGGCTTGAATGAACAAATGGATTCTATTTTTCGACCGGCTCCATCACTGATGGTGCTGGGTCGTGCTCACAGCAACGGCAAACAAAAGCTACATCACTAAATCATGTACATGATGCACTGGAAAAATCCTGAAGTAAGCAGCTAAGAGAAAGAAGTGCTTAATTCAGCTGTTGACTTAAAAGGTAACAACAAGGTTGGTCACGACGGCTTCGAGGATATTTCTTCTCCTTGGACTGCCGTGTCCAAGTCACAGGAGTACTAGATCTAGCTCTGGGGCCGGAGACAGCCTTCGCCGAGTTTGCCCACTGGACCTCGGATTACAGAACCCGCCCGATACCCCCCCTCCCCCGAAATTGCTATCAAGAAGCCGGTTCGACGAAGCCTCCGCTCTCCTAGAGAGCCTTCTGCCCCAACCGAGGCAAATCCTCACCTTGCAAGACCTGGAGGATTATGCTTGGGTAGTCTATGACGCCTCAAAAGGAGTAGTTGGCCGTTTCGCTCTTCCACTTGGCCCACACACAAAGAGCATTCCATGGTGGTCTGAAACGCTCCAGGCATCCAGAGACCATCCTGCGATGGCGCAAGGGCTCCTCGGACGACCGCCCATCGGTAATTTCAGTCAATGGGCGTTCCATCTTGAACGTAGAGGAAATAGCAGCTTACCTTGCCGCCCAAGCCTTCCGCCCAGCTGGTTCGTAGTCCGGCCCCAGACCGCTAGGGTCCGGATCAAGAATCACCCCAGATTTACGGATCAAGTTAATACCCCACCCTCGGACGTTGAACTCACTGACAGCTTCCTCAGGGCGGCGTCTACCACTCCTGGTCCCGATGGAATGCCTCTAGCATTTGTTCGACACGCCTGGGACAAATTGCTATCGATCGCCCGATGTCTCTCTGAGGCCTGCCTCCGCCTCGGCTACTTCCTTTCGCATTCAAGTAAGCAACTGTGGTTACTTCATCCAAACTGGGCCGCGACCCCCGATCATACAAAGGATGGCGGCCGATTACCTTATTGTCTGTCCTTTTCTAGGGTTAGGGTTAGGGTTAGGGTTAGGGTTAGGGTTAGGGTTAGGGTTAGGGTTAGGGTTAGGGTTAGGGTTAGGGTTAGGGTTAGGGTTAGGGTTAGGGTTAGGGTTAGGGTTAGGGTTAGGGTTAGGGTTAGGGTTAGGGTTAGGGTTAGGGTTAGGGTTAGGGTTAGGGTTAGGGTT